TCAACGTACCATTTTCAACATAAGAACACAGGGTAGCTGTTAACTTTTGTAACTACAGGGCCATTTTTTTCTCATCAAAATTTGAATGGTCTTTAATTCAGTCTGTCAGTTACTGAGTAAAAGAGCAATAGCTCATTGTTTACATTTTTGGAAATTTCTTGCATTTTCAAATTCTCATCGCATTCATTCTTAACGCTTAGGGGCTGAAGGAGTCAAGGGGCAAATAGGCCAAATTTGGTTGCAAAGATAATGAGGCCCTCGTGTGCTTTTGGCCTATGCTAATCAAATTTCCTTAAAATGTGCCCTGTAAAACCAGACCAACAGTTCGACAGTTTATCATAATATGAAATTTCTCTAAAGTTAAGCTTTACAATTTAGAGTGTTGTCGGATTCCAAAATGAATTTATTGTCGTTGCAAAAGCAGCTCCAAACAAACAGAGCCTACTTTCAAATCCAGATAAGTTTGAATAAGGTATAGCAGATTCGATTGAGTAGGCTCAATACAAATGTTCGCACTTTCCAGATATGATTTATGGACATCAATTATTAACGAACTAGCTTTCAAACACCGTAAGCCGATAACTGCCGAAAAGACATTACGATTGATCTCGCTAAGATAGCATTTGTCGTTAAACTGCTGCTCTCGAGCATTATTCTATTTCAATTCTGTCTTGGGGTGGCAGCAGGTACCATTGAACATATTGATTCGAATCAAGCTTGTTGTTTTCAGTTGCTTAGGCCTTATATTAGCCCTGCGTTCTGCCGTGAAGGTGAGCAAATTTCATGTGGTCATTAACGTAATAGTAACCAGGTGTATCTTCTTATCTAGAAAGACACCTGTTAAGTACCGATGTATTTGATAAGCCTTTTTCAACATTACATTAGCGTTTTATATTTGCTGGGTGAATTTTGTTGAATTTAACTTTTTCTTGGAAAATATGTACATAATCTAATGTCTTGTCTCAAAAGGTGTTATTTGTTGTGATAAGAAGTCTGGTTGTGTTACTTGTAAATGTTTTCTGAATGAGCTTTGCAATAGTCAAATTAATTTTAATGTTTTTTTCTTTGATTTTGTTTTTTGTTGACAATGAAATTTATACTCGTCGGGGCCTAAATGGAGGGGCGGGGTTGTTACAGCCATAGGAGGGGGTGTTACAAAAAGGTTGAAAAGAAGCTGGATAATGTAAAAACCTATTTACTCTGAAGAACTTCATCCATTTTATAGATTAACATATGCATCTTTCCTACCCTACATATTAATCCCAAAGGAGGAGTCTAGTTAGATTTAAATGGGTTTACCCTAGATATGGGATAAATTGAATCAAACCCCCTCTAGTACTAGTTAGGCCTGTTTTGAAGTTGCAAAGTGTAACAGATACGAGAAATCACGTGTCCTTATTGAAGGCACATTTAATTTAGACCAATATTGTTGTTAAATGTTAGTGTATTTTGCTTATGTAAAGGGCTTTCCTCGAAATAGTTTGGTGTGGAACAGTTTGGCGCGTTTAAAATTTGCCATTAATGGCACTGGTACATACATTTTCAAATTCAACGACACCATACCAGAGGCATATGGTCTTCACAATTATATAGCTTACCATACCAGAGGCATATGGTCTTCACTATTATATAGCTTACCATACCAGAGGCATATGGTCTTCACTATTATCAAAACAACGAAATACACACATACATAAAATAAAATGCATACGTCAAAACTTTCTAGAATGAAAGTTTCTTTAAGGTCGGTCTGACTGTCGATGAAATCAGCTAGATTTCATCATCAGTGAAACATCTGTCTGTTGATTTAACGTTGTGAATCTTCTAACGAATTGGAAAGATTTCCTCCAAGTAGTTCGATAGCAAGCGAACAGCACAGTTTTCAATATATAGACTATACTGGTGATATTCTTGAATTTATTAACAAAAATTGGCTGACCCCAGTTTTCTCAACAGATTTTATTGGGCCGAGAATATGAGCAAAAAAGCTAGCATGACATTAATAAAAAAACGTTTGAGGTACGCTAATCCTGCACTGTACTTGTATTTTTCATTTCCTTAAATGTTACCATGAAGAAGAAGCACAATAACCAATGGCGGCGCCAGCCACTACGCTCTGAGAGGAACAAAACAAAAACATTTATTCCACGCCCTTTTACCGCTAGAAAACGCCCTTTTGCAAACAAGGAAGCCAATTTTGCCTGAAATATACGCCAATAATTAACTGTTGGCTATGTAAAGGCAGTTTGAAAATCAAAGGATGTCATCAAAAAAAGTATGTTACCAAAATATTACCCCTCCCCCAACACTATCTCATCGGATTTAGACGAAATTCAAAATTGATCCTGCCGAGAACTTGGGGGAAACGTCCCCCAGTCCCCCCCCCCGTGGCGCCGCTACTGGCAATAACAAAAAATTTTAATTTCTTTGTCGAATCTTACCAATCTATAGCAGTTTGTGTCATTTAAGAATGTTTAAGAATAATTTTAGACTCAGATTCAGAAATTTCAAAGATTATTTAGGCTCAGATTCAGAAATTGATATATTCTTATAAAGATGCTGTGTTGTGTTTGGCACATTATATTTTTGGCTGATTTTATCGCACTGCTTGGTCCGAGGCGGGGAGGGGTGTTGTATCAATCAATTAAATGATCTTCTATTTATTTATCTTGCTGTGCAAAAAAAGTTTAAAAGGAGTATCTGGGCTAACCAGCATATTTCGAGAAGTGAAAATAATGCAGAGAGTTGGAAATGAAGGAAACTAAAACTTTATATTTTTGAATTTTGTTTCTAACAATTTTCCAGCATAATCAGGACCAGAAAGTTTGAAGAAAAAAACAATGTGTTCCTGGAAAATTTACTCTCGTGTCAAGAAAACATTGCTTTGTAATTACTTAACGAATGCATATTCGCAAAATTCAGCAATATATGCTACAACCAAATACCTTTATATGCAAAATTCATTTTATGTTATCGTTATCTTTGATCTGTATGTAGTCATATGTACCATCTGTAAAATCCCTCTTACATTTGGCTAATTTGGTGTCTTGATATTACACTCTTTCTTATTAGAAAAGTTTTGGTCAAAAGTTAAAAACAAATCAAAAACTAGCTAAGGCTGAGCTACTGTAAAATGTATTTTTGAAAAATGTTGTAATATCTCCTTCATAACTTTCATCCCAAAAAACGAGTAATTTTTTCCATCTAGGGGTGGTGAGTTTTAAAACTTTTCACCAAATAAAGGATCTCTTACTCACATTTTTGGAAAATGAGGCCTAAACCCCCCCTCCCCTCAAAGTGCAATATCTAGCGATTGCACTGCTTTCACCCTAATTTAGGCACAACTTAAAAACAATCCAGCCTAACAGTTTTGGAAAATTAAGAACAGCCAGCCTGAACTTTAATTTACTGGTTCTTACAAAAAAAAAGGAATTATTAATTTACTGGCTCGTTATCCATGAAATAAGAACGGCGAACTTAGACGAAAATTATCGCTGTGATAAATGCATAGAGATGGATAAATGCGTGTAATAATTGCATCCGTTTGTTGTCTCGTAGATCTTGGGTTTCCACAACAGCAATGTCTTTGTCTCAATTGTAAAGATTCAAAAAAGAAGATGACTGGTTCACTCCTTAACGTCAAGGTCATTCGTAGCTCGATGGTGGCCCCAGAAGACATATCAGGTCAGACATATGAAGTCCTATTTTCTCAATTTTTTCACATAGGGACGCAGGAAACATTTAAAACAAGGGGGCACGAAGTTTCGAAATGCGTTTATCATGGTGACCAGTCTCAAAAAGAGATATAACTGTTTATTTCAGAAGATATTGAAGATAAATCAAATTAGCTTAGATTTAGCCTAAGATTTTATCTTAATTTGTTGATGTCCTTCTAGGCTTGAAGCATGGGGTAGCTTGTGTCATTTGTTACCCTTTGGCAAGCCTAAAGCTGGCTTAGGAGCTATTTCAAAATTTGACCAGACAAGTGTAAATGTAATTTTTGGGGGGGGGCGCCATTATTCTACAGAACCCCCCTCAATGATGCCTGTAAAATTATCAGTTGGAACGCCCTCGGCTATCTACTGGCATCTGCGGAGTAGCATGAGTCAGCATAATGGTCTCAAAGCGAACAGGTATTAGCTACTGCGAAAGCAGCTGTGCAGCAGCATGACTCAGCACACTTATACGTGCAACTGCTAAAGCTTGGTTCCCACTAGGCGACTAAATGCGTTCAAGTGCGCTCGTCTCTGAGCGTCCAAATTAAACGCGAAGTGGGAATGCTCCGGGCGTTTAACTTGGAGGAAATTAATGCACTTGAACGCTCAAAAAAGTTATACGCCAAGATAAAAAAAATTTGATCTGAGCGTTTAAATTCAAGGAATGTTTCATTCATCAACTAACAAGTAAGATGCAATTGTGAAGTCAAAATGAGGCAATTTCAACCGTAGTAACGCGTGAAATCGATTTCGTGATTGCTAACACCTTGCGATCAATAAACAATGCCAATTTACGGATTTCTGATAACCTATAAATTTTGAAAAGAGCTATACAATCAGGATTACTTGAAATGACTAACGAGAGGCCATAAACTGAAAGCATAGATCACCTACAATGTACACGTAAAAGAATTGCGAAATTTGTGTCACGAAAATGCAAGGAAACTTAAGTTGCGATCCTGTTAGTGTGGCTAACAATGGCCTTAACATAATTTTCAAGAGAGGGTTACAACATCTTACAATTGCATAATTCATAAGTGATAAAAGAGCAAAAATGATGATTATTTAAGTGTTTGAATGCATCTCTGAGAGTCTATAAAACGCGACATTTAGACATTTTGACTTGTCTTCACACAGCTAGCTGAGTGTTTATGTTTTCCAAGTGGGAATGCCTCGGTAGTTTATCTGTATTCTTTAAGTAAAAGGATTAGAGATAAACGCACTTGAACGCACTTAGTCGCCTAGTGGGAACCAAGCTTAAGCGACAGATCTCCTCTCTTGGTCAGTTAGGGAGGCGTGTGAGTCAGCATTTCTACTGACGGAATTACGCAACTTTTTTGTAATAAGCTGATCTGGTGAAATTTAAGAAACTTTTGTGGAAACGGCTATGGATTACAAGGATTTTCTTACAAAAACCGATTCGTTAACCGGGCACCTGGTTTACAGGGTTGACATTTTGGGCACAAATCGTAGCAAGATGCAATCAATTTTGCTCAATAGCTAAACCGCATTAACTTTCGGCGTAAACATTTTATGATTTTTTCTCAACCGTTTTATCCCACCTTTTGGTAAATTTTGTTTGAAAATCTAATGAAAGATCCATTTCAAAATTAATCAAACATTGCCACCTTGAAAATCTCAGATAATGTAATTTTCATAAATAAAATTCAACTTCGTTATTAATTATTAATTACTGAATGATCTGTTTGTAAAGTCGAGTCGTTATACCAAAAGCTGGTTGAGACGAAAACGAACATGTTTAGGCCTAACAATTTACCACTGTAGGATACAACGTTTAATAGGATACAACGTAAATAGGATACAAGACGGAGAAAATCTAGCAAAAGTATAGCGGAAATAAATGAAGATGCCGTTAGTTACAACAGGTCATTCAGTGGCCAAGGCACGTGGATAATGCTCATTGTTACGCACCTCATTGCCCGTAATCAAAGGACTATCTCATGCAACAACACAAGGATCAACAGAGGTCATCATTCTTTCGCTGTGAAGCATAAAATCTCTGTTGTGTTCCCTTATATAAGGGAGGCCAGGCTCTACAACTGTTTATTTTTAAGTGTTCTAACATTTCAACCGGCTAGCGCAACTTACAGTAAGCAAAGTGCTAGGCCGAGTGAATTAGTCACAAAATCAGGCCAGCCATGTCTTCTGACGATGCTTTGGTGGTTCGGACAATGTCTGTGTCGAAGTCTGGAAGTAATGGTCAATTAAACGATGTTCCAGAGGTTATTGTAGTTAACAGAAGCCCAGATGAATCGAAGCCATATGCTGGAAACGGCTTCGACGAGCGAATCGGCTCGCCAGATTCCGGCCACTACATGATAAATGAAAATGAAAAAGCCGTTGTTGTTTCTAATCCATCTCTTGTATCAGATTTTCAGGAGAAAGTCAATCTATCATGGGAAGACCTCAGCGTTGTTGCAAATTTGCCGAAGCCATCGTTGTTCAAAAGATGCCTCAAACGTGGCCAAGGAAATGCTGTTGTCACCAAGAAACAGATCTTGTTCGATGGTAAATTTTCAGAAATATTCTATTCTGATCTGCAATTTTTATATTGATGCTTATCGCAGTTGTGAAATGATTAAATTTTTATTACCAAGTTGAAACAAGATATTGCAATCTTATCAAACCGAACGATGTCATTTTGTTTACCGTTAGTGTAAATTTGCTATGTTTTTGAAATGACTCTTCAAGCATTCCTTAGCAATTATTTGCATCTTACGTTTGCAAGTCACTGTACCAATCCAAGGTGCGATCTAAACTCAGTTTTGCCTGAAACAGACTTTTCGTTGCAAGCTTTTTAGAAATATTATTTAGATCGCTTTTCCAGTTCCGTTTTTGTAGGTAAAACATAAGCTCCCCTTCTTGACATTCCGAAGCTGCTTAGAATTGTATTAAGAGACAAGCACTTTCAAAAACAAAATTCTCATTGAATTGCGATTTATTAACAAAACAGTCCTGCACAACCGTATGTTATTATGTATTTCTTTGAGGGATTTCTTTACCCATTCTGTGTTTGTTCAACGACATCTTTGCATTAAACGACATCGTCTTACCGTGTTTTATCGTGCCTCAAGCATTAGGATTTCTATCCTTCTGTACTATCTCCTCTTGCCTTATTCTGTGTTATCTCCTAAGCTAGTTAGACACAACGCACGAACTCGTTTGAGATTAAACACTATCGCTGAGATAATTTTGTCGTTAAAGTGAAGACATCTTTTAAACGCAATTTGATATAACCAAGCTTTAATATCATTTAATCTCTTTCACAGTTAATGGCAAAGTAGAGGCAGGAACACTCCTTGCTGTCATGGGAGCAAGGTAAGCGCTTTTAATTCCCAAGAGCCTATAATAACATTACTTTGCATATTAAGGCTTATAATCTCAAGAAATATGAAGTCTTTTGTCGTATCGAAATTGATAGTCTGTAACTTCATTAAAGATTTCCTAATTTGCACAAGGAAAGATGGTATTTGCGTTTAAGCAATATATTGTTCCTAATGAGACAATCTTGGTTCAGTTTTACCCGAACGATTGGGTAAAGAATTCATTTACCTCGAATTTTGCCTGTTGCCCTTTCGATAGGGATGCTACGAAGGCGCGTGAGTCAGCAATTTTGATGAACTACTGATTAGGTCAGGGTTTAGGCTACTGTGATGGCGCGTGAGTCAGCAATTTTGATGATCTGCCAAATCTACTGATTATGTCAGCTATTAAGACTGCTGTGATGGCGCGTGAGTCAGCAGTTTTGATTAAAAGCTTTGATTTTGGAATGCCACTATGTTGCCCTGAGAAGGAGCATGACTCAGCAGAAATATAAAATGCATGGCGTTTGATTATGGAGATCGTAAGAGGTCCCCAAGCTCTGTTGTTTTAAGTCTTTCTATTTCTCTATGGTTTTCCATTATCTTAACTATATATTATTTTCGAGTAAATAAACGACTCGAAATTGACTCCCTGCCTCTTTTGGATCATCTACCAACCATCTACCAACCATTAAAGACATCTTTCTGCCCACTTTCTGCCCATTTTCTGCCCACTTTCTGCCACGTGAGCAACCCTTTCTACTCCTATTTCTACATCTTAAAACCCCCTTTCTGCTCCTCGGAGATCCTTTTTTCTGTCACTTTGAGAAATCCATTCTATTCTAATGGAGTTCTTTTCTGCCTCTTAGAATCCCATTTTTGCTTTCTGCCATTTGTGGAGCCCCTGTCTACCCTCAGGGACCATCTTTCTGCCATTTAGAGACCCCTTTCAGTTCTCCTTCTACCACTTTTGAGCCTCTGATACCCCAAGGGGCCCTCTTTCTGCCCCTTTGGACCCCTTGCCTTTCCTTTGGATATCCTTGTCTTGTCTGCCACTTGCCTGCTATCCAGGCTGAATGCAACTCCTTTGTTTTTGTTACTTTTGTCTCCAATATTGTAGGATTTCAGGCAGCCTCTGTATCTATGATTTTTGCCCTTGCCCTCACAAATAAGAATTTTGAAAGTATGTATTTCAGATAACCTTAATTTTCAAAAGTATTTTTTGAAAACCTTCCTTTTTGATGCGTTTTTGTTCTTTCTGGTCAATCGGAATCTAAAGGAAATGTTTTTTTTTAATTTGGACGATCTTCTAGTGGACCTTGAAATGCATTTTGGAAAATTCAATATGAAGCTATCAATTTTAACTTGCTTTTTGTTTGTCTTCTGAATTTATATAATGAATATTATCGTTTATCTCCACAATACACCTAAGCTTCTAAATCAAACAAGGGGATCCAAACTGCATTAGTCCTCCGTGGCATTTTAAGTTGATTTAGTTTGAAATGAAGTTGCCTAATCTGATTTTCAGGGCTCTTTCACTCCTTTATCATCAAATGAGTGGTTCCTTAATTCGTTTACTTCACATGATCGGATGTAAAAATTAATTTGAAGGGATTGCAAGTTTATTTAGTATTTTTCGTGATAATTTTGTGTATATGGTTTCGCGAAATCCAGTTAGAATATGTTTACTCAGCTCTCCTTTTTTCAGGCAAAAATAAATCAATCCATCAAGTAGCATGATGGAAATGGGCTATGCAATATTTATCTTATGATTTGAGCCGTCAATTTATATGTTTTATAACATAGCCCTTTTTGTAAAGGTATACCAACATTGGGTAATCAGAGCTTCTTTCACTATAACCTCTTTCTAGACAAGAGATAATATTTTTACTAAGAAACCTTTGCTTAGCGTTGCCGCCTAGCATTCCGGTGGGCATTTTTCTGCAAGGGCTCCGACGCAAATTGGAAAGTAGAGGGGCGGGGGATCAAAGGGCAAATAAAGACCCATAACGAAAGACTCTATTATCTTGCAAAGTAGTGGGAGGGGACATGGCCCCCAGCCCCAACCCCTCCGTCATTGGAAACTTTTCTTGTATTTTACCTGAAGGATTTTTTGTCTATACTGATACTTTTCCAAAACCCTTCAATTTGGCGATATTGTTTCCGTTAACACTTACACGGTAACTTGTGATGGTTCTGTTGTTTCTACTTTGAAACTGTTTGCGAGCGTTGGAGTTGGCGAGACGTCGAGTAGGAAAGATGATAAGGGTTTTCCAACCCTTTTTTGCTGATATTGTATGTGTTTTCATTACCAGGGCTAGGCTTCTTCCCACAACTGCATGGCAGTTGGTAGCTGTTTCTACTCTCAAAAAACATCTGCCTATTTCATCATTGTAGACTTTCATTTCTAAAGAATAATTATAAAAGCGTTTTGCCATGCAAAATAACCAATGCAATTGCAATAGACGAGGGGCAATTCACTCTTGCAAATAGCGTACAAGATTTTCCCTAAAACAAAAAGATTTCTAGGAATTTTTAGATAAAACAATAGGATTTTCACAAAAGGTGTACGAAATTTTCTTAGAGTGATTTGCCCCTCAGCAATAGATTTACACAGTGACGCGTCACAAAAATATATTTTAAGAATTTCAAATCTGAATCCCTTACCTTAAAGAGATTATAAAATACCTCTAAATGTGCAGAATGACCTGAGATATGGTCTCATAAAAACGAGTTCCTTCCCCCATCGTATCATTGTTCTTTGGTCTTGACTCTAAAATCGATGAACTAGTCCAAACAACACCAATCCATAAGTGAGACTCGATTGCTTTATTTCAATTAATTTCAAACAGATTTAATTGTATTTGAACATCTTGAGGTATTTCATGGTGCCTCTTCAGGTTATAAGGCTCAAATTCAAAATGTTTAGAAATAATTTTTTGTGTGACTTCATCACTTTGGAACTTATCGTCAAAAATCAAAAGATCTAACAATTTTTTGATGACGTCATATGTCAGTTCTCTACTGACTTCCCTTATCTCAAAGTCTTTCGTCCTCGCAGTGGTGCTGGTAAGACGACATTGATGAACACTTTGGCACATCAGAACATCAGTATGCTCGATATTTCTGGTTCCATCAAAGTCAATGGTCAGGAAATCGGGAAGAAAATGAAGACGATTTCTGCTTATGTCCAGCAGGAAGATTTGTTCATCGGAACATTGACAGTTCGAGAGCATTTAATCTTCCAGGTAAGCTCTGGAACATATAAATTGAACCCTTTTTTAATTCTTATAAATAAATCAAAACAAATAAATTGAATCTTTTCTTAACTCTCAATTTTAAGTAGTCCAATTTTATTAGCACTAACATGTAATATTTTTGAATTTTATTCTTGCTAGTAAAGTGTTATTCTTTTGAAGTAATTAAAATGATGACCAATTTCATGTAAGCTAACTCGGTATTTAACTATATAGGGCACTGGGCTCGATAACTCTTGCATTTTTACTCAGTGTCCTAGGCAACGTATATATACAAAAAACTTGTATAAAATCCAGTTAGGGTTAGTTGTAGAATTTAAATTTTTCAATTTATTATTGCAAAGGTATTGTGTTGTTGAAATGAAATGAATTTGAATTGGATTATATTCAAAGCAATTAAAGGAAGGTATCGACTGCGACAAAGAGCTGTTTAAGATATTTTTCAGACATTGTTTAGATACAATTATGGCTTCCGTTTAACTTTCAACATTTTGCTTTAAAGCAGAGTCTCTATACAAATTGCAGTTGCTTGCACGATCTTACAAACTGCAGTTGAAATGCTGACATAGATTCAGCCGTCTGCTTTGATTGTGTAGTGTAATTTGATTGGATAAGAAAAAACTGCTTATTTTTTGTTTGTTTTAAAGCGAGCTACGTCTGCGTTGATTGGCTCAGACCAGGCACACCCCGCGAAGTATGCAACTTGCGCTGACACAAGAGAATAAAAGAATTAAAGAATAAATAGGAATAATTCCAAGACAATAAACGAATTTAATCTCGTTGCCTGGATTTTAAGATAAGATGGTTAAAAGAATTTTTCGAATGCAGAAATCAAAGTGCGAGGCAAAATCGTTTATTTTTGGTATAATCTCGTAAGGTGCAGGCAAAAGTAATGAAATCAAGCTAATTGTATTTAGAGATACCGAAACAAACAATGTACCTGTGAAATTTGTAGTACCTAAGTTTGGTAAAGGGGCATAGAGAATTGGGGCTACCTGGTGGCAGAGAAATGGGGGTAAAACCCAAGGGAGTAAAACCCATGAAAGTAAAATCACGGCTGTTTTCTCCCAACGGTATTTAATCAGTGCAGAGGGTTCTCACAACAAACACGCTTCTCGGCTTGAATTAGGCCCATTTTGACGTGTTAGCGTAGTTTTACTACACTAGCTACAAAAATGCACGCCTCTAGAGATGTAATTTCTTTCAGATTAGTTCATCAACATCCAGTTTATTTGTTGGGAGATCAGAGCTCTCAGCCAATCGAAGATTTGACAGCTATGAGTTTTGAGACAGACTTAGAATTAATTGTAAAAGACTACATTTCTCCTACCATTCAATGCTTCATATAAAATTTTGGTGAATATCCTTTTCAGGCCTTGCTAAGGATTGATTCAACTTTGTCAAAAGAGGAGAAATACGCAAAAGCCGACAAGGTGATACACGAGGTGAGCCAAAGAGTAATGCAATACAGTTAAATTAATTTGCAAAAATTAAATTTATTTGCCAAAAGAAAAAAGCGATGTAGTCATGCTGTCTGTCAATTTTAAGAAGGCATTGAGGTTTCGTAAATAGCGATGTTTGGATCGGTGCAAGATGAACAGATTTATATATTTGCAGGGAACTACATCAAATTTTTGAACTGGTTGGTGTTCTGGGCTGTTTTGTGTTGTTGGTCCAAAATATTTGCATTCATTATTGCATTTATAAATTTCTCCTCCAGCTTGGCTTGACAAAATGCAAAGACACAATCATCGGTGTTCCAGGCAGGATTCGAGGAATCTCGGGCGGAGAGATGAAGCGACTCTCCTTCGCATCGGAGGTTTGTTTGGCTCTTGTGTTGAAATGGGATTGTAACAAGTAGGGTCACTGAGAGAGACGGGTCATAAGGGGTAAAGAACAAAGAGGGAACTTTTGCATGTTTTTCTGATTTCCGGACGCCCAATGATGAAGTAACGTTTGTTTTGTTGTAGCAATTTTTACACATTCCGGATTTGTTTTCAATGCAATTATAACCTCTGATAAGTTTTTTTTCTCTTTTAAAAATTTGCCAATACCACCACTGCCCAACCTCATATGCTTTTAACAGAGCAACCTCATATACGTCAAATTCTTTTGTTATAAATATCCAATTTGTTCTTGTTGCCCCACCACTGATACACTTTTCACAGATTTTAAAACTTTTTCTTGTTGCTCAAATGTTGTTTGGATTTTCTCTTGGACTATACGAACCCAAATTTTTCTTGTTTCCAAATTTCTTTTGTCCTTTTCTGCAGATTTTGACAAATCCTTCCTTGCTTTTTGTCGACGAGCCTACTTCTGGACTTGATGCCTTCATGGCGCAAAGCGTTATTGGTGCTCTTCAGAAAATGTCCGATTCTGGGCGAACGATTGTGGCAACAATCCATCAACCGTCGTCCGAAGTTTACAACATGTTCAATAAGTATGTTGATACAAATAATTTTGCACGTATAAGACTAAAGGAAATAGTTGTTCTCTTCATCGACATAATTTCCCAGTACTTTTTGTTTCTTTTCACTAAGAGTTTCTTTGGAAACTTCTGTGAAAGATTTGGTACAACTTAAAAAATGTGTATTCTGTGTATAATGCAAAGAGTAATAATACGAAGAATATTCAGGAACAAAGTAATATGATGACATGAATTCGCTGCAATGAAATAGAATTTTAGAATAAATTAAATTTAATAAATAATTTTGCGAATATCAAGTTAATTAGAGAAGTAGGTATTAATTTATGGGAGATTGCCTAAATTCAAAAGAGTTTAGTTAACTGGGTCCTGCTCGGCACTGAGTAGAGATTTGTTTGGTTTCAACATCGATAAACCCACCTTTGGTATGTGTGCTCAGAGGCTCTTTGCATTGTTACTCATTTCTCAACTTGTAGCATACTAACTAAACAAAACACAATTAATGTTTTAAGCAGTTTTAAAGTTAATTGTGATAAGATCATTATCTCAAGTTCATCTTTATCAAAATTACTTATTATGTATTCTGTATCACTCACAGGCATGTTTACCCTTTGCTAAGGATATTCCAGTGCAAGATATGATCAGATTTGTTGAAAAAAGGGACAACAAAATGTGCCAAAAACAAACAACAATGAACACAAATTATATCTCTTATTTATTTATAAATAGATAGATCTCATTTTGCCCTGGCATGAAGAGCTTCATTACAGTAAAAAGAATGAAAGATTAGATATGTTCATAAAATCATAATTTATTTTGCAGGGTTCTTTATATGTCAGAAGGACGAGTAGCCTACATTGGAAAGACTCAAGATGCTTTGCCATTCTTTTCTAAGTAACTATCAATTTTCTAAGGTTTTTTGGTGATAATAATTATAATACTTCTGGTTCTTAATGGTTTCTCCACCTCTTTGTTGGAGAGATGACCAACCAATTTTTTATGATCGGGAAGCCATTCCCATCCTTTCTCTCAAAGAGCATTTGTGCAAAAATAATTGACTTTGGTGGCATACTCTGGAGCAGAGCTTTTCAACACAAAGACTTTTACATGACTGGTGCAGAAGCACCAGTAATTGGTATGTGAATGAGTCAGGGACGCCGGAACGACTGAAGGACCAGGGGAGGGGGGGCAGGCTTCAGGAAAAGGGCATCTGAAAAAAAATTTCCAGCTTCTACCAATTCTTTCGTAACTAACATTCTATGGCGATGTTCTTTAGGCATGATTTAAATGGGCTAACTGCTGTCACAATTTCATCATGAATATGGCACTACGGTCAGGATTTCATTGAAAGGTACTTTTGTGAAATGGGCACTTTGACCCCTTTCCCTTCCTATCAAAGGAAAAGAGGGGCAGTTGTTCCCCACACCCCTCCTCCCCGGCGCCCCTGGAATGAGTGTAGAGCAATTTACCAAACATACTACCTCAAACTCAAAGTTTGTGATTTGACATCGACACCATAGAATCCCTCGATAGTTTTTACACAACTGATTGACTTCTTTTCTAGCCTTGGATATGTCTGTCCTGCGAACTACAATCCAGCTGACTTTTTCATAAGCACCCTTGCTATTGTTCCTGGTAGAGAAGTTGAATGCAAGGAAAGAGCCAAGGTTGGTTTCCATATTTAACCAGAATTAATGAAAATAACTGTTTACCATTGTATTCTATTAACTAAAAGATCTCTTCAGTATGCAAACATATTATCTGATCTACATGAGTGCTCTTCAGATTGCAAGTAACTGTACATGTACCATAGGTGAATAAATACTATTCGAATTTTTTCGATTTTTTCTTGGCAATCTCTCCCTTGTTGTCTGCAAAGAGTGGTTAATTTTTTAAGTTACACATTCCTTTTCCAAGTCCTGGATTAGCATTTAAATTTCCAATGCATGGAGTGCAATGCTGGAGACAGTATAGATAATCACATTTTTCGAATGCCTATCCAAATTTCTATATTTAGAGATAAACTTGATTTTGGATATTGAAAAATGCATACGTAATAACATCATCAAGGTTTCAAATCAGTGCCATAAGGAAAATGGTAGCAGCAATTATTTGCTTCTCGTGTTCCGTTGTATTTACAAACGTTTCAAATTTACGTCGCTTGCATCAGATTTTTTCAATTTCTTGAATCAATCGAAGGGCTAGCTCTTGCATTTTATATTCAGTACTTTTTCTTAAATTATTAATCAGAAAATTTCAGTTCGTCTCTCTAAAGATCCTGACAGTCAGCTTCAATAGCTTGAAAACAGTGGCTTTTCATAGACTCCAATCTTTTGCACAATTCTTTTTATAATGGCTTTGAAAAAAAGCAAACATTTTACAACATATTTACAATTTTTCACAATTTTACAACATAGAGCCAATATATTGTAAAAAGTTTGCTTTTTTAAAAGCCATTTTCAAGCTCTGTACCGCCAAAAAACTGTTCAAATTATTTTTATAGAAACATCAATGACTTTGAGTAGATTCATTTATTATTATGCTTCTTGTTAATCTTTTTGTAGGGAATCGCTGATTCATTTGAAGAATATGCTGCTATACATCACTCTGGACAACATCATTACCACAAGGCAAGGCACCTTTCAGTTTTTAGTTCCTGGAATTTTTTATGCATAAATCTATATTAGTACAGTCAATTCTGTCTATTAAGGCCAGACGGGTAGGCAACTCAGGCCAAAATGTTATAAAAAGGCCAAATCAAAAAATATTTTTCAAAAATACATTGCGCATGCGCTGTTTATATTCTACTCGTGTGTCTTTAAATAATCTCTTGACTCAAATAAAAAAGTTACTTATTCTTATTTAAAAAGTTACTACAAAATTCTCATCTCAGGTCCCTTTAAAATGACCCTTTATCATTCGAATCTCTGTAAAACGAACAATTTTTTTACAATCCCCTAAAGAGATCAGATTACACAGATTCGACTGCATTTATTTCCGTGACTTAATATATCAAGTCATTGAATAAATGAACAACTACTGGGGAATATTGTACACATCCCCCGTCCAGTTAGTCTATCGAAAATTGTAAGCATTGACTTAAAATCTACATGAAGGGGGTAACTTTCTCATTAGAATACGCAAAGGTAATATGTTTTTTATTTTCTGTCAAGCTGCTAGACCAAATTTTGTAGTAAGTAACTTGGTGCCGTTAAACTGTATTCTAACCATCTTTTTTAAGCTGCTATTCTTGTGAGATTTAGAGTTGCATAGAAACAACATGCAACGTTACTTTAAAAGTCTTTTAATGATTTTTTTTTCAATTTTAGGGGTCGGATGAAGCCAAACTCGAGGAGCAAGGGTAATGTCGAATTCTTGGTTTTTAAGTTTTATTTGATGTTTTTCTAGCGGAAGCTATATTATTTTGTAAAAAACGCATTATCATATAGAATATTTAAATCGCGTTATCAGTTAGCTTTCAATTTCTCATCAACCAATACTTTTAACGATATCGATATATTTGCTTGTATCAATTTAATCCCTCTCTAATGTAATGTGTCATTTTTTGCCAATGTCCCTTTTTAGCTGAGAATAATCTGTTCAGTAGAGTGATAGATGCTAGGGCCAGATCCCTACCAATTAAATCAATTGAGTATATATATTGTATATTTTCAATATACCCTGTGCATTTTGTGAGCTAGTATCGGATAACATTGTGATAAAAATGTAGAAATAAGAGTTCTCAGAAAACATAATAAGAATGATTGACAAAAAAGTCTTTAAGGAGAATCAGCCCACTTAACCTTCATATTCTATCCCCCTTGGTAATTTTTCTCTCACTACAACAGCCTCAACTTAGGCTTGTTTCAAAAATAGTTTGTAACAGTAAATGTTAATTACTTTATTTTTGAAGATTTTCGGTGTTATTCCTTGTGCCTTCACAGAACCATTTTTATAGAAATAACAGAAACACTGTACATTTTCATAACATTATTGTTTATAGATACAAAGTTGGATTTTTCCGCCAAATGTCTGCTGTTCTTTGGCGTTCAACAATGAGCAACAAACGAGAGCCTTTCGTGAGCACGATCAAGACAGCACAAGTTATTGTATGCATCACTTTATGATTTTGCATTATTTACACCTAAAACTTCTAAATTTTTCACTCCTTGGTTCTGGTACTTTAATTTTACCTTTGCATTTTTATCAAGCATGAAATAGTCGTGGCGATTTGCATACATGAACACATACTTCTTTCGTTATACCAAAATGCACTCAGCGCTATATGCAATTATTACCTTAATATTTACACAATTTTAGCAAAGATATTTCATCTGAACTGGATGACCTCACCTTAAAGGCTGATACTGAGAATAACTAACATTTCACGTAGCAAGTCAATCCAAGACTCTATCTTGTCGCAAAATTGTGGGCCTCAATCGCCGCCGCTGATTTCACATCATGCCCAATGAGCTGTGATGATGAATGGTCACATAGAAACTTGCATGCAACTATAATCACATCATTTGGTTGACTGTTGATCAAATCTACTTCTAGCAAAATGTCAAATTATTGCCATTCTGTACAAAACTGTGCATCTGAATTTTTCATCGCAGCTTCCAACACAGAGGATTCGCATTTTATACTCTATGTGATTATTTTTCTGTTCTTTTCAAAGGCAATAGCATTGCTGGCGGGATTGATCTACTTGCAACAAACTTATGATCAAGACAGCATACAGAATATTGCCGGAGCCATGTTCTTTTGTATTACATCATCTTCATTCAACTCAATGACATCAGCATTGTTTGTAAGTTTCCTTGAGTAATTAGCCACTCTCCAGTCGAAACCTTTGCTAAGTTTAGTACGGACTGTGCAATATTGATAAACATTCTGTCCAGACAGAGGGCTGGGTCTAGTTTATGAAAATAATTTATGCAATGAAACCATTCAAACTTTGCGAGAAAATATTCGAAGACATATTCACTGAAGCTAAAACAGGACGTAGATAAGATGGTGCATGATTAGTTTAAAGTTTTACAAGGTTGGAACCATTGACAATTCCAGCTTATTGCATAATTTTCAAGGGTTGCATAATCCTGGTAGAAACTGTGGACAGGATATTTATCAATATTGCACAGTTAGAGGCTGTGGTTTATAAGCGTCATTGGTTTGGGGAGATGGGTGTAATAAGACATAACGCTAATTCAAAATCATATGTATTTGCTAAATAGTGATTTGTTTTAATTTTGTAACTATGATATTATGACAAGGTGGGTCCTGCTCACACCATACCAGATTCATTTTGCTTCAGTATCGCAAATCTAATCTCATACGATCATTAAATTTTTCACGATTTTGTATCCGAATCACTGGCCCTATCTCAATCGAGTATTATGTTTTTCACTATGTCCCGTGTGGATTCCGTATTGGAATCAACGGCCCAATCTGTACGAATATTATGTTTTCCATACAGTCCCTAGTTGATTTCGAGGCACCGGTCCAATCTCATAGGAATATTATGTTTTTCATACAGTCCCTAGTTGACTTCGAGGCACCGACCCAATCTCATAGGAATATTATGTTTTTCACAATATCCCGGGTTGATTTTGTATCGGAATAACAGATCCAGTCTCAAACAAATACTTTGTTTTTCGCAATATTCGGGACTGGTTTTTTATTGGAATCACTAGCCCAGTTTCATATTATTTTTTTCGCAATATCCCGGCTTGATTTCGTATCGGAATAGCAGATTAAATCTCAAACAAATGTTATGTTTTTCCATATAGTTCTGTTCTTTATTAAACAGTGATCAGTTTATCTTTCACATTTAAGGTATTTCCCGCTGAGCTGCCTGTGTTTTTGAAAGAACATAAACTAGGGATGTATCGATGCGACTCATATTTTCTAAGCAAAATGTTGGCTGAGGTGAGAAAAATCATTCTTAACTTTTAAATTCTGTTATGCAAAATTATATCAATAAGTTTACACTAATTATTAAAATACAGATTTGTTTCACTTTCTTTCAGTGCCTGTTTGGGATTAAGCTTAAAATCAAAGATTTTTTGTTTCTTTCACTTTTTTCCTAGTTCACGATATAGCTCAATAAAGAGTCTTTTTTTAAACCTGCAATTTAGTGTTACATCGGTCTTCATATTCCAGCTCCCTTGGTACATGCTTGGGCCGTTCCTCTTCTCGACAATTGTCTATTGGATGATTGGTAAGTTATCATCTATTCAAAAGAAACTTTGCCATCATTTTAAGATGAAATTTTTTTGAAAATTTCCTTGAATCTACTCAATTTAACAGGATAAGGAAATGCTCCCATGAACAGTTTTTTACAACGTTGATAATTTGTTAGTTAAGGCTTCCCAAAGCAATTATCATGCTGTACCCTGGTCATTTGTTTTCAATAGAAAAAATTATGAAATATATGTTGTGTTATACATCTTGTTATGCATTCTAATATCACTTCTAAAAAGCAACTTTTCTCTTTTTAGGCCTAAGAAGTACATTTGAGAACTATATAATTTTTTGCTGTATCATATTGCTCATCAATCAGTGTTCTCTTTCATATGGTGAGTTCCCAATTATGAACCATTTGTTGCTTTTTTTGTCACTGTAATGCCGATAACTTCAAAGCACTTTGACCTGTCAATCAACCTTGCAGAGTTATCAATAGGCTTTGCCACGTGTTTATTATTGAAAAATAGCGATAATATAGTTAGCAAATAGATCGAGTACCAGAATGAAAATAAAATAGTTTGATTGTTAAAAACACGACGCTTTGAGCCACTGAACAAAGAAACAAGCTAAACAAAGAAAAGGCGAAATTCTGTATTCGGTTGCGTCGCATCTCGCATTCTTTTCTATTTGTCGAATCTCGCCTTCTCTTTGCTCGGCTTGTTTCTTTTCTAGCAACTTGATAACGAGTATGCCAAGTAAGACATCGTGTTTTTAACAATCAAACTATTTTATTTTCATTCTGGTACTCAATTTATTTGCTAACTGTATTATCATTATTTTGGATGAAGTACCACAGGCAACGTACATATTTATATTTATATGTTTATGATGGAGTAAACGTTGAGTGTTAGTCTTAAGTTAGGGTTTTAAATTGCCCAACCAATCAGAAATTAAAAAATCAACCCCTCGCACACCTTCATAAAATATTGAGCTGTTTAAGGCACCTTATTTCATATTTCTGTGCCAACACAGGTATAGTAACACTTAAGTCAGATATCTAGATCACTACAAAACATATATGTACTTTATATACTTTTAGGGTATCTTATCTCCACGATATCGCCATCGGTTCAAGTTGCTAGTGCACTCGGTGCTCCTATGATGATGCCGTTCCTTTTGTTTGGTGGATTCTTTCTGAAGGATGAGTAAGTGACAACTTCCCTGTTTCATATCAGACAAGCCCTTGTTTATATCAGGGGTGGGCCATTCCTGTAAAGTCTCCTGGTGGAAGACCTGCAGTTCTTTCTGTGGTCTCCCGCATACAGTCACTGGTCTCCCAATGGCACTCTGGCGACAAGGGTGAGCAATTCCGGTAAAAATTTGGCCACCCAGCGGTTACCCCGTGTAACGATAAGCCATGTCCTGTGGATAAAAACCGGTCTTTGCAGTTGCGCAGGATACCGAATTGTCCACCTCTGCATATACATATACCTTTATGCAATAATAACGATCAATAATAAAATGCTATAGGCAATAATAACGATCAATGTAAGTAAATTGTACCAGGAAATTTTTTTTTAAAATAAATAACGACGTTTGCGAGCATAACCCTTTTAGGCAAGACTGCAAACAGATCCTGAGACTACTCTGATTAAAATTTTTCAAAATTTTATCAGCAAAGTAATTGTATCAGCAAGTGCCAAAAACAAACTCTTTTTGCTATCATTTCACTGTTATCTGAAATGTTGCTTTTTTAACAAGGGTTTTCATAACAAAGGTTTAGGTATTCTCCTATGTTTATCGCATTTTTCCAACCACTCTTTCTTTTATACCAATACGACCTATATGTATTGTCTTGTAGGTCAGTACCACCCTATTTTATTTGGCTCAAGTATCTCTCTTGGTTTAAATACAGTTTTGAAGCACTGCTTGTGAATCAATGGGATGGTTTTGGCAGTATTTGTAAGTTCCACTTTCAACTTTACAGAACCTGACGGTACTTTGATGTAAAAATTCCTCGTCTGCTGCACTGTCTAACACCCCCGTGACAGAAATTATGGGGGCCTGGGGGCTCAGGCAGAATATTCAGCTCTCTTGTTGGGACATGTGGGCCCAGTCGGCGTTATTTTTGAAAACCTTGGGCTTTCAGTATGTTCAAGGTTTGTCAATTTCCCGACGAGAGCCCAGATTTTTGATCCAAGATTTTATCTCGTCTGAAAGTCTTGGGCCTGAGCCCAAATGCAACCTGAATTTCTGCCACTGCCAGTGTAAGAAGCATTCCCCTTGGTAACAATTTCCCAATCAGGTAGTCCCCATATCAATAAATTGACTGACCTGGGTCCTTCTTTAGATTTTTCTCCAGTCAGACTTAAGTTCTCTTTTTGGTACGATGTCTGATCCCTGGCCCGTCAATATCAAATTTTACTGTTCCAGTCATACTGACCTGCTGTCCCTTATAAAGAAAATCTCAGCAGCATGCACACATTGGCAAGGCTAATTATATTTGACGAAACGAAACAAAACAAACAAAACAAGCGAAACTGATGTAATAGCTCGTAAGATGTAAGATGTGATCTAATAGATGTAAATAGATGTAATATACTATTTGCAACATAGAGGTCTCAAGTGTGACGTCACAGAAAAAATGTTTTTAGAATTTCCGAATTTTGACCACATAACATGAAAGAACACTATAAAATACTCCCATATATGCAAAATCAGTTAAATTTGTCAAAAATTGGGTGAGTTATGGCCAATAAAAGATTTGAAGTTTGCTAACGGATTACTCTTTTTTTATAAGTGCAATTTATAAGAACACGAGCCTCAAAATTGGTCAAAAGTTAAGAACAAATTAAGAACAAGCTGAGGCTGAGCTTCTGCAAAATGCAATTCTGAACAACGTTTTTTCTCAAAATCGAGAATTTTTTGGGATGTGTGGGTGCTTTTTCGTCGAATATTCAAACTTTTCGGCAAATTAAGGTTGTCTCACTCACTTTGTTGGCAAATGATGCCTGAACACCTCCCTAGAGCGAAAAAGCTAGCACTCGCACTGCTTACACCCTATTAGATTAAAAACAAATTAAGAACAATCCAGCCACAGATTTTCGAAAAAATTAAGAACAGTCAGCCTGAACTTAAATTTACTGGTTCTTATAAAAAAAGAGTGTACTGTTATTTTGGCTCAGTTCATAAAGTTAAGGTTCATTAAGCAAGGTTTGATGGGGCCAGAGCTTGTGCTCATCTGGTCATATCTCAGCCAATTCGTCATACCTTTAACTGATTTTGCAGATTTAGAGGTATTTCTGGATGCTCTTTCAGGTAATGGGAAAAAAATTCAAAAATTCTAAAAATAGATTTTTGTGACATCATCACTTGACAACTCTATTGAAAGGAAACCATGCAACCAATGCCCCCGACAAGAATTTCATGATTTCGTTTCGATCCCTTTTTCAAAGTTCTTTAAAAGTCATCGCTGATGGGCAAGTTCTCATTAGTTAACATTCTCACAAATGAAAATTAATGCCCCTGACAAGAATTTCATGGTTTCATTTCGATTCTGTAAATAGATTTGGAGCTATTGCATCCATTTTGTTTGTTTTATTAAATACCACTTTTGTTTTGTTTTGTTTCATTTCATTTTGTTTTGTTTCCTTTTGTCAAATAAAATTATCCCATTGGCACTGAATAATTAAATAACATTGCTTAGGTTTTGAAATCAGTTTTTAAGAAGGTTTGGTAGCATCCAAAAGGACATGGTTACAATGATTTCAAGGGAAAAGCTTCTAAACGCCCCACTTTTTAGACCACTACCTTTCTCGACACTCTGTGGCGCGTGACCTCCCCTTAGTTTTCTCATGTCATGGACTCAAACCACAGACCCTGTAATCTGTAGTCTGTGACCCTAAATACTGGATTACTGGTAACTAATGTTTTTTTCTACTTAGCATGTCCTAAAGTGGCACCAACACTAGCACTTAGCAATGCAACAACGGCAACAACTGCTGTTGTTCCTTGCATCAAAACTGGCCAACAAGTTTTAAAATACTTTGATCTAGATGCGGTATGTTCACTTTTATTACATCTTTTTTAGACTTTTTGAAATATGTTTCAGGTGAACTGGCATGCAAAGTTAACTTGACCTCAAATGAAAGCTTATTGAACATAAATACCAGAGACATTGTCATTTTTATATAATTTTCAACACAGTTTTTGAGTTATTGAGCGTCAAAGTTAGCCACCAAACATTTTTGAGCAGCACAACCGTCTGAAAGGCCGTAATTTTATCATTTTGGTTGTCTTTAGACTAAAGCAGATGTTTGAGGCTAAGCAGAGTATGAATAAGTATTGATGTGAATTAGAGTACTTTAAAAATGTAGTCAGACCTGCTAACGTTTTAAAATATGTCCATGAACTTTTCATTGACTGAAAGCAAAACTTTCAAGTTCCTGTTCATCACAAACATCTAGATCTGCTAAGTTATGTAGTAGCTTCTTATAAACACATTTGTATTGTGAAGTTCTAAAATGATTTTATACATAGTTGATGTTGTACACTCATTTTTTATTAAGGGAAAGAGTACACTCAATTTTATTAAGCATGCATTGTTTGGTACATTGAGGCTGAAATCTAAGAATTTTGAAGCATCTAAGAAAGAATTTTATTTACTCTTGAGGCAAAAATGTGTTTGGTCAATTTTGAAAGAGTTGTTGCTTGTCTAATGGGTGATATTGAAAGTGATGCAGGACAAATTTGAAAAATGCGTGGAAATTTGAGTAGGGGTCTTCATATATTGCAGATTTCTGGCATCTTCATGGAATTCTCTACATTTGACAGATGCACCTTCTCTCGAAAATATACATGAAATATGGAACATTTTTAAAATTTTATCTTCTTCAAATTTGCAAACTTCTTCACCTAAGATTGTATTGTAAAAATGAACTGGTCACATCTTGTTTTCGCTGGTCTTCAGCATCTATGGAAATATTTTCACAACAAAAATTGGCTAAGAATGACTGGAATTGAGGATTTGAGCCATTTTTATTGCCATTTTACTATGCCACATATTTCAGCACTACACTTCTTTCACATAGAGATATTTCCTTACAGACTCGTTTGGGATTGGACATCGGGATACTGGTAGTACTGGCTGTTGCTTTCAGGGTACTTGCATTCATATTCCTGGTGATCAGAGCAAGTAGACGGTAGTTCCTGTAAGTGTCTAATATTTGCAATCAAATCAAAGTTACAAATGTGCTGGGAACAAAATTCATATTTGGAGGTGCCCATTATATTACTTCTAACTCAGTACCCTGGTATGCCGGGGCGAAATATTAGCCTTTACTGATTTATGTGTATTTATTGTTGTTTATTCTCGGCATATTGCGGTGTTTCATATTTGCTACAAATATACTATAGCCTGACAATTATTAGGGGGCCCTTTATTTTATCTGCTATTACAAGACCAAGAATGAGATTTCCTTACGAATGAAATATGATTGTCTATATTTCAGTAAGTAAACCTAAGACATATTTTTGTATTGTTATCATTGATTAAACGATTCTTGACAACCTGTTTCAACCTGCACCATTTAAACTGCGTTGTATTAACCTGATGACCAGCGTTTTGACCTGGTGTTTCAATGCAAGCACAATATAATTTTTGTGGCAGTTTCTTCGATAAGTAGTAACTAAAAGCTTGTTTTAAACAATCTTCCTTTTAAAAATGAAATTCAAGCATATGGATTATGAATCTTTAACAGAGAAAAGCCTCTAAATCAGATTTGTGTTAGAAACAAGACAGTGTTGGGAGAACAGTGAATTCTCATTCCATATAAAACAATTACAATACTTTAAGCTACAAACAACAAAAGGCTACAATAATCAGTATTAACAAATTAATTTATATTTAGTACAATATTGTAATAATGGGCAGGAAAGAATAGCTTATTCACATGTGGTAGTAGAGTGGAGGGTGAGAGAATTATGCACTCTCAAATTTCATTTATGTTGCAAGTGAGTGTATTAGGAGATACCCTTAGATATACCCTTAGTGAAATTACCCTTATGTGGCAAAAGGATGCTAAACCCAAATATACATGTATGCTGATAGGCTTAGAAGACTATACAACATACCCTGACTCACTGTGACCAATGGAGATATTAGGAACTAAGGCCCTATTGATGAACAGGCAATATTGCCAATAGGCATGTCACTTAAGCATGCAATATTCACTCTATACCCAACACTTCCTGATTTAGACTAACATTTAAAACTAAATGTGCACCTAAATTGGTACAGCGAGTGTATTATTTCCAAAAACTGCTGTTCTTGAGCAGCTGGAAGAACCCACACATCTATGATGTCCCTACACAGGCTTATTGTATTTTGCGAAAATTTTCGCATAATGCGAAAATGCGAAATTTCGCAAAATACAAGTTTCGAGGTGGTATTTTGTAAAATGCGAAAACTGATTCTAAAAACTTTATTTGCCCATATCAACGACCGAAAACAAGCAATTCATATTCAGGGCGACTCTGTTCATGCAAATAGCCTAGTTCATGTCCCATTTAACGTTAGATAACTCATGGACACATTTTGGAAAATGGTTCAAAAACCAACCACACCAAGGCCATGAACGGCCTAATTATGAATTGCCCATTCCAGCGAAAGACGATAACAGTAAGCATCCCGGTGCTTGCTAATTGGTAATTGGTAAATACCCAACATTCTGCGTGTTCTGTGTTGTTTTAGGAGTAATTTACGCCTTTATCCACAAGGCCTATTTTCCTGCTTCCTTCCCGGTGAAACCCGCCTGGCTGGAAAAGGACGGGGGTGATGTCAAAAGATTTTCGCAAAATACAAAATGGCTGGGGTTTTTTGTATTTTGCGAAAACTCGCCAAACATTGTCGAAATATTAGTTTTTATTTGAGAAAATGTACGGAAAGGCTTTGGATTGTATTTAAAATTTTGTTTTTTTGAGTAGGCATCAAAAGATTCGATCCAATTAAAGAATTTTCGCAAAATACAAAATGGCTAGGGGCTTTTGTATTTTGCGAAAACTCGCCCAACATTGTCGAAATGCTAGTTTTTATTTGAATAAATGTACGGTAATGCTTTAGAAAGAGGCTTTGGGTTTTTTTGATAGTGTAGCAGGAACCTATAACAAAAAGGTGCATGCATTTTCTTTGGCGCCAGACAATGACTCACTTCTTAAAAGAAATTAGCAGGACACCCATTATTTGTGTCATCAACGTGTGAAGACTTCCCTCTTCTCATTCATAATGACATTTTTCTTTTGTTCTACTTCCTGGGTGCCTATTTGTGCCAATCTGGTGACATCCCATGTGATTGAATTTTATCGGTTGGGCGAGTTTTCGCAAAATACAAAAACCCCAGCCACTTTGTATTTTGCGAAAATTCTTTAAATTGATCGAATCTTTTGATGCCTACTCAATTGACAAGATTTTAAATACAGACCAAAGCCTTTCCGTACATTTTCTCGAATAAAAACTAACATTTCGACAATATTTGGCTAGTTTTCGCAAAATACAAAAACCCCCAGCCATTTTGTATTTTGCGAAAATTCTTTAATTTGATCGAATCTTTTGATGCCTACTCAATTGACAAGATTTTAAATACAGTCCAAAGCCTTTTCGTACATTTTCTCAAATAAAAACTAACATTTCGACAATGTCTGGCGAGTTTTCGCAAAATACAAAAACAACCAGCCATTTTGTATTTTGCGAAAATCTTTTGACATCACCCCCGTCCTTTTCCAGCCACGCGGGTTTCACCGGGAAGGAAACAGGAAAATAGGCCTTGTGGATAAAGGCGTAAATTACTCCTAAAACAACACAGAACACGCAGAATGTTGGGTATTTACCAATTACCAATTAGCAAGCACCGGGATGCTTACTGTTATCGTCTTTCGCTGGAATGGGCAATTCACAATTAGGCCGTTCATGGCCTTGGTGTGGTTGGTTTTTGAACCATTTTCCAAAATGTGTCCATGAGTTATCTAACGTTAAATGGGACACGAACTAGGCTATTTGCATGAACAGAGTCGCCCTGAATATGAATTGCTTGTTTTCGGTCGTTGATCTGGGCAAAAAAAGTTTTTAGAATCAGTTTTCGCATTTTACAAAATACCACCTCGAAACTTGTATTTTGCGAAATTTCGCATTTTCGCATTATGCGAAAATTTTCGCAAAATACAATAAGCCCCTACACATAAGCAACACCCATTGATCTTCATTTGGTTTACATTGCAACAAGACTAGAGGAACTATAGCAAAGCAAAATGGAGACAATGACTACTGGGGTTATCTTGGAAGGGGTGTCTGACAAATTCTACTTAACAGTTTCTTCTACTTGTCTCCTTCTAATGATTTAACAAGAAAAGGTGTTTCTTAACAGGATTACTCCTCAGAATGATCACTTTTTATCAGTGAACAAAAACAAAATTCCATTTTTTTTCAAATGTTGAACTTGTTAATCTATTTTACAGGAATGGACCTATCCAGAAAAAATGACAAACAATTAACTGCTCATTATAGCTGAAATTATTGCTAGCTATCCTTTTAAGATTACTGAGGCATTTATCACTGGCTAGACAAGGATTACAGATGCAGGAGCAAGGCTCTGATGGGTATATTGCTGACTCAAAAGGAAATGCTTTAAGAATTGGTCATATAATTAATAAATCCACTATGATGACAATTCACAAATCATTTTTCCTTGCTAGAGCTTGCAATGTTTAAAATGCTCTACCCTCTTCATGCTTCCCCTTTTATAACCTATGTCCCATAGAGATAAAATCAACAAACTTGATCTGGCCTTCCTCACTTCTTAGCTCCTCTCTCCCTATTCTTGTTTAAAGAATGGACAGGGTATGGATAGGTCATAATAGGGCAAATATTGTCTTTAACACCAATAGTGTTTGATTTTCTCTTTGAATTTATCAATTACCATCCCACCTATCAGTAGCTGGCTCTCCCTTTGGTTGCTGATCTTTATTAGCATTTTCATCAGCATCAGCAAAAATTTTGTACATACAGTTTATGTGCTAATCATGCAGTCCATCAACCATTTTAGCAGTATGCAGTTTAGCCATTGTAACTCAATATTTTACGGATTTCAGTTTTACCAAATAAAATTCTTGAATTGGGCAATCTTATACCGTGTTTGCATGTCATACATAATTCACACTCTACTTGATCTGTTAAAAGTCCAGATAATTTTTAAGATGTCTTGAATTTTTAGGCTATTAAATAAATTAGTTCTATTCAAATCTTGTCTGTTTCTGAGACAACTTCTAGGCAAAAGTTTGTTTATAAATTAATCACCATCGATAAACACATTAGTAATGAACATGCAGAATGTGCGCCATAAATTTACAATTTTTATAAAGTTGCAAGGAAAATCAACCCCACATGGTTTCTTAGTACCTGTTACAAAATCAAAGCAATTTGAAAATCCCCTCATAGCAATGCAGGTATTTCAATTATCTTAATCTTTACAAAAAATTAGAAGCCTGTGTTTTTAAAGAGGTATTTATGAGCTTTGATCTTAGTAAGAAACAAATTAATTTCTACTGTGTAAATTTCTACTTCGGCTTTTTGTTTGTATGTTCCTAAAATTCACTATTTGTGTTCAGAGTTAAGTGCAGCAAAATATGTAACTGCTTCTTGGTGTATAAGTTGTTAAAATTGTTAGAATTATTATCAAAATGCAAGTACATAAATGCTTTAAAAACAGTTGTTGTAGTATATTTAACCATATTGCTGAATTATTTCGAAAATATGCTTTTATGAGTTAGTCTCTCTCAGTTTGTAGCCTATTAACATGAAGCTATCTAGAAGGTAAGGGAGCAAAAATAAATGCACTCAAAAGAAAGGGAAGGCAAAATGTTTTGTTCTGAAAAAAAGCATATCAAAGATTGCACCCTTTAAGAAACAAAGAGTTGATTTGCTGAATAGGATGCATGTATACTTTTTAGGTGATGTAATTTTGAAGGATAATTTTTTAGCAGAGATGCAAAAGCACAGGTCAATGTTGGATTCAAGATCCAAGGTGCTTACAAATGCCCAACTCTATCACCTTTTCAAAAATAATACAACATCTGGCCTCAAGTCTTCAAACAGAAAACTTTATTCACCATCTTTCATATATGTGTTAATTTATTTCATATGTTACTTCTGTTTATACTTGGTATTTGTAGGACGATTATTGAGTAATGGACTGCAAATTTTTATGATTTTTTCCCTAAATCCTTCTAAATCAAGTACAACAAATGTTTTTGAAGAATCTCTGAATTATAACCTGATGACTACTTGAGCTAAAAACTGCAGACCCTAAGAAAATTGGTGAAAAAATGGGGATCCTTGAAATTTTACAATGGCTCTCAAACCAATGTTTTAAATGATGAATGTAATCGATGAAAATTAAAAAAAAATTGCAATTCGAAATTACTCATGGAATGGAAGAGGTAGATGTATAAAAGATCATATGAGAAACAAATATGTTAATTCAAAAATACAAACACTTGTTCATTTCAAATTTTCATCAATGATTCTATTACATTTCTAATCAATGATTTTTTAACAGTTATGTATCAGGTGTGAGTTTTTGTGTGTGTTCTGTTTACATAAAAGTATAAGATGCGGCTTTATATATTGTAGCGTAAATTGTAGCAGAAATTGGAGTGTAGATTGGAGTGATTATTTTGTTTCACCTAGTTTTATCACACAAAAACTTTATCTCTTTAAATGTCCACACTATTTGGCTTCTTCAATTGTTGGTGGAATGACACAAGTTGGAATGTGAGCATGATGTAGAACATAGTCGCTAACACTACCAAGTAAAGTGCGGCGCACTGTGCCAAGACCCCTTGAGCCCATCACAAGCGTGTTAGCGTTGTTTTCTCTTGCAATCTTCACGATTGTCTGGCCAGCATCGTTTTCAGCAGTTTGAAGGAACAATACATGCTTGATCTGTGAAGAAAATACAAATTTCAGATGAACCTTGTGTCTAGTATGCAATCTAGCTATCCATGTATGTCTTTCTTTGATTCTTTAGCAATGAGGTTTAAGCAAAACGATTGGTAGGACTCAAATTAGGCTGGATTTTTTAATGTTTAAGGCCTCTAAACCATTATGGATACATATCTCTTTAGACTGGATACTCATTGTGTTGTTTCTTTTTAAAACCAAATCTAGGTTTTCATTTGATTTATCATATTTACTGAGCATAACAACTGAAGATGGGATCTAATTGTGAAAAAACATGCAATCTACACCAAAGCATCTGTCATGATGACCTTCAAAATTCCCATGATAAGCCATTTAAATCAAATTTTCAAGTAATGTGGTAACTATGTTTTAAGCCATTGGTAACAATTTCCCTTGTAAATAAAGGCTATCTTCTTTAAAACCCCATTGATGCATCTAGTGGTTAACAAAATCTAGCATTACATGTAATAGGGTCTTGTTAGGTCATAACCTCCTCATTAAAGTTTTCCACAAACACCTGCTCCTGTTTGGTGGTTTTCAAAGTTGGTAGATTCAATGAAAACATCAAATGCAGATTATCTACAGGGTCTTCATGAAAGACAATGTGGCTTTGCACTTTCACACTGGGAATAAATTGTGAATATAACCAAATAAACAAAGAACTTTGTGAGATTGTTTTGGAGACTGAAGACAAGGACAAAGGAACAACACATTTTGAGGAATAAATAGTTGACTCTCAGGATGTATTAGATTGTACTACAAAAGAGCCTGCAAGGAACAGTAATGAACAAACTGAACAATTCAATTACTAAGATTCTGCCTTTGAAACAAGACCCATTCAATACTTAAGATTGTGCCTTTTACACAACAACATTGAAGGTAGTACATGCAGGAGGCACAGTGGGCATACGTCCCCCACTTTTAAGAGTGCTATGCTAGCCAATAAGCAAGAAACAAGTGTAGAGTGCTTATTTGCATCTTGCAAATGTGCCCTTTTTTCCTAACATGCATCCTCCACCTTTGAAAAGCTTCCTATTTCAATGACAATAGCAATGATACTTTTGTGATTCTGTCAAACAAAAAGCATTGAAATTCATTTGCTTTAGGTTAGGACATATTTCTAAGTACAGCAAATGCTGTTCTTAGACAATTTCTGCCAATTGTGGCTCTGTTTTCATTCAGATGCTCTTGCTTCCTGCTTTATGGCATTGATTCCAACACACCATGTGCCTAACCTAGGCAATGTCCTTACAATATAATTCAGTCCAAACCACAGGGAGAATGCAAAAATACTCTTTACAGTGGTATCAATTCAAATGATAGAGACCCAGATGCCTTTACATTTGCATTAACCTCCCATTGCTCATGTTATCTGAATACTATACAGCTAATTTAAGAGGACATTGCACAAAGATGTTTCATCATACACTCCATTGTAGAAAAGTATGAGATAACAGCTGACTGAATCATATAAAAAGGTTCTAATTCTGCTTTGGTGTTAAGAAAAGGACACTCGCAAATTTGAGATTCACATGTTTCATGTTCCAATTATGTTCTAATTACACATTTGTGCAAATTTTCAATATTGTGTTTACTGAATAAATACAGCCATAGTAAATCAAAGATTTGAAAATGAAAACTCACATTTTTTTCTTTGCATTGCTCAATATATTTGTCAGCTACAGTTTTGCTTTGCTCAACGCTCTCATTAACCATCATCTGATAGCCTTCACTCAATACAGCTCCGCCTGCTACAGAGATTTTAGATTTTTAGAGATCAAGCAAGGTGATTTAAACCCCTCTCTACTTGTGTACAATTGCACACTTGAATACATAGATTGTTTAATCCTCTTTAAGGGAGATAAACAATACTGAATTGTCAAGCTTTAAGATTGAGCCACCCAGTATTTTTGTGCATTTCCACGCCCCAGCCAAAATGCCATTAAGGTAGGTTTATAGCATTGGATTGTCATGCCTGAAAATCGAGCGAATTAGATTTGAGCATATTTTTGTGACTCTAGTATAATGGAGACACTCACAAGGTACATAAAACTGACATCAGAGGTACAAGAAGCAAAGTGGCAACAACTTTTTGAAACTTTCAATCAGCATCGAACATAAACATTTTCCTAAACGTAAAAGACAATTTCCCTGAGATGCTATGTCTGATTCCAGTATCCTTGTTTCCATAGGCTTCAATATATTCATGGTATTTAGGTAGGTAAGAAGATAAACTTGTAACAAAGAAATCTTTAGTCAATTACACAACTTAATTGCTTTTGCCATTTTTACTCCTTAATTACTTTTAGTTCCTGGCTTGGAAAACTTTGTGGCATCGACACCTAAATACAGATACCAAATACATTCATTGTTGGAAGCAGAAATACTATAGCAACGAAACTGTCATAAATGACACAATACATACCGTATAATCCCATTGCTGGAAGGCTTGGCAGTTGATGAATATGAACAATGCCAAGCGTATCACCTTCTCTGTGATAATTTTCAATATACCCTAAAACGTAATTCTATATAGAACACACTATCGAGATTACGTGAAACTAAACTAAACGTAAAACTCGTATAAAATACATCATTGATCGTGATCGAAACCCTGTCCTACGAGTTTATCAATTCATTGGGTTGGGAAACGACAAAGCCATGAATTCTCCTCTCACCGCGGCCTTTAAGTGCATGCATGATTCAGGGCTTAACAACAACAAGTGGAGTGAGAGACCATCAACATGTAGGTATGACATGCGATAGTTGAAAGTGACCTTTATAATCAAAGTTTAAAATTTTGACTAATGATCGAGTTAAGAACTCATAATTCCTAAGAAAACGGATGATTTGAAGCGGGAAATAATTATACAAATCTTCAAAAACAATAGTTTTTTTAATGTTTGCGACAGGTTAAATTATCACCCGACATCATATTTAAAAATAATGGGCCTATCTAGACATTTCGAAACCCCACCTCAAGCAAAAGTTTTCCCGATGATAAGAAAAAGCAACAAACGAGATAACTACTCACAGGTAAAAGCACGGTCACTGTGTTGACTGCTGTCCACTGCAACAAGATTTAATCGACCCATGCTTATATGTGTTGCCTTTACAACTGCTTTCTTCCTTCTACTTTGACGTGTCTTTTGCAACAAGCGTGCGTTATTCACCCTCTACGTAGCAAAGGTCACACTTTCGTTGCCGCTCGGAGTTAGCGCATGCGCTTTGAATCAAGAATTAGAACAGCGCAAAGCAGGGGTCCTAAAAAATATTCAAAGGTCACTTCAAAAATAAATTCTGGAAGGAAGTTCAAGGCGAAGCAAAACCATCATCGAGACCGATTGAAATTGATGAAGTACAAAAGGCAATACACAAAATGGAAGCAACAAAGCTTCAGGTAAAGATGGGACACCAGCAGAACTACTAAAATAAAAAATATATTAAACAAGATTTTCGAAACACTCCGAGAAGATATCAACATTGGAAAATCTAATTACCAATCCCGAAACCAGGGAAAAAGAGGAAGGTCCCGTAAAAAACCTAAGGCCAATAAACTTGTTGAATAAGTAGACAACTATATTGCACCATCTCAAGCAGCCTACCGACAATTAAAATAAACAGGGGATATTGTTTGGGCGCATAAATTTATTGTGACAAAAACACAACTTCAAAAAGTTGACATAAAAGGAAACGAAATTATGTCTTCTGCCCTTGATACAATAAAGAGGCATAACTTAATTGATGAATTAAAAACGTTTTTGAATGAAGACAAATGTAGAATGGCTACTCATCAATAGAACAATCAACATCCAGCTCGGCAACAACAAGAATGGTGATATTAGTTCAAATGTAGAATCTCCAAAGGGCGATGCAATCAGTGGTACGTTCTTTAACATTGCGTTTGAAAAAAGTTTGAAATCATTACGAGCAAAATTATACCAATAGAATCAATATTTAGAACATTCAAATGCATTCATATCTCATTAACCAGAAGAATTAGTTTATGCTGATAATAGTGACTTTCCCACTGAAAGTAAGGAGGAACAAGAACATCTCAAAAGAATCGACAAAGATACCCTAGCTGAGTTCAACCATACCTATCCACTGAAAGTAAGGAGGAACAAGGACACCTCAAAAGGATTGATCAAAGATACCCTAGCTGAAGAGACGATAATAGTGAGAAGAAGGGATTAGAAAGAAGAAGAATGGACAGGGCCCATGCCACCGGGGAAGCCGTGGTGGCCATGGCCCCCTCCTCAATTTTTTGTGAAGCAGGTAATTTTAAAGCTACAATCAAAGGTGAAAGCAGCCTTAGCCCCCCACTTTCATTAGCCTTGCCCCCCTCTTTCAAATCGCGGCTTGGGCCCTGTTGGAGAACAACTAAACAATTAGGAAGTCTGCTAGGATGTCAAGAAGATATGAAACGTAGAATACAGTTACTGTTTGTAGATTCCAGCTCTATGAGCTCTATAAAGCAGATACAAGAAGCTGAAACTATATTAATCAAACGTTAAACAATTATTGCTTTACAACTCAGGATTTGACGACAAAACAACAACACGAAATTGATGTTACCCATCGAAGATAAAACTGATCTGTTATCAACGTAAAGAAAATATGTAACGAAAAATTGTTCAAAGAATGCAATGAGGAACCCAACAGTATAACGATAAAGAAAAACAAATAGAAACTCTTTGGACATATCCTGCACCTGCAAGAAAATACACCAGCAAACGATGCAATGAAATACTACTTCGAAAAGCCACAAATGAAAATAAATACTCTGGAAAACCGAGAAGAACCTTGCCAATCTCTATCAATCAAGTTGCAGGGACGTCGTAGCCGGAGGGGCAGGGAGGCCGTGGCCCCCTCTGCTCTCAAAATTTGATGGGTTTTCGGAAAAATCTTTGTTTTGTCGGAAAATTCTCAAACTTAAGCTATGGGTAATCCCCAAACTCTTAGCAACATAAATATCTTGGACTAAAGTACTTTCGGGAGGCAATTCACTTTTGTAAAGAAAATACTAGACTTCCACAAAGCAAAATGATTTCACAGGATTTACCGATTCCTATCGTAGAGTGATTTGCTGTTCGGATTTTGTTTGTTAAAACCCGAAACTTCCAGGCCCAAATTTGGTGATGGAAATTGGCCAAATTGGTATAAATTATATCTTTATTTGATATTGAAGACCCAAGACCGGGACAGTACCAATTTTGTGCCGATCACCAGATTTTTGAAAATTGTGTCCTAGATTTGAAAATTTATGCAGTTATGTTGCGTAAGGTAAAACAAGGTAGAAGTCGATCAAAACCATCGATTTCCCCCAGTGGATAGTCAATTTAAGAATGAGATTTTATCGTTAAAATTTGCTTCAAATAATGCGATTTCCGACGAATTTGAAGCATTAGATCATAAAAATTATTCTTAATTTTTAAAAGTAACTCAAAAGTAACTTCATTCTAGCCTTGTCCATATGTACGGAAGTCAGGGGCGTTCACTGTAAGTATGACAAAACAGAGACAAGATATAAAGTGCATTTTAAATTTCTTTCTAGCTAAGGCAAAAGTTATGAGTTTTCTGCCCCACCCCCTTTATACTTACATGAAATGCTTCTATTTGAGTGGAATAAATCAAAAAAATTTTGTCGGAAAATTTTTCTTTCTTGCCCCCTCTAGAATTCATTCGCTACGACGCCCCTGGATTCATTCGCTACGACGATCATTAAAAGTAACAAAGACAAATTCTAGTGAATCCTTGTAGCCTTGGCAATTTGGCACTTATAACATATCAAAATTGAAAAAAAGCTAAACTACTGGGGAAAAGTAGCATACAGTTTGGGTAAAATTATAATATTGTTTATATTCTTTTTAAAAAGCTCTTTTTTCTAGGTCCTAGCGTCATAGCTCTGTTGCTGTCCTCCGTCCTCCTCTTTCTTTGTTAGGGGATTGGTAACTAAATTTTACAAAGGCCTATGGGAAGAGTTATTCGTCCAGGCACCGTAAGTGGATATTTTTGTCAGGCCTAAAGGAGAAGTATATTATAAACTGACGAAAATAAAAAGCCAACCATGGCTACCACTGAAGGTAAGTGATTCCAAATGTATACTTTATTTATCAAGAAAACTTTGCAACTTCTTTTTAGCTCGATTCCGCTCTTGCAAACTTTTCCAGCTGGTCCATGTGACGCATCTTCATAGCACTTAGGCCCATTCTGAAACAAGCCCGCTTCGAGAGAATTTTGTGGATATTTGTTGCATGCAAATTTTTTAGATTTCAACAAATATCACTGATGTTTTAAATTTTTGGAGCATAGAGAAACTGCATAAGATTCCTAAAGTTTGTTTTCTCGTCTTATCTTTTCGGGGAAGATGTTCCACCATATTTCTTTGAACCGAAAAAGACCCGAAAATTTATTTAAGATCTCAGTGTCGTCACTAAGTACCACCACAAGCCGAATTGTTTATGCTTTCGTCTGTCGCTTGCTATTGTATTCCTTCTCATCTAGTACACTGTGATAAAGGAAGTATACTACAGTTTGACAATTATTGGGAGGGCTCCAGCCCCCCGTTTTGGATGGGCCTACAGACGAAAAACTTTCAGTAGTATGTTGTAATATGTTTGCTTAAATTTCGAAGCCATTTTCAAGTTCTGTACTGGCAAAAAATTGTTCGAAAGGATATAAGGTCATCTGGTTTCACTTTTTTGGGTGCTTTCAAAACAGAAGTCACCTTGATCTGGTCTTATACTTTAGCAAAGCAAATGAATAATAACATCCTTGTTATAGGAGAATAAAGTGGAACTTAATATTTGCACAGAAAGGTTACCTATTGGTAGTTTTTTGTTGTTTTTATACATATGTATGCACATAAGTTTAAAATCACTTTGTAAATTTTTTCACAGAAATGATCGAGAGCCACATAAAAAAGCTACAAGCAGAAAGACAAAATCAAAATGGAGGGCAAAAAGAGTCTTCTGGGGTTTGTACTTATCAAATTTTGGTAGCAGTTGAATAATTCAAAGTTCAAAGTAAAATATGTGCATGTGACACCTAATTTTTTTCAAATTCATATTTATGGTGCATATTTTGGTGCACTATATGTAAACATTAAATGTTGTTGAGGTCCCTTGTGATAAGTTTCTTTGTTTTTTTTTAAAAAAAGCATTGATGCTTGAAACTGCCTTTGACACATACACAACATAGATCAAGTTTTTTCACAAAATTTGTTAAATATACATGATGCTTTGTGTTACAGATTTTGTGCATTGATTTATTTTCCTACCTTTTGTGTCACATAAACATGCATCTGTCAGTGTTAAACTTTCATCTTTATATTTCAGGTTGCTTTTGGCAAAGCAGCTGAGTCTGACCTGTATGGAGATGAAAATGCGTAAGTTTCCTCTCATTATTGTATATACTTTACTTTATTAGTAAATGCTTGATTGTGTGAACTTTTCATAAAAACAAAATTTGATTGTGTTGTTCATTTTCACCCCAGTTTTCAACAAACTTTAGGCTGTATTCACATTAACAGCTTGTTTTAGCTGGCTTTGTGAAAACGCAATTAGGTTTCAAACTTCCTGTTCATGTTGACAACTTATGTCAAAGCGTGGGTGGGCCACATGTTATGGAAATCACTTTGATGTTCTGCTCTAATCAAAATGATTCTTTACTTGGAGTTTTTGTTCTGCTCAAGCTTTGGAGTAATTTTTTTTATGTTTATATTTGAAAAAAACCGAACTCAAGGATTGCCATTTATCCATTTTATAGTCCCTCTTAATTACCAGTTTAGGAAGCAAACCTTGAAGTTTAGGAAGCAAAATTATAAGAAGTTAAGGAAGCAAACCTTGTGACTGCATTATTTTTGTGATTTCTGCCCAGGAATTAGTAGTTAAATCCCTGTTATAGTGCTTAGGGAAGCATTTTTCCACTTCCAAAACAACAGTTCAAAATCGATATTGAGTACTTTGCATGTAAGTTAACTGATCGCTAGCTCAATAGTTACAGTGCTTAATCACACTGGTTTCTGCTTGTCAAAATTTCTGCAGTCTGAACAAAGAAAGGGATTAACATAGCGAAAGTTGGCATGTGTCATAAGGTGCAAAAAGATTGTGCAATGTGAATGCAGCCTTATCGTTTGTATATACATAGATAAGGCATTGTGTTAGGTAGGTTCCCTTAAAGTTTCTACTGTTTTTTTGTTCTGTTGAAATCTAGGTTTAGATTTAATGAGAGTTGCTGTTTATTGGTCTGTCATAAAGTGCTTGATGCCATCCATATAGGCAGGGCTGTACATGCTGTTGGTGTTTTTGGTGTTAAGGTTTAGAATCATGCAGTTTGGATTTGGTTCTGTTATTTTTATATGAATAATATGTTGTGTATCTACAATCAAATATCTGTAACTTGTATTGACATGTTTGAAAAGTATGATTGCCACAAGTTTTTTTTTTCATTAGCTATGCTGGGTATGTGACATCAATTGCACCAAATGAACAAGATGAGGTTAGTTGTCCCTCACTTTGTTTGTTTCTTTATTTGTCTTGTATATCTTATATATTTTATGTTATGTATATTATTTTTAATATTTATGAGATATTAATATATATATTGATTTTTATTTTTATACTATTTATTTTTCTGTTTTGGAAGATAAATTTATATATTTGTATGTAGCATGAGAACAAGGAGATGCATAAAAAGATAATTTGTAAATGCCTATCCTACAGAAAATGCATAATTTTTGCTAAGGAATCTACAGTTTTTATAAGTTTGAATAAGTTTCAGTATAATTCTAATTGCAAAGTCATAAACACAATATTCTATTATTTTTGGCAAAAAAACTGTTTGTGACCATTTAATGATCTCATTTTTTCGAATGATATTGTCTGTTAGTTTTTTCAACCTGAAATGCAAAAAACTAAACTGCTTTTTTTCTAGGATGATGGTGATCAGGCAGCAACGCTCGGCGGTGGAAAATTGCCCTCCTTCACTGCCCCAACTAACATTTATAAAGATATTCAAAAGGAGAGTGAAGATGTAAGTTTTTGAAGATCTTGATGTGATTAAAATTCTAGACATGCTGTGGGCAAGTGAGCAAGCAAACTTTTACCAGATTGTTCCATGTCAAATGTGTTTATTTATGATCCATTTCTAGGATCATAAATATTTATTTGTAACCAGTTTAGTTCATTACAATCTTGATAAGTGTGTGTTTTGTAATCAATTCATAAGTAGTGCAGTGGATAGCTTTTTAAAACACAGCATGTTTCCTATTCGTAGATTGATCCAATGGCAGCATACAAAAGGCCAACTATTGCAGACAGAGAAGATGAATACAGAGCAAGAAGAAGACAGATGATCATTTCACCTGCAAGAATAGATCCTTTTGAAGGAGGTAGGGCTTTCCGTTCAGTAACATCATTCTTCTTTTCATGTTGTAAAGAGATGGCTAGAAAAGCAAATCAAAGGCCATTGTCTACTGAAGTAAATGAAAAATAGCAAACAAATGCTTGTATTTTTTATTTTGGTCAGGATTTGCTTTTCTTGTCATCTTTTTCTGTATAAGTGGTACACAGAATGACTGCTTGTCAATTTTGAATGTCCTTTCTCCATACTTCTTCCTAGCATTCTCAGTTGAATCCACAACACTGCTCCACATTTTGTTGTAAAACCTGAACTTGAATGTAGAATCTGATCTCAACTCTCTTTTGTTTTCAGGTATCTGGTAGAAGCCTCTTTTTGACCCTATATCAACTATTAAACCACCCAACTTAAAGTTATGATTCTTTAAAATATCCCCTGCAAGACAATTTTTGCATGAGAATCAACAGGTTAAAGATAAGGCCTAGTCATGAAGTCCAGTATTGTGTCTGACTTCACTTCCTGATGGAAATAAGGGCCCCTCTTTTATATGAGAAATTTTTTCTAGTATGCACCAAAGGTTCAAATTGAGGAATTATTATTTTAGGCATGAGTACCAGTTGATTGGATATACTTGAAAATATACAATTTGATATAAAGTTTATAGGCAGGATTTATTGAATTTCTTTCTCACATTCGTTAAGCCTTTGCACATGTGAAGTGATTATTAATCATCGTCTTTTTGCTTCCAATATGGAATTCTTGGTCGTCTTGGTAAGTATCAATGCAAAATGGAAAGAAGTGGTTTCTACAACCCTGGCACTGTCTGTCTGTCTTCCCCCTAAAAACAAAGCCTCCACAGAATCTCCCCAAAAAATTTCCTTTTAAAAATTTCCAAGGCAAAGCTATTTCCTTTTAGTGAATTTAGATAAGGCTGAGATATGACTGGCTTTTTGAAAACAAATAAAAAAGGAAAGGTTACCAAAAGGGTGCACAAAATTAAGCACAGGTGGGGGAAAACAATAAAACCTAGCACAGGTCTGTTTCAATCCACAACTGGGTATACATATATTCTAGCTTAGAATGTTGGCTTCACGTCCTATACTCTAAAGATAGTCAAATGAAAAAATTAAAGATTTTTTAAGATATTTTCTTATAAAAAGCCATGTTTGACAATTGTATGATAGAATAAGTATCATTTGAAGCTAGAGCTGAAAAGCCAAACAGAATTTGCTTGCCAGCGTTCACAATTTCATTAATCACGGTTTATGAAGACAGAAAGAATAAGTTACCCTCTTAAGGCGTCTGGATCCCCCACTGGCTTAGGATTGAGCGGATGTGAATGGTGTTGTCTGGACCCTGTCCAGGCTTGTGTAAGTTACTGATCATAAGGCTTGTTTTACTGACAGGACGATCAGCTGTTTGGACGCCCTGTGTTGATGCAATTGGAACAAGATGAAGTAGTCATATTGGTTAAATAGTTACGTGTCAAATGATAGATAAAAAGGCGGATGTGTATTCTTAATTAGAATAATTCCTTATCCTAATCTGTTACCTTTGCTGTATTTATTTACATAGAAAACAAGAATGTTCTGAGATACGTATAGCTGGGTATAACCATATCTGACAATGCTTTGCAGTTTGAATTTGAAAATGTAAGACATTTATGTTCCGCGTGTTATTGGGTGCTGACAAAAGTGGGTCATAACAACACATTACTAAGTGACACAACAGTCTCGACGACTTGGTTACTCCTTTGCCCTTTGTTGCTTGCACGTTTTGATTCAATGCAAGCATAATCTTTGTAAAAGCCAATTGCAAGGCTGAAATATTCGTGCAGAGTAATCGAGAAGCTACATGGTCGACTTGTTGTGTTGCAGTTTGATTTGCTGCCTCATTCGTCTTCAAAAATTCAAGCCAGCGCATCATTGTATTGATTCATTGAAATAACTCAGTTCTATTGCCCTCAGAACATTCTTTGTTTCAACCGTATACTTTTAATTTGATACATTTACGATTTCAGTTTATTATACTATAATTCATCTGTAACCAATTTCTGCAGTTTCTGGCAAAAGCTCCTAGTTTAGTGAACCTAATTACAATTTCCATAAAACTTTCGTAATACCGTAAAACAACAGATCCCTTTAGCCTTACATGAAACTAGGACTTTTGTCCATGAAAGTTGCAATGTTGGTTACAGCATGTTTGAACCAATTCACAAAAGGCAATGTGGAATACCATTGCACTAGCAGCGCTGCATAGACCTGGTTCAGTGAAAGCTATGATGGTAGCCATGTTTCTTGCATGAGCAAATGCCATGGCTGGTGCTGTTCCAGACGAGAAAGAGAAACAAGCAGTCTTTGTATTTAACTTGGCGTAAACTCTCGTTGTAGGCGGCAAAACACCGGACCCGAAGCAAGCTAGCAAGCTGGCAACCTTCGTCGATGTTATGCAAGGAATACGTCTTGAGAGGGAAAAGGTAAATCGCTAAGTTTCTACATCAATAGGCAAGGCAGAGCTGCTAAAGGCTTATTTGATCTCCATAAGTGTATATGGACGAGCTTAAATTTTTCTAAGCCGTTGACCTATGTCTTACAAACAGTGCTAAAAATTGACAACGTTGAGTCCCTTTATGATGGACCCAACCTCCAAAACTGTCCAGCAATCGAGCCGGCTCGAGATGTACACATTTCATATTGCTGTGAAATGAAAATAACTTATCATATATTGATATGGAAATAATCTAAAATAAAAGGTATAAAAATTACTCCATTTGCCCTTGAATGCTGATCTAACATTTTTAGCATCTTTTCATGATCTTTGGCAGTACTTTTTTGAAAAACCTGAAAGCTTCGCTATAAAACTTGAAGTTCCAAATGGTCAATCTAGTTTTCGTCGAGATCCCTGTATATTGACTCCACTGCCTCGTGTGATAAGATAATAGAATTTATTAATTAAAAGTTTTGTTTGGTCGTTGCTTTGGATTTTTTCATTTGGGTTATCGTAATGTTGCTTCTTAAGCATTAGGCGACAAAAATACTGCTATGAAAATCGTGCTTTGTCTTCTCCAAGTTCATTTAGACTCAAAGCTTTATAGTATACAGGCCTGTTTTGATAGTATACAGGCCGGAAAAATAGCATACTCAAGTACTTTTGGTTTGATACTCCTCAGATAATATCCAAAAGCAAGCAGAAAATTTATATTAAGACGCGGACCGAAAGTAGCATGTGATTTAAACGGCGTTGTTTGTATTGATGAAAAAGGCGTTGTTCAAATTTGTGGAACAAATGGCTTAGTTCATTACCTGATTTGAGTAGGTGTTATGTGTGGTATGGTCATTTGTATTTTTGAAGTCCCTTCTTTTTCTAGACGGCTGTTGTGAAACAAATTCAAGAGAAAGCAAAGGCCGGTGAGCTGCAGACAGTGGTAACAGGTTAGATGAAAGCATTTGTTCTTGAGATTTTGAGTTAAATCCACTTCTGCGAGAAACGCCATTTCAGTTGGTTTCAGAGTAACATTCTTATGTTCAGGAATGGGCTTTCATGTTATTTTTTCATCACGCTTTTTCCGATAATAAATACTTTTTTTAAAAATACCAAGCATTTCCATGTATTTGTCTCCAAACTTCACATCAGTAACAAAGCTTTTGCGCACATGGGTCACCAAGCCGACAAATCAAACGCTTCCAATCGTTTCCAGTTCACCTTACTAGACAGTAGTAGGCAAAAGAAGTGAATTTCACATATAACCCCCGTCCTACTCCCTTGAGCCAAGTCTGGCGTGGGGGCTAAGTATTGCCTTCGGCGCTAGATTCAAAAGTGAATCGAAACTTTGTAAAACATCTAAATCACTAAATGCTGCGCTAAATACACTTTGTGAGCAAAAGTATTGCACAGGTTTGACAAATGAGTAATGGCGACTGCATTGTAAGCAACTAGGGGATCGAAATTTAAACCACTTTTGTTAAATTGAATAGTTAAAAACCAATCAAACCAAACTTCAAACTGTTGGCAACACTTTTAGATGTTTGCAAGAATACCTGTGATGATAATCAAGTTGAGATGCTGTATAGCTCAGAAATGTCGTAACTTCCAATTACTTTGAATATACAAAGCAAGTTGCTTTTTACGTTGAACTATATCCATTCTTGTTAGCCGCCCAACACTCTGAACTGCGTTGTTAAGAAACTACAGACTATGTTACTGGCTGCAGTAATATTTTGCAATTAAATGCAAGTTTTCTTATAGCATCTTCTCCCCTGTTCCTCTTGGGCCCATGCCTTCTGTCTCCAGACCTAAACTTTTGGTGAGATGTGCTTCTGCAATTTGGTTCCATTATCTTTGCTCCTGTGTAGAGAATCCTTTACTCCCTCCCTTACACACACTCAGCCTTTGATTTAGTTTTTCTAAGCAGACCTGAAAGCTGCAAAATATTGATTCTCATTTCAGCAAAGGCTCCAGGCAAACGACGTCGGAGATGGGATCAAACTGGAGACGAGCTACCAGCAAAGAAAAGGCCGGAACAAGCAGATGTTAGTAATTAAGATTTTACACTCTAGAATCCAATATTCAGTTGTCTAGTTGTTCTCCTTGCTCGTCCTTGTCTATATCTATTCCAGCCATTTTCAGCAGACTCGCATTGGCTACCTAAACCCCCGTATATGCTGTCCTTAAATGCACGCTAATGCATGTTCATTTTGACTTCACACGTATCTTGTATCATTGAAGATGGCAAACCAGTATTGAATACATGATAAATTTTTAGAATGGTGGCTTTAAGGCAGTATCTGTCCTTAAAGATAAAATCGTGATGTGTTTAAGAAAAAACCAAGATTTTGGGCTACTTAACCCTGCCAGCCATCGATGTGAAGCCAGTAATGACCAATTCAAAACAGTTCAATTAGGGGCTATTTTGTTTTGATTAGCTTCAGTGTGAGTATAAAGAAAACAAAATGGAGTAACACGCGGGCTAACTAATTTTGGGTCGGAATTTTTATTTATATATATATCTAAAGATCTTTTTAGCTGAGAATTAACTTCCTTAACACACTTTCTTTGGCAACTTAACACGCCAAAAAGACAATTTCTTCAATGTGCAAAATTAAACAGAATTAAAAAGAATTCCTGGAGGTATCCAGTTTTGGAACGCAATTTTACAAACGGTTATTGATCTCTTTTCCCTTTGAACAGACTCCATCCGCTGGGAAATGGGATGAGACTCCCGGCAGAACAAAGGCATCAGATACCCCCGGTAGAGGAGCAGAAACACCCGGCAGAACTGGTGAAACTCCAGGAACAGCAAGGGGGGAATCAGATACCCCTGGAAGGGGAGGTGTGACACCTAGTTCCAGAATCTGGGAAGCCACTCCAAATTATGTACCACAGGGTGCAGCCACACCCACGAATATTGGTATTGGAACTCCTGGACATGGCACAAGTGAGTTATTTTCGGTTTATATGTAATGGAACAACAGCACGAGTGTGGTAAAATAGACATCTCAGTTAAAATTATGACATCTCAGTTATGACATTGCTTAGTCTTTTCATGAAAATGTAAATTTTCACCGCGCTGGATTAGTCTGAAATGAAACTCACGGTCTTCTTTGTCGTAGACCTTATGTTGAAGTTTCTATCAAAGCTAAAATTTTTAAGTTATTGTGCCATAATTGATATAAATAGCAATGTCTTTGAAGTAGAAAATTGAAACATTGTTGTTGTTCAGACAAAAAGCGTTCGCTTTCACACTGTAACAATATTGGTGAAATTTTCTAAAAGCAAGCGGCACTGATCGGGCAACCTTAAAAGTCATCTGCCCGCGTTTCTGATTTGCCTAATTCGATCCACAACTGGGAATGATGCCTAATTCGCATTATACCCAGTTTCCTGATGATCGCATTAAACGCCAAATTCGGAGTTAACCGACATGTTATTTACACCCAAAGCGTGCACAGCTCTCTCTAAACGGCATCGTTTCACTTTTTTGACTCTTGGTGTTGCCTGTAACCCTTGCTAGAGTATAAATTTTTATAACTTTTTTAGGTACAAGACGCAACAAATGGGATGAAACCCCGAAGGTTGATGGCACAGAAACGCCAGGGAGAACACCAGGCTGGGCAGAAACGCCAAGAACCGACCGTCTGGGCGCCGAAACGCCCGGTATGACACCGACCCCAAGAGGGGGCAAGCGGAGGTCTCGATGGGATGAAACACCACAAGCAGCTACGCCAGGAGGCAGCACTCCAAGTGTCATTACAACACCTGGTCTCACCCCTGGTGGTATGACCCCTGGTGGAGTCACCCCAATGCTTGGTGGACCAACCCCAATTGGAACCCAGGCGATGCATATGCATACACCCTCACCAGGTAACTTTATTTTTTCAGAAACCCCCACAAATATATGTCCCCCATTAACGAGCACCTCGCTGTAACGGATTTCTAGCTACAACGAACACCCAGCTAAAACGGCAGCGAATCTGTCTCATTAAGTATCAGGGTTTAAGGGTTGCATAGAATGTCTGTGGCAGAAATTCGTGCGAGATCTTCATTTGCATCCGATATTAACGAGATGCAAAGGAAGGCCACGTGTAAGCTTTGTCAAGAGTCTTGGTCCCTGAATGTGTGTGTCCGGTAAAACAATTCTTAAATCGTCTTGAGAAAGGGAGTTGTGGAGGCCCATGATAGTCAATGTCCTGCGAGGACAAAGTACTTAGAGAGGAGAGAGAGAAAGCGATATTTTTGCTTGAAGTAATGATGCTTATATTTTATCTCTGTGTCTTTCTAAGCTCCTGCTTACTGCTAGTTTTCCTAATTATTTCATTATGTTTTGTATGGAAGATATTGTAAGACATTTATATTTTTCGTTGCATCGTTTATTATAAGATATTATATGGCAAAAACACAATGAGCTTTCATCAAGTATTCTCTCTGCATCCGACCATATTTTCTTATAACGTACCATTTCGAGGGCAGCAAACTTGAATTTTGGTCCTTCTGATCTAAGAGCTTATTTACACTGCTGCGGGCACAGTTTCGCCTAGTCCAGCTTTTTACGGATCCAGTGTTATACATCATGTCTTAAAACCTGTTTCTATTTTTAGGCCATCTAATATCGATGACACCCGAACAAATTGAAGCCTTCCGTTGGGAGAAAGAAATAGACGAGCGGAATAGGCCTTTGACTGATGAAGAGTTGGATACCATGTTTCCTTTCGATGGATACAAAGTAGGCTTCGTAATTATTTCCGTTGTGAACCATGACCATTGCACTTTTTTTAACTCAACTTTGAAAGCAGTTCTTACTGCCTACCTCTAACTTGCCTTACATTGTCAATCATAAATCCCCCATCTTCTCATCTTTTCAGTCAATCATTTTCATATAATACAGATATCTGTTGCAACATTTATCATTTTGAAGATCACAACCCCCCTTCCTGCCCTCTTCCTGCCCTCTTCCTGCCCTCTTGTTTGATTCATATTGAATTTTGTACTAGCCATCATTATTTGAAAATAATATAAATTATGTGTACAACCACCATTAAGTCTACAGTCTGACCAAGTCTTTGACCGAAGGAAAAATTCCCTGCAACCTTCTTGCTAATCCGTGTTCTTTCCTTGCTTTAGGTTTTGCAACCCCCGGCTTCTTATCAACCAATCAGAACGCCAGCCAGAAAGCTCACTGCAACACCAACACCGCTTGCAGGAAGCTCGGGATTTCGTATCCAGGTCAGTAAATTTTTTTGAGCTACTGTCTTTATTGATAAACAGGGTTATATTCGCTGTCATTTTTAACTGATCCTTTTAGTCACTGGTCTTATTAGGGAACATAACAAATGAAGACTCGTCGAATGTAACACCCCCGTCGTTTGTGTCAAAGAGCATACCCAACAAGCTTAATAATTACTGCGCATGCTCGTGAACAGCGAGAAAGGGGAACGTTCACTCATGAGAAAACTTTTGCTAGTTTGCTTTCCCCCTAAAATTTTGATTTACCAATTCTTTTTTACTGGTATAGTAGAGTCATAATTTAATTAAGTATTAGGTTACACGATAGCGTGATTGATTTTTTATACCAGTACCTTCAGATGCAGCAGTTTAAAGGCAATCATTTTATGGTTTGCCAGCGTTAAAGAAATGAACGCAATTATATACAATATGTTTCACTTGACCTTTTATATTTTTATTATCAACAGTTTTAGATTGTTGCTATGTCCAAAACTTTACAAGTTTATTCAAGCTTCACTCTGCCAAAATCCAGCGTTTGCTCTTGTGAAAATCTTTCTACCAAAATTGTTAAGCATTTTTGGCCATTTCGTTTTCCCGTTTATGGAAGCTCATCTTTTCATGAATTGATGATCATATTTTCTATAAACTTTTATCCGTCCTTATCTTGTCAAATCTTGTCGTACTTGTGCAAATTATTCTTTCCTTAAATTCTTTTTCAAAACTTCACATCATGTCTGGTCCATTGTTCCCTTTTGCTTTTCCTTTTAAGCGATTCTTGCCAATTGCTGTTACTACTTGTGTTATTCGTTTTAGTTACATTTGTAACCTTTTGCTAATAGCCTTTTATAAATACATTTTGCTTGTTCCACTCCGTAGAAAACTTTGTATTTTGACCTTTTTTCTCTCATTAACTCTAGACTGATGATAAAAGTGCCAAGTTTGTCGAGGACCAGCCAGCGGGTAATCTCCCCAGCTTGAAACCAGATGACTACCAGTATTTCGACAAATTATTGGTATGTGTTTATGAAAACCTTCTATAATCGTAGAGTATCTTAAAACCGCGTGTATCGAGCTCGAAAATGTAATTCAGGTACCCTACACAGAATCTGTACCTTTATCAACAATATTTATAATCTATCTTCCTTAATACTTGTTACCTCCTTAATTTTCACAATCCTGGACTTTCGAAATGTGAGGGGGGTTGCAGTGTACTTTCCAGTCGAGAAGAACGACACCCGCCTCTCCCCCCCCCCCCCCCGTTTATTGATTTCTCAAATATAAGATATATTTATTCTCACCCTTGACATCCTTGCTCTAGTTCCATGTTAATAATTTTCGGGCCACGTGTATTGGAAAAGTGCAAGGCCTATACAACGAAGCTCTGTATTGCTTGAGGAAGCGCATCAATTACACAAAGAAAGAGTGAAACGTTTTATTTATGTTTTTTCTATTTTAATTCTTCAATTTCCAGTTTGAAAGGACTGCTAGTCTTCACCCCGTTATTTTTTTTGACCCACCCTATTTATTCCAGATCACAAGTTCATTAGGTTTTAAAAACATTTCGACCCACCTCGTTTATTCCAGACTCCACGTCTCTTCCGCAAAGGGAAATTCAAATAAGGGCTGATGCTATCATGGAACATTTTTTTGCATCGAACTTTTTTGGCCTAACAAGGCAGTTCATGTTGATTTGTTTAGGTTGATGTAGACGAGACAACCCTTTCTGCGGAGGAGCAGCGCGAACGAAAGATCATGAAGTTATTGCTGAAGATAAAAAATGGCACGCCACCAATGAGAAAGGTAATACGCAACGTTCCTGCACATAATTTAATTCTGTTATTATTAGTAAATCATACCCTAAAAGTTTATTAATGTTTAAACGATTATGAATTTCTACCCTTGTACCATTTAGCACTGAATGCTTTTATCCGAACCAATTTATCTGTTCAATATCATTTCTCTCCTACATCCGAAAGTTTTGTCAATCTGCTATTTTCCTAATATTTATCGTTAGTTTCTTATGTTCTTTTTAATATTATTCGAATCGCATGTAAAATCCAACTCCTTTCTTTACGTACATTTTACTCAAATCGCCCTGTCACCAAAGGCAGGCACTTAACAGTCAGATGACATATCTATTAACTGCCTGTATAATACTCTCTGCTCACAGGCCGCTTTGAGGCAAATCACTGACAAAGCAAGGGAATTTGGAGCTGGTCCACTCTTCAATCAAATTCTACCTTTGCTCATGTCACCGACTCTCGAGGATCAGGTGAGGTTTAAATTGATTGTTCTTTGCATCTTAATTAAAAATTGAAACAATTTCAATTTGTAGCGGATTTTTTCGTTTTCTCTGAGCATCTTTTCTGAAAGATTTTATTTTCCTGCAAAATTTGGCATATAAGACAAAAATGGCATACCGAAAGAATAGATTATTTTATTCATTTTCAAATCAATTTTGAAGTTAACTAATAGCAGCATTTAAAAAATCTCTCAAATCAGAAATATTTTTTCAATTCAGCTTGTATTGGAATGCTAGATTTTAAACGTCTAATAAAATTTTTATGTTTGTTTGTATAACAATAGAGATGTTATTTTTATGATCTCAGAAATATTCCGGGTTGACCCACAAAGTTAAATGCTTTCATTCTGTCTGCCCTGATTACTGAAATTTGTGATATTTTTCTTTATCAGGAACGTCATTTATTGGTGAAAGTTATCGACAGAATTTTATACAAACTTGATGATCTTGTGCGTCCGTATGTCCACAAGGTGAGTTTTTTCTTTCAAACATTACATTTGCTTTGGAAACAAATTCTTCATTTATAGCGTGCTCGAGATTTTCATTTTAGTATTATCATTAAGTGATGATGGTTCAGTTATTCAGTGGATCGAGTCCCTAGCATGACCAAACTTTCATTTAGAGTCGGGTAAGGGTCGGGAAAAGCATTGCTTTTCAGTGTCCTAAAAACTTTCTTCGGATGCTAGGTAGCAACAAATTAAAATAACACGCAAATGTTTATCTGCTTTGTAAAGGTCAATAAGTTTAAAAACTGTTGTTATTTATATGTGTACTTTGCAAAGTACCGCGTATTCCCTTAACCTTAATGGCTAACAATGCAGTGAACACGATTTTGAACTTGCGCTTCTCAGTAAGACAATATCCATGATACGCAAATCTTAACTAATGATCTTATATCATTTTATACTCTCCATATAGCGTGGAAACAAACTTCATGTTTGTCTCTGGTCCTTTTTTTAAAAGGCACTTTCTCTATGAAACAGACATCGTGTGCAAGACTTATGTTTTCTCTTATTTTTGTTTTAGATTCTTGTCGTCATTGAACCGTTGCTTATTGACGAAGATTACTACGCTCGCGTAGAGGGACGTGAAATCATCTCCAATTTAGCAAAAGTTTGTATTTTGGTTTTTTTCCAATGTCAACATTGCGTATCGTGGTCAAATCCCACATAAAGAGCCTACTTTCCCAGTAAACAGTCAGACCTGAATCCTATAAATTCTGCATCTTATAAACCCAGATCGCATAATTTCTAATATCAGGCTCTTATTATTCCTTTATTTGTTCTTATATTTGTAACGAAATACCAGCAATACAGTTAATGTGATCTGTCATCGCCGTGTATCTGATATTAAACTACTAAGAAGAACTTCTTTATTTGAGCTCAGGTTGTTGCCAGTCTTTTTAAAACCGATTCAATTGAATCCTGCTATGAAACATGTCGCCTTTTTTACGAAACATGTCACCATTTCTCTCCTCGACTCCGGCTTATTCATTTTCCTGGATCCTCCCTCTTTCCAGTCTTCTGTTTTTTTCTTTATCACCGTCTCCCCCCCCCTTCCTCCGAGTTCATCCGCTCTCGTTCTGTAACTCAGGGTTTACAAGCTGCAGTCATTGGCAAGACTGTTGAAACACCAACACGAAATCTCCCCAATGTTCTTACCTCTTTCCCCCTCTATTACAACGTTGATTAATATCAATATTCCAAGGTTTTTAGTGACAATCTAGCTATGATTGGATGCATAAATAATTCTTATGGATATAAATAATTGTTGTCCGGGGGAGGGGGTGAGGGAGGGGGGAGTGAGGGAGGGGGGAGTTACGTGGATGAAAAATTTAGCGAAAAGCGCTACAGATAATTTAGAGAGGTAGTTTGACTGCCTTCCTGGGCTTGTCAACTTCTGAACGTGAATATTGTGGTGTTCCTACCATTTTTGACAAAGATTGTTGAACCCCCATTGCAAGTTGCTAAATCTGTTTGCATTGTCTACTTTCAGGCTGCTGGCTTGGCAACTATGATTTCCACTATGAGACCTGACATTGACAATATTGATGAATACGTCCGTAATACCACTGCAAGGTAACAAATGCTTTTCTGTTTCATTTACTAATTACAACAGAATATCAACCCCTATTTGATATTGCTTTTTGACACTGGTATCTTGTATCAATGCTCGATCTAGTAGCTCTGAGTAGGCCCTGCATACTGTGGCAAAATATCAGTTATATTTTATCTATTGTGTTTGTTGTTGCTCTTTAATTCTCGGTGTGTTGTGGTGTTCCTTGTTTACTCCCATTCATCTTGCTGAGTCCGTTGAGCAATTTAGCTACTGTTGCTTTTCCTTTTTGTATTTACCCAGTTGATTAGAGAGAAAGGTTCCTAATGCCAGACTAAGGCTTGTACAAGCTTGATTTTTTGTTTTCGAATGCTAATTGAGGTCTGTCCCTGCTTCCACCGTACATTGCAAGACGCATACGTATAATTCGACATTGCAAACCATCGAATCTTTCATCAAATCGTATAATTCGACCCTGCACCATCCTTTCTGTCACCCAATTTTACATGGTGTAAATGTTGTATTAAATCTTTTCTTGTTTGCAAAACCCCATAATTTCCCATTAACTGTGACACTTCTATTTCTTACTCAGAGCATTTGCTGTCGTTGCATCAGCACTGGGAATACCATCCTTATTGCCGTTCTTAAAGGCTGTTTGTAAGAGCAAAAAGTCATGGCAGGCAAGGCACACTGGCATCAAAATTGTGCAGCAGATTGCTATTCTCATGGGGTGTGCTATTCTTCCGCATCTTAAAAATCTTGTTGAAATTATTGAGCACGGTAAGATAGAGGGACACTCCATATCTCAACTTTAATATCAAATATTTTTAAGCTTTTTTGAAATATTGAGGTCATAACGTGAAAGTCGCGGACAACAGATTGAAGGGTCCGTGGTTCGAGTCCCTTGCATGGCCCAACTTTTACCCAGAGTGAGGAGAGTCGCCGACTCTCTATAATTTCAGGCGTAGGAATCACGAGGCAAGGTCCAGGCCAGAGGAAGGACCAGGACACTGCTTGATAAACATTGCTTCTCGATGCGCTTAAACATCTCCTTAAGCTAGGTAACAACAAATGATCTCATGATTGGTTTTCTTTTGGGGATCACTTTAACATATCATTAAAAATTCTAACTAGGCTGCAGGACATACACATTGTGAATACGAAAAAGATGACAAAGATGTCTTTTGAAACAAACAAATACGCGATGTTAACTTACAGGCAATATTTAGAAGTTAAAGCAAAAAAAGAGTTGTATTTGCCGCACTCTCTTTCCATTCCTTTTTTAGTAACGTTTTATTGGCTGAACAATAAATATACTCTTTTCTGGAAACTGACTCGAAATGTCATGTTTTTTAGGTTTGATAGACGAGCAGCAAAAGGTGCGAACAATCACAGCTCTCGCTATTGCTGCTCTGGCTGAAGCTGCAACTCCGTATGGCATCGAGTCATTCGACAGTGTGCTCAAGCCCCTCTGGAAGGGTATAAGGCAGCACAGAGGAAAGGTGATTGGCCACTTTTTGTTTATGACCATGATTCTATATTTTCAAAAGAACAAGCTGAAAAAGTTATACGCTCTTTCTTGTAAAAAGGGGACATATTGCAAATGATAGTACTTCATTTTCTTTGAGGGGGAAGGGGCATCTTGCAGGTTAAAATGCGGACTTTTCTTGGAGACGAGGGCAATATTCGCTTGCCCTGTGTGATTTTTTACGTGTGTGAATTTGAAAATTTTGCTAGAATTTGCATTTATCTACCAACAGGAACTAACATTCCCAATAACTTTATGCCGACCGAAATAAATATTTTCGGAAAGTCATATTTTGTTGTTTTCATCTTCAAAATCATAAATATCTTTTTGTTGTTATATATTTCGAGTTTCTTTTCTCTAACTGCTCAATACTTGTCTTTTAAAAGGGTTTGGCTGCATTTCTGAAAGCCATTGGCTATTTGATCCCACTCATGGACGCAGAATACGCTTACCATTACACGCGGGAAGTCATGCTCATTTTGATTCGAGAATTTCAGAGTCCTGACGAAGAGATGAAAAAGATTGTGTTAAAGGTGGGTCATCGTAGCATTTTATACTGTAATGAATCTATGTTTGATAGTGTTCTTGATTTTTCGTGAAATTATTGATTAATACTACTGAAATGCTTCAACTCCACATTATTCCAAAGAATTCAGAAACCAATGAAAATAAAAGTTTTAAATGTTCCAGATTAATAATAGGTTCAAGATCACAGAAGATGATAGGGGAAATAATCTGCAGTTTAGGAAGATTTTTTCAATGAAGTTTGTATTTGGAATGCAGTGTTTTTGGCATGAGCTTTTGGGCTGGTAACCGATTGGGAAAAATTTATAGAGTATGCATTTACTGTGCCTATACTCGTAGTAGTGGAATTGGAAAGGATATAGCAATGCAGTGTCGAAATTGACTGGGTGGGGGTGGGGGGCGGGGGTTTGTACATGTTAAATTCGCTTGTTTGATACATGATAAATTTGCTTGTTTTTCAATTATTTTCAACTATTTCTTTGTGGACGCTTATTTACCAGTCTTTTGTTTCGTTTTCTTAGGTGGTAAAACAGTGTTGTGCGACAGATGGTGTTGAGCCCCAGTATATCAAAGAAGAAATCTTGCCGGAGTTTTTCAAGCAGTTCTGGACCCATCGTATGGCTTTGGATAGGCGAAATTACAAACAGGTATGAGATAGGGAATCTTTGAGCAGTATTAAACTAGAAACCTTAGGAAGCCTTCTAACTCAATGAACTTTTTATGAGAAAATTTCTGTTTTTGCAACCAGCAGTCAGTTATATAAGAAAAACGTATTCAGCCTGTATCTTTTTTAAAATTGAAAAAAATTGAAAATTTTTCAAAACCAACCTTAAAGTTGGCCTAAAATATTTTGATCGAAAAAACTCAATTTCTTCAAAACGAATATGATTTGTGTGACAAAGGTATTACGAAAACGTCTAGAAAGTCAGGTACAGTTGAATTCCATCGTACCCCAGATAACGCGAACTTACATTAAATTGGACTGATTGTCATTTCCCATAAGTTTTTCTTACCTTATTCAACTAAAAAACTCGCTCAAGTCAGACATTCGCAAATTCGGAACATTACCTTACCTGCTTTGAAGGTTCAACTTAGTGCGATTCAATTTTATAGCCGTTTATACTTTTGATGCACATCTGTCAACTGATTTTTTTTAGCTATAAAAAAGATTATTATTTAAAAGATTGGGAAAATTTTGTATCCAAAATTGTTTTGAAGCCGTGACACCTCTTGTATAATGTTGACATTTTATATATTCAAGGTCTTCATGAAGATTTTGACGACCTTAGATATGATAAAACCTTTGACACTCAGCTATGAATCTTTTATTCATCGGATTTGAAAATCGTAGCTAAGTTGCAGTATATGTGTTCTTTTAAACTACTTCAGAGCTATAATTTCTTGTCAGTTGAGTAATTCTTTTTATTTTGTTTATCAGCTCGTTGATACAACTGTGGAAGTTGCCAACAAGGTAGGAAGCGCCGACATCATCGGGCGTGTTGTGGATGACTTAAAGGACGAAAGCGAGCAGTACAGGAAAATGGTTTTGGAAACGATAGAGAAGGTAAAGTTTATCTTATTTTTGTTTTCTGCTTCTACTTTAAACCTAACTTTATTTTCTATGGTGTTCACAAGAATAGATTTTTGCGACTTCAGCAATTTTTATTTGCCTTGCATGAAAATTTCCCTGAGGTGACTTCTCCAAATGGGCACTCAAAATCTTTCAAAAATCGTAATTAAATGTGTTCTCTTTTTCAGATCATGGCGAATTTAGGAGCAGCAGACATCGATTCGCGCCTTGAAGAACAGCTTATTGATGGAATACTTTACGCTTTCCAGGAACAGACAAACGAGGTATGCGGCATTTTCATACCAGATATTTTCAGTTCTGATTGTAGTTCATCGCAAACCAGTATACAATTAAGACACTTATGACGTCATTTTGTGCGATGAAAGGTTTGCCAAATACTCCAATGAATCGATCCAACCTGACCTAGAGGAGACATACCAATGATATTGTTTCCACCTTCGGATGATTTTACCGGTAAACTAACAATTTAGTTAGGTAACTACCAGAAAGCGCCCCCCACCCCCACACACTAATAGATATCCTTTTGCTTCCTTTCGTCTTTTTGTCACAAGAGTTTTAAAAATCTAATGTCTTAGGAGATTTTATAGCGAGATTCGAGAAGTGTGTTTTGTCGTAATACCCATTCTGTTTTCTTTCACCAGGACATCGTCATGTTAAATGGCTTCGGGACAGTAGTAAATGCGTTTGGGAAACGTACTAAACCGTATCTGCCACAGATCTGTGGTACAATCCTGTGGCGTTTGAACAACAAATCAGCGAAAGTTCGTCAACAGGCTGCAGATTTGATTGCAAGAATTTCCCCCGTCATGAAAACGTGTGGAGAGGTAAGCAGTGAACTGGACCAAAAGAAATGTTTCTACTATGCAGCTTATCGTTTGACTGCAATTTGAAATTTTATTTGGTTTATCTAGGGTTGGGTCTAGAGTTGAATATCAGATTAGGATTAAAAGAAATAAAGTTGGCCAATGTTTTCTTCTGCTTTGACATGCGAAGCCCTGCCGTCTACTTTCAAAGATTTGTTTGCAGAGAGCTCGTTAGGCCTTCGCTGTTAAGAGATCCTACATAGAGACAGATCCTATATGATTTGCTCCGCTCTAAAAAATTCCTGCTTTAAGTGCAATGGTTTGCATGTGAAAACCTCAATCCGAGGCGAGTTCGATTCGCTTCCTCGACCTGGTTTGAAATTTCGAATCGAGGATACATAATGTAAACGAAAGCAAAATAAACATCATCACGTGAATCTCAACCCAATGTGAAGCTTAGCTCGGGTTAGCACTTTTTAAACGGATAGCCCAAGATTTGCTGGTTTTAGAATACCAAGACAACTTTTTGTATCGTTTGCCGTACCATAAATCTTTACTTATTTTGTTTCCTGTAGGAAAAGTTAATGGGGCATCTTGGAGTGGTATTATACGAGTACCTCGGTGAAGAGTACCCAGAAGTTCTTGGCAGTATCCTCGGAGCTTTGAAGGTTGGTACAGCTATTTCAATTGCATATATTTAGGCTGAATTCTCTTTGAGAAAGACAAAGTTTGATTTAATTGCACGCTTATAGTGTTAATTTCCCCCTTTGCTTAAAAGAATTCTTAAAAGTATTTGAAAACGGCTGCTTCCACTTGTTCACGGCTGCTTCCACAAATTCCACGCAACAGTTATTTCTTTACGATGGAAAAAGTTTTCTTAAAGTTTCTAACATTTCGTTTCTCATTCTCATTTCTTCGTTTCTTCATCTCAGTGACTTTTTTCCAGGCAATCGTAAATGTCATTGGAATGAACAAGATGACCCCTCCAATCAAGGATCTTCTTCCCAGACTGACGCCTATTTTGAAAAACAGGTTAGTATTCAGTGAAACATATAGCGAACATTTCTCCCATTGCTTGCAGTTATAAAAAATGTGATGCCTTACTGACCCTTTTTACCCGGGACCTTTTTGCCGCCGGTTCTTTTTACGCCGGTCCTTACTTGCCGCCAGTCCTTATTTGCGGCCGGTCCTTATTTGACTCCGGTCCTTATTTGATGCCTGTCCTTTTTACGCCGGTCCTTTAAAAAGTGTTTGATAAATTTGTTGTTACTTGCAAAAATAATGCCGCCTGACTGCCAAATCTTGGTCCTTCTAATGCTGCATTATAAAGCTAAAGCTGATAAAAATCGGCGTATTAAGGGCTGGCATTAAAGAGACCGGCGTAAAAATGGCTGATAGGATGAAAAGTTTATTCAAAGCTCAAATCAAAGTCGTAATGGGTAACCCTAATTTAAGGAAAGGTAATGCCACCTTGCAACTTTTGACATTGTATCAGGGGTACTTCGGTAAAATGCGTGATTTTTCCGTTGTTGTCACATCTTTGAATTTTAGCTATTCTAATAAACTATTTTTTAGTTGACTTCGTACATTTAACATTCTTTTATTCATCCAGACACGAAAAGGTGCAGGAGAACTGCATTGATCTCGTCGGCCGCATTGCAGATCGGGGTGCTGAACACGTCAGTGCAAGAGAATGGATGAGAATCTGCTTTGAGCTGCTTGAGCTCTTGAAAGCTCACAAGAAAGCCATTCGACGTGCTACAGTAAACACATTTGGATACATTGCAAAGGCTATTGGGTAATTTCACCTACTGTCTTGTGTAGTTCATCCTCGTTGTGTAGGATTGTACCGAATTTTGAAAGCACTGGGTCTGTGGTTCGTGTCGATATCATTTTAGGCCTATGATCCGAAAATGGTGTCTATTTCTCCTCAAAAACTGGATAATTTGTTACTTTTTAACAGAAATATGACAAGAACGATTTGAGAAACTGAATTTCTTGAAATAGGTCAGGATTGAAAAGCTCTTGTCAGGCACACCCCAGAATGTGACTTTGAACGATTCAGAAAAACGATAATATAGTTCAGTTCCATAATAAAATGTATTAGTTTCTTAGTTAAAAACACGACTTTTAGCCAATTTATTTCATTCCGGTACCCAATTTATTTGCTGACTATATTATCGTTTTTTTGGATGAAGTACCACACGCAACGTTCATATTGAACGATTCAGAAATGAGGTAAGGCCTTTATCAGGTACAGACTGCGTTCATAGGGTGAGAGAAAACCACAGATTCTTTAGGACCATTTGTTATGAATATTCTAATAAAAACCAATTGCTGTTATCGTCAATATTTACTCATGTCTTATATACTGTTATCTAGTATATTATTCTAGTTTAATTAACCATGCTTTACTGTTTTGGACGACAAATCCAGTTTTCACAGCTATTTCAATATTGTTTTAAGATTACAAAAAGGCCTGTAAACCAATGCAAATCCTTTTTGCAAGCAACCGCTGAGCTTTTTCAATGATACGTCTATACTCTAACCAACAATATGCGAATCACCACAATATTCACGCTGAAAAATTACAAATTTCTGTATTTTTAGTGCTTCACGCTTAAAAACGCCATTTTCCAATAGCTGATAAAAAATATGACCTATGCTAATGCAAAAATAAGAGATCCAGTCAAGAGGGGGTCGTTACCCCTAATCGTCACCCCCATCCTTGCCCCCCATCCTTGCCCCATCTCTGCCTCCATCCCTGGCCCCATATTCCCCCCTACTCTTGCTCCCATTGTCACCCCTATCCCTGACTCCTTCCTTGCGCCCATCCCTGTCCAAATCCCTGCCCCAATTCCAGCCTCAATTCCTGTCCTAAATCCTGCCCCCATGCCCCCATTCACCCCCGGTGCTATCACTGTACAGGATCCTTAATAACGCATCTGTATTTGCTACTACTACTGTTTCTTATTTCCTGAATACATTTTCAATCCATAGTCCCCAAGATGTCCTTGCCACTCTGCTCAACAACTTGAAGGTGCAGGAACGTCAGCTCCGCGTTTGTACAACCGTAGCCATTGCTATCGTCGCAGAGACTTGCTCTCCGTTCACCGTCTTACCAGCCTTGATAAACGAGTACAGAGTCCCCGAGCTTAATGTACAAAATGGCGTGCTGAAATCCATGTCTTTCCTTTTCGAATACATCGGTGAGATGGGCAAAGACTACATTTATGCTGTGACGCCGTTGCTGGAAGACGCCCTAATGGACCGGTGAGTTTGGGGTTTTTTTTCTTATGAAATATTTTTAACAAACTACTTTAAAGAGACCTGTTTACTAGATTCAACATGGGCTTATTGAACCCAGCTAGAATTGTTTCTCGATACACGGCATATTTAGGATATCTGGTATCGACTTGGCAGCTAAATGCCTCCCTGGAAAACTTTTCACATTAGGCTACTCATATTGCCTTAATTAAAGAGATTTTAAGTTTTGAAAATAAGTATTTTACTTGCACGATAACCTAATTGTTAACGAGCTCCCCTATCTCAAAAGAAAACTCTACCCAGTTTAACTTACTTGTGTTTCTGAAAGGAGAAAAATTAACAAATGATTATAATTTGATTAAAAACTGGCTGAATGTTGCTAGATCCGTGAGATTTCTAACAGAACCTAAGGTTCATTCCATATCAAATCATCAGATATTTTTAAGATTTGTAACCCATGGTCTTAGAATTTCTTGATTTTTTTACCACAAAGAGCCATTTTGGAAAAAACACCACATACAAAATTTCATCCTTATATCTCTTACGGTTGCGATTTTGTAGCCGTTTCAAAAGTGACCCATTTTAGCCAAATATGCCACACCCAGTTTACCAAGTGATGGGCGCGGCTTTCTATCAATAGCTGTAACTTTTCTATAGTTGTCAATATTTACTTGAAAATAATGTCAATTATTGATTTGATACTGTAGATTTCAAATATTGCATCAGAATTTGTCAATTCTCTAAGGTGAAGCAGATAGTCATATGTTAAAGGTTATCACTTGTTTTGAAAATATTCCCAACCGATGTATATAAATATTGAAAAAAAGTCCTGTAGCTGGAATCATAGCATTAGAAGCTTGCTATATTCTGAAAGTGTATTCTTTGGGCTATCAGAAAATGTTCAAGATTACAATTGCAATTGAAGTATTTTGAGTTAATTGCACCTTACAAAATGGGTATAATTTTGCAAGAATCGTGAGCAAAAAAAATTTGTATTTAAGGTAATATTGCATGAAATAAAAAATAGCTGCTAAAAACATTGAGTCAATCATGATTTCACATTCAGAGACAACAAAGAATAATTAAAAATGATTCCTAGCCATGGACAAGCTGAGATACTGCTTTATTGTCACTGTAGCTGAAGCTCTAAGTTTGACCTGTAATTGTTTTGGATGAATCAGTTTTGCAAAGCATGTAAATGTGATACCCAGCATATGTATGATCTGCTTGATCATGTAAAGTTCTGAGTGGGTTCAGGTGGGTGCATGAAGTTCATTTGAAAGTCCCCTTCATCTTCATTAATGTCATAGAAACCCACCCATCATTGTCATATAGGCAAGCAACATACTTTATCGTTCGAGTCCAAATGCCATTCTCTACCTTCTTAGAAAGAAAAGCAAAGTTTGCTGCAAAGTCTCTGTCATCAGAAAATTACTTGAAAGCAATCTTTTCATCTTAAAGCAGATAAAACTGGGGTGTAGCATGCAATTTTGCTTGTTCCAATGGGCTGACTGAATTTCATCTTAAGTGAAAAATTCATAGTTTTCGGCAAAGTCAGCCAAAAAACAAGAATCATCTTCATTTCTTCCTTTCACTTAAGGTATTCTAACTGCAATTGTGTAAGAAAAGAATGAGAGGTCAAAGCAACAATACACTTTACAAGCAGCTCAACAAAATAGGCAATACTCAAGAACCTTGTTACTATTTTTGATCTTCTAGTGTTATCACCTTGCTGAAATGAAACATCACTATCACCATCATGTATACACTCATCAAGAAACCTTTTAAGTACAGATATCCCTGAACAGTTGCCACATCTGTGCGCTATACATTGCTTACTGTCCTTGCAGCAGACAGTCATGTCTATCATATCTCTGTATGTTTTGTTAATGGCGACTGGAAGTGATGAATTTTGATATGTAGTACAACCACAAACAGAATTGTTTCTAATCAGTTTCCTAATCAGTTTCCACTTAAAGATGAAAAGATTGCTTTCAAGTAATTTTCTGATGACAGAGACTTTGCAGCAAACTTTGCTTTTCTTTCTAAGAAGGTAGAGAATGGCATTTGGACTCGAACGATAAAGTATGTTGCTTGCCTATATGACAATGATGGGTGGGTTTCTATGACATTAATGAAGATGAAGGGGACTTTCAAATGAACTTCATGCACCCACCTGAACCCACTCAGAACTTTACATGATCAAGCAGATCAGAAATATGCTGGGTATCACATTTACATGCTTTGCGAAACTGATTCATCCAAAACAATTACCAGTCAAACAGTTATACAGTGACTATAAAGCAGTATCTCAGCTTGTCCATGGCTATGGATAATTTTTAATTATTCTTTGTTGTCTCTGAATGTGAAATCATGATTGATTCAATGTTTTTAGCAGCTATTTTTATTTCATGCAATATTACCTTAAATACAAATTTTTTTTGCTCACGATTCTTGCAAAATTATACCCATTTTGTAAGGTGCAATTAACTCAAAATACTTCAATTGCAATTGTAATCTTGAACATTTTCTGATAGCCCAAAGAATACACTTTCAGAATATAGCAAGCTTCTAATGCTATGATTCCAGCTACAGGACTTTTTTTCAATATTTATATACATCGGTTGGGAATATTTTCAAAACAAGTGATAACCTTTAACATATGACTATCTGCTTCACCTTAGAGAATTGACAAATTCTGATGCAATATTTGAAATCTACAGTATCAAATCAATAATTGACATTATTTTCAAGTAAATATTGACAACTATAGAAAAGTTACAGCTATTGATAGAAAGCCGCGCCCATCACTTGGTAAACTGGGTGTGGCATATTTGGCTAAAATGGGTCACTTTTGAAACGGCTACAAAATCGCAACCGTAAGAGATATAAGGATGAAATTTTGTATGTGGTGTTTTCTCCAAAGTGGCTCTTTGTGGTGAAAAAATCAAGAAATTCTAAGACCATGGGTTACATGGGTCTGATGATTTGACATGGAATGACCCCTAACAGAGTCTCACGGCAGATCCGTGAGGCGTGACAACTATCATACATTGTTCTCGATATCTTGAAAAATTTTACTAATTTTGCTGACTTTTTCTAATCGCCTTCTCTTTCTTGTGCAGAGATTTAGTTCACAGACAGACAGCATGCGCTGCAATCAAGCACATGGCCATTGGTGTCGTTGGGTTTGGCTGTGAAGATGCATTAGCTCATTTGCTGAACAGTGTGTGGCCTAATATATTCGAAACCTCTCCACATGTTGTCAATGCATTCACTGAGGCAGTTGAAGGACTTAGAGTTGGCTGCGGTTCAGTGAAAGTTTTACAATATGCACTCCAGGTAGGCTTTAGTTATACATTTCCCAATCAATTTCATTCCCCTGGGGATGCTATTTTTGCTATTGTTGGTACCTTCGTGTATCCGTATATAGGTGTTTTATTTTCCTAGTGCTTAAAATTTTCCAATGTATTTCTTATTACCGCTTTCTTTGTTTGTTCGTTAGCATTACAGATTAAACGGTTCTTCATTGTTGTGGGCATATAGGGGTAATGTTATTTTGTGACTAAGTGACTATTTATGAGAGAGACAGCTTGGGTATTCTCCAGCTTTCGATGTCACTATTTGATGAATAGTTTAAACGCTACGACAAGACCAATCGCAAGATCCTTGTCATCCAGCGATCATTATTTAGGCCGAACAATTAGAACAAAAATCAATTTGTTGTTTGATCAATTCTGTTCCCCGCTTATTATTTCTAACGCCGCCATTTTGTGTTTTTGTCTACAGGGCCTTTTCCACCCGGCTAGGAAAGTCCGAGATGTCTATTGGAGGATATACAATTCACTTTATATTTCTGCTCAGGTGAGCTTTTCCAGATTTTACTTTTTCTGTTATTACAAATTTATAAGGAATTTCATATGTCATATGTCATGCCATGTCGTTTCTGCTTCAGACAACCTTCCATCATATGTCATAAATCATGTTATTTTATGTCATGTCATATTACCACCATTTCCCGAAATTAATTGCCTATTCCCTCGCAGATTCTGTTTATATCATGAGATTTAATATGTTCTTTTCTAGGATTCCCTTGTGGCGTCATATCCATCAGTGCCGAATGACGAGACCAATCATTACGTCAGAGATGAACTGCATTACTTCTTATAGAACGTTTTGCGTCACGTGGACAATAACACTGGCCGTTACTGGTATATGTAAAAAATACAGAGGAGAGGTCTTTGATGGTGTTTCGTAATTCCCGTCCGCTACAAACGGAACAATGCTAAATCCATTGATTGAACTAAGATTGATGTCAGCAGTCAAATGTGCCAACTTTTTAAGGTTGATTATTGCTAACCATGGGACACTGCGCCCTACATGCTTGCATAAAGTTATGTAAGCTTAAACTAATTTAATGATCTTCTTATGTTATCTAAATGCTCCCAATTTGAGACTTAAAGTGCCAAAAAACAATGGATGTTCTAACTTTTTGGGAATTGTAAAGACGATTTTTCTCTTGTATAGACACTTCCCCTCCTCCAAAGTTAAGGAGTCCATCAGATGATTGCTGCCAAGGTGCACAATTGGCTTTTTCTATTCAAAACTATAGCCGAAAGAATAATTTTTTATCGAAAGTTGCTCTTTCGAATCAAGGTATTTGTAAGGTATGATGCAGACCATTTAGAGACGGTATGGTAGAACTGCTATGTTGTACTAGATTGTAGTGTAGACATTCAGCTAATTCTTGTCTATTCTTTGGTTTCTTTCTCTCGTCAACCTGGGCCTCAATATTTACTGTTTGAAAAGTGCCTTTATTCCTGACTTATGGAAAATCCCAAAGGAAAAAACGAGCTGCATTCTCGCCATTCCCAGGAGAATTGTCTTTGAATATAATGCCACTGCCGCCAATCATGTCGACCTCGATAAAGTACAATAGTTTCAAATTCTAAAATTGTTGTTGCCTTGCATCTCAGCAAAAGCTACGTAAACTTGATATACAAATATTTTTCATTGATTTTTTGTAAAAGATCAAATTTTAATCTTTTTAGGTAGCTCTAGCAACCCCTTTGTCTTTGCGACAAACATACGAAAGCTAAATTTTTTATATGAGCTCATGTTGCTTAGATATTTTTCACGTGGTTTGCAATGGTTAATTGAATCTTTGGCATAATGAAAGGCACGCAAATAATGAAAAAAATAGTGAGAATATAAAACCTGCTCCAAAACTTCATTCCAGAAAATGTAAACACCCGTATGATCACAAAAAAATCTCATCATCATCATCATATTCCTCGTCATCACCGCGTCGTCATGAAATTATATTTCTCATCAATCATCATTTATGAAATTTCGCTTTTTGACGAAGGCCTTGTCATGTGCCTTCTTCACATTGTACTTTTCCAGTACCTGTACAATTTTCATCTCTATCTTCGTCTTTCTCTTCTCTTCTTTTATAGCGTGTTCTTTTCTTTGTTTCTCTCAACATTTGTTCAAACTAACATATACCACGGTAAGCCTTCCACACCGCAGAATTTAAAAATAGCGCGGAAAAGCGGAAACATGTCATACTAAAGTACTTTTCGATGAATTTTCCAAATGTAATTTTCTGCTTACCTCTGGAAATTATCCGACGTTTATACTCTGACGAATGTCGGACGAGAAGTACTTCAGTATGACATAAATCCACTTTTCCGTGATATTTTTAAATATAGGACAATATTAGTGTTCTTATGCTTGATAAGAGATAAAAACAAACTTTATCGAGCAACCTTTATCCTCGCATGTAAGTTTCAGAATAATGCCACGCAAAGTTAAAGGCGAAATTGTTATGCTTACAACGTGTACAATGTTAGTGGCTGAATTTTGATCGTTATTTTATTTTTCAATGATTTTGCTTTTTTTTGTTTTTTTTACCGTTAACAATCTGTGTTTATATAAGACATAGAGGGGTATCTAAATAATTTTGTAACCTTTTTTATTATAACTTGAATGCAACAAATCGCATGAATAGCGGTCAGGCAATTGTGCAGAATCGTTATTTGAAAATTGCTTTGAGAAAAGAAAACATTTTATAGCATACTGAAAGCGCTTTTTCTCTTCGACTCCAGTGATTTTTCTCTTGTAATTTTCATATAGGCACGCATTGGACAACTATGCCGGTCATGTGCTTGCGTTATTCTGATTGGCCTATTTCGATTCCCAACTGGGTATAACTATATTTTTTCCATCTTGTTCTTTTTGGGTCCGACACGTTCTTTCTTATTTATTTCCTCTACAATCGTTTAAACTACTCAATAATTCCTCATATATATGAGAGACCAGGTGTCCGAGAAGCGTTATTAGCCTTAAATCTTCAGTTTCGCTCTTTTTTCGGCTCCGGCCACTCACTTAAAAATTCAATACCAAAGTCATTGCAGGTCGTGCAGTTTCGAAAAAGAATAGATGGCCTGTCGGTTTGGTTCTCTTTTGATCTCTTCGCTATTTGTTTGGAAGACTGGTATCTAGTTGTTGCGTGGTTCACGCTGATGACGTAATCTCGCTTTGGGAGAACGGGTGGTCAAATCTGATTGCTATTATATTCACTCATACATAATTGTCATGTTTGCCTCGACAGGTACTGCAATCTAGTTTGTTCACCCATATTTCACAACCACGTTTAATTACCTGGCATAAGTGGGTTTCTTGAATCGCATTGAGTCGTTCCCCGGATAACACGAGCTGTCAATTTTTTGGACTGATTTTCAGTTCCCATTGGCAATACAAGTTAAAAATTGTACCCTGTTAAAGTTATTAAGTCGGACATTCGCTAATTTGGACAATTTCCTCACCACCCTTGAAGGTCCGACTTAACGGGATTCAAATGTAAAAAGATTTACACTATTTTAGAAAACATCAGATCTGATCCACCGACCAGGGACGGATTTGAGCGGCAAGGATTGGGGGCGGGAGGTAGTTGGATAATGATTGGACTTTGTGTCACACCCTTTAGGTGACTGGAGACCGAAAAACGCCCATTTTTAAAACTCAGTCTTTAAATTTTAGATTAAGAAGAGAAAGAATGTAACTTTTTAACATCATTTTGTTTCGAATGACTACCACAAACGCATTTTTACCGAATCACAGCAAAATTGACCGAAGAACAAAAGACATCTGGGGTAGGGGATATTGCACCCCAACTTCCCCCCGGTAAATCCGTCCCTGGCACTAAGTTTGATTCAATGCCATAGAGTTCTGATGAAAACGTAACATCGCTCCTGTATGCGTCCATGTGTTAGGAGGTTTCTGGAAGAAACTAGTCTGTATATAGCAACATACCAGAACAGAGCTGCAAGATCCTTTACTTTCTGACTAAAGCCTATCCTTTGCTACAACCAGAACCTTTTACTTTGCCACTGGGTAATCAATGCAAGCGTCCGAATCACAGACAACCCTGGTCCACTCTATCTTTTGTCAAACTCTCTAGCAATCTTTAGATGTAATCATTAACAGAGGTATCATAAACTGTTATAGTCAATGTTGATTGTTGTGAAATCACGGCGTTATAACTAAATTACAGACCTACAACTATTTGGTCGGTTATTGCAGAAGAATTTCAAGACAAAATTTTCACGCCCAGTGCATTCTTCGGATAACTGGTAAATCTTTAAAGGAGACGTAGCCAATAGCCAGTCAGAAACAATTGATAGCTCGGCGAGTAACACAACAAAATGGAGGAAATTTGATACTCTTTGTCTAAACCTCTAAACTTTGCTACTTCCCGTGCAAAACCTTAGGTGCCTGGTACCCTGGGTACAGGAGAAAAAGGAAAGAGAGGCTCGTCTCTCCTGTCCTTTCTCGTTCTCCTTTGCAATTCCTTTCCTCCGTTCTTAAACCTTTGAATCTCTGAGACTCTGGTCCTTACAGTAGTAGGATGAGTGCCAGGGGAATCAACCCACCTCGAAGATGCAAAAAATGACCAGTCACTAAACCGACATGAAATAACTAGACAATCATATGGGGGATAGGGGCCTTGTTATATTTTGTCGCTAGACTTTTTGGAGACATTGTTCGAAGACCATCGCACCCTGCCTGAAAGTAAACCAAATTTGAAGAACCTTTCTCCATGACAAGATAGGAATGGAGGGGAAAAGTTTTACGAAGCTAACAGGTCAGAACTGATCAGTAATAATTGTAAGGATGATTAATGTCTAAATATGTTTAAGATGCAAAAATAGTCTTTCTTAGAATTCCCTAAAACGGATCACTTGCAAACGAAGCCGTTGCTTCTATTTTTAGAAAAGGATAGCCCTATGTATTCTTGTGGTTGCTTGCAAAATGTGAATATTCTAATTCTTTTCTGTGCCTTTCCGCTGATCACGATATATAGTCTAATCTTTTGATAAGCTAGGTCTATAATTTATACACTTCCAAATAAAACGCTAAAATTTATGCATGACATTGCTGAATTTGTAGTTTTGTTTGAAGTAACACAGCAACTACACAGTACTTTCTTTTTTTACAATCACTCTAATCGTTTGTGTAAGTGAACACGAGGTCATGCTAGTTATGTGCTTTTCGCTCAACTAAAATGTTTCTGCTGTGAATGCCATGTATGTTGCAAAACAATGTCAGGAAAATGCAATTTCACCGTAATAAGACAGTTAAACATATATCCTAAAACAAATGAATTTCATTCCCTGCCCTGAAAATACATTTCTATTCTAAGTGAAAAAGACCTTTATTGGAATAGAAGTCTTTATCCAGAACCCTTTTGATGATTTCTTTCACAAAACTGCACAGTCTGCGCTGTTAGCGAACTGTAAAATACAACTGACACATCCTCTTTGAATAGAAAACGAAAATTTTTGAAACAGCAAATCTTTTCAGTATCTAAATGTATAATTAACAAAAAGAATCTGAATGAAAAATAGGAAAGGTTCAATTTACTTACAAAATCGATTCATAGTTCAGGCCCCATTTGCCTATATGGATTTTCTTTCATTACGCAAAATTTAAAATTTATATTTTTGAATGAAAATGTATATTTTTACGGTTTACATGTTAACTTTAACTGGAACTGCAAAAAAAAAAATATCGTTTTGCCAGAGACAAAGAAAGGGTCCTGGGCACTAGTTCGTCATTATCACACATGCGCAGAAGCGCCATTTTAGCTTGCATTGAACTGTGGGACGGTGTGCCAAGTCGAGGAAGCTTGCGTCCGCCATGATGCTTTTACATTGAACTTTACAAAAGTTGACATTGGAAAATCGTGTGAATCTCGATAAGTTCGCATCAAAATGCTCTGGAAAATACGCCAAAAATACAAGAATTAGGTCCAGTCAATGGTCCAGGACAAGAAGGAATCATCCCGCTCGCATTTTGGGTTTTAACCCAGGTTTTCTTTTATGTGCATTGGAGTCATAAGCCGCAATGAGCAAGTTGTCGTTTCGAGCCCGCGCATTGGACTCGAACAAATCCTTGCCGGTTTACCATGCAAAGGACATCCCAGACTTGGCAGAATTCAGCTCTGTCAACAGAGTGGTACCTCAAATGCCTACTGGCATGGAAAAAGAGGAGGAAACGGTGTGTTTTAATTTAATTTTGAACGTTTTGCATAAAAACATCGGCTCGTGCTCCTTCGGCCAGGCGGACATTTATTATGCACGAGGGTCTGCGATTGAAAGGCGCGTTTAGCATGATTTCACATAGGCTTAGAGCCAGTATTGAAAATGAAAATTAAACAGCATTTTCTCCATAAAATCAATTGATTTCCAGATATATTAAAAGACTAATATCTTATCTATTTTATATTTATTTCGGGAACTTATTGCGCGGTAAGTTTGAATGCAATAGGTTATCGAATCACGTGACCTAAAGTTGGACCTCATTTGGCCTAGCTAGGCATACTGAGCAATTATGGGCAGGCTTTTGAATCTGCTAGACTTTGTTTAGCAATCCACTGGCTTGTTATATTCAAGGAAACAAATGATAATGTCAAAAGTTATGTGCTGATTAATATTTGGATCACAGAGCTTGTACTTAAAATGAAGACCTAAACATATATATAGTAAATCATTTGAGCTTGCAGTAACATGAAAAATGAAAATGAAAAAAAGGAAATGGAAAAATGAAATATGAAAATCAAAATGTACACTGGAGGCTGTTTTTTTAAAGGACAAGTGACACGCTTTTGGTGCCAAATTTTTTTCTTCTTTTAACTAAAAGTAAAATGCTGTATGAGAGTGTTGTTGGAATATTTTTCTATTCGGATTTCATTTTTCTACTTAAAAACCCTTTTCAAATTATGGCGGGAAATGAATCACGTGACACCGTGACGTAGATTGTGATAATTTGTTATTGCTGCTACTGGTATACAGTGCAATATTAACGTTTACTACACGCTTCTAAACGAATTCAGTTCGTCTGGACCTGTCGCGTCGTGTTTCGTAAACTCTCTATTAATGATAGAGAAAATTCCGAGTTATCACAATGGACGTCATAGGGTCACGTGATAAAAAGCAAAATCGCGTCCCCTGCGCCCCCTGATTAGAATTTTTTGTTCTAAACCAGGAAAAACTTACTTTTAAATGATGATCTACAAGTTAATGAAAAGAAAAGATAGGGTGAAAAGTGTGTCACTTGTCCTTTAAGTAATCATTTATTGATGATCTTAAATAATCTTAAATATATTTTCATTAATTGTCTGAAAAATAAACCATCATGCTACTTTTTATACGCAAAACAAATATACTTTACCAGAGTTTGATGATCATATTTTGTTGCATGTTTTTTCGTCGTTTTTATTTAAAACAAATCAAGCTTTGGTGTATGTATAAAATGTGTTCTTATATATAAAAAGAGTTTATAAAAAGAAGTTGCAGATTTAGGTTTCCTCTAAAGTTGAGCAAAGGCTAACAATACTCAAAGATATGAATTCTTCAAAATAAGGAAGTAGAAAGCATGTGTAATTCAGCACTGCTTCAAGTTCCAGTGTGCAGAGCATGGTATTGACCTACCCATAGGTATTGTATATAAGAAATTTGTGGAGCAGAAACTAAGTTTAAGAATGATTTAGAATTTGCGTAATTAAGTTAATTTTTAACCACCCAGTCTTGAATACAATTAGTTGTACCTTTCAATTTGTAAATACTTTCAGACTGCTGCATGAATAATTTTGATTTTATGATTAAAACTAAAAGTAACCAGGGTTTATAACACTATAGAGAAAGTGAGCAATTGTCATAAACAAGATAGGATTCAAATATGCAAAATGACTTAGTACCTTAGTTGTTTGAGCAAAGGAAGTACACTGTTGCTAACCTCCAGTTCAAGTCAGGGAATTCATAGAAGGGATGAGAAATTTAGATTTTTTGACATAACAGCATCAGAACTAAATTAAAATAAGAGATTAAGTCTTGTCATCTATCCAAAGTTGAGTGTTAGACCAATCAAACATTTTTCTGATCTTCTCCTCAAAAAAACATTTTTAAATATCATACCTTATTGAAAAAGATTGCCAGTCTGATTCAGAACAACTAAAGAAATCATTATATTCAGTTTCAAAATCTTTCCTCTCACAATGTGATACTTACATAAAAAACAAACAACCATGCTATATTTCTGGAAAGATAAGAAGATTTTTGATGAAATAACAGATTAGCCTTAAAGGGTTGAGGGTTTCTTGACCCATCTTGACCCCCTCTATCTATGCCACTGGTTGACGTCTAGCCCTGGTTGTGTGAAACGCTTACAGTTTCTCTAAATTTATGATTATGTTACATTAGTGTTATTGCAACATAGGATTTGATAATAAATTTAGCAAGGTTGAGGGTGGCTTTTCATTTGGGAGATATTGTTTAGTGAAGGAATCATTAAATTGAAAAATTTATAAAAGGTAATTATGTATACATTGACATTGAGTAAAATTAGCATCCATCAAGGATGCAGAGGAAAGAGAAAATACAAAGGAATGTCAATGCCAATATTACTCTATTGTTGTTTTTAACATTCTCACCATTATGGGCAGGAAACACTGCAAAATATAAATTGTCAAATTTTAATTGGTAATCTTATTTTTATCTTTGTTAATGAGGAAGTTTAAACTGTAAAATTGGAGAAAAGTGAAGTCTAAGTTAAGGAAGTAAGCTGGCGGTTAATTTGAATCAAGTTTAAACTATTACTAACTGTATAAAAAATTCCTACTGTACTCATTTGTTCCAGGTGTAAGCTTTTTTCAATTGCAGTCAGAATGAGAAAGCTAATTTCATGAAGTAAACATCCAAAGTATTCATCCATAGTGTTCTTATTGTTTTCAGCTGCTTTACAATACCAGTGTTAGGGCAGGCCTTGTCATTTGAGGAGAGCTATAGCTCTTGCTCCCCTCAAGGCTCAGGTCAAATGCCACTGAAAAGCAAATTGCTCTCCTTGAAATAATTTCTTCCTATGTTACTGTATTCTTATCTATCTACAAAAATATCACCTTGAAATGACCAGCAGAGCTGTTTATTGCTCTCCTGCTGAATGTCTTTTGGCCAGGTCTGGTTAAAGGCATTGAGTCATGATAAAAGGTATGCCACCAAAATATGCTGGGTCATGATTTTTGTGCTGCAGTACTATTGTTAGGCCCAGTGGTGGATTTAAGGGGAGGGGGGGCAACTAGAGGCAGTTGCCCCTCCCTTGCTGAGTTGAACAAAGTCTGGCGCCCTTTTTTGGAAATGGTTTGGCACAATGATTGTAAAAATTTCCTTTAGAAGGTGAATAGAGAGCCTTCTGTCAGTAGTTAAGGTCTGAAATTGTTATATATAGTGTACTCTAATCACCAATTTCTGAAAATTTTTCAGCGCCCCCAATACCAACTGCCCCTCCTTCAAATTTGTTCTGGATCTGCTCCTTGTTAGGCCTGACACTACATCCATCACATTTATAGACAAGGTCTGTTTAAAATATAGATAGGTGCAGCTTTTTATAGTATTTGCAGACAAAAGCAAGAATAGGATAATACCCTAATTCATAAATTCCTGATGTTAAAATTAAATTTGCTTACATAGCTCTGAACTGAAGGAGAATTGTTTAATATCTATCAAAATGATATAAAGTTTATTTATATTTGTGTTTTTTTATTCTCCCTTTTTGCATCTTTATTTCATATTGTGATTACAATCACATGACTAATTGTTAAGTTTGCTCCTTTTTGGTTTGAAAACCTTTCTCAGTTTAGATCTCTACATTCTATTCAAATTTATTCAACAGATAACAAGTTTATGGGTAATGATAATTATTAATGATAAAATTGCTTATTCTTAGTGACACAAATGAAGCAATGCCTATCTAGTATGGACAGTGAAATAAAAAAAACAAGACTGCTAACAAAGCAATGATCTTGAAAAAATACTCACATTAATTGAGTGTTAGCATGTTAAAGTTTTGAAAAAATGAAATAAAATCATTTTTTGTTTGCTTATTAAATTTTTTATAGTTTGGAGTAGATTTAGAAAAAATTATGAGTAGTAGTTTATTACTAATTCCTATTCCAAAAGACAGCATTATCATGGACAGGCCCTATTCTAAAAGAGAATGTAAAACCAAATTTATTTGCCTAACCTTTTATTTTAAATATTTCTTTTATTTATAACATGTGCAAGGAGATATTCTTAGAATTTTGTGATATGTGTGATTTTGTTTCAATGTGCATTGTATTTTTCTATCTAAAAAAACTTGTCCTTGGAAATTATTACTTTTGCTGCAATTGACTGTTGTAGGTATCAAGCACCTTCTTTACCATATGATAAGAAAAAAGGGGCTTTTCGGCAAATATTGAAAGTGGTATCCCTGCTGAAAAGTGGTTAATTTTATTAAGCATGGAATTTAAGTTCTTTTGAAACTGGCTGAATGTGTTAAAAGTTTGTGATCTCAGACAATGGAAACGTGTTTGTGGTATCACGATCACCCTGTCACTGCATATTTGCCTTTCAATTCATTTTGAACTAATGTGCATTCATTGCTGGCTTATCTAATTATTTAAATATTTTTAATTAATTTATGTGTCAAGGGTTCTTTTTATACCTGTATGTCTTTGATGGTATTCTGTTATTTGAGCTTGAATAAATCTTTTAGGATAAATAGTAAAGCTGAATTAAAAATTTACCATGGTTTGTTTATTCTTTTGATCAGGAACACCATTTGCAAAGGGCCATAACTGCACAACAAATTTATGGAGAAGCTAATAGGCGAATCATACCAACACCGGAAGCTGTTTTCATTGATGCCACTGTGAACCGAGTTCGGAAAAAGGAATACCCATTACCTAAACAACTGATTCATGTCCAAGGTAAGGAAAATTTTCTTTGAACCCTGAATTTTTTGTAAAGTATCACTTTTTAAGCATCTTTTTTCTCATTGCCATTTGGAACTTAATTGTATAAACTTGGTTTGTCAAGAATATGCCTGGATTGTCAATTCACAGTTGAACCAATTGTTCTATCAGCTTTTTGCACAACCATTATATCTTCCTTAAGAAAAAGGGCATGCATGTGCTAAAATGTCTTAATTTTTTACAGCTTTCAATCTTGAAGATGAGTTACCTGATTACGATTTGGATTCCGAAGATGAAGCGTTTCTTGAACATTTTAATAAAGGCAGATCAAAGGTAACATTTCATCACATTTTTTTGGAAAATATAGTTCAATCTTATGCTTTATGACAAAACATTTTAGTTCAAATTCAATGCAAGAAACTTTGAAGCCAACATATAACACATTCTTGCAACAAAATTATGGAAACTCTGGCTCCACAGTAGGAAAACAAGAGTTTGAAATAAACATTGGTACTGCTAAGAAGTTTTCAAAGATTGCTTACAGTTTGCTTCAATAATTTTAGGTGTTTTAACTTTTTATTCTAGATACTTTTGTGCTTATTTTGTTACTCTTTCTGGCAGAATAAGGCATGTTCAACTTATTGGATTTGATTTCAAATTGCAGGTTTTGGTTGCACTTGATTTGGAAAAAATGATTGATAAACTAGAGAAAGGATGTGGTTCATATGCGGAGGTGATTTAACTAACACACTTTTTCCACTTTTTTCTCAATTTCTTTTGTTTTTGCTTGTAAGAGTCGTTTTCTTTGTAAACCCAGGCTAGCCAATTGCAAATTACCTTTGTAATAGTGAAATTTGTAATTGCAGTTTGAATTGAATTGAAAATGAAACGCTTCCATTAGTATAAAGGAATTCCTGCTTTGTAATTTTTACACATTTTCTCACTTGATTGCATAAAACAGAGCAATTCTTGTCAATGTTAGTGTTCTTTTATTTAAATTATTCAACCTACTTTCTGAAATTTAATGAATTTTCGGTTGGTGTTTCTGCACATTGCCACCCAAAGGTTTCCCCATGTGTTCTACCTTTGGTCTTTTGCCTGCTAATTTTGTTCCTTTTCCTTCCAGCTCTTATCATTTAATGAAGCCAAGCTGCTGTTGAAACATGAGGATACTGATTTGATGGAGAGGGTCCATGAATATTGGTGTAAAAAGAAGAAAAACACTGTAAGTCCCCTGATCAAGATATGATGAACCTCTTGCCTGGTCTTTGCTTTTGTTGTTGTCAAAAATAACATTTATAAAGCTTTGGTTATGGCATCACTTTTCTTCCATCATTTGGTAACAAATAAATGCTAGAAGACAGCAATCCAGGACACAGGCCTAGAGGCAAATCCCCAAAAACATGCCCAAAGCATGCCAACTAGCATGTGAATAAAGAACAGCATGTTCTGGTATCCCTGTGAGTTGTATCTTGTGAATTCCTCTACACCTTCTTGGTGATGGTAATAGGTAGTAACAATGGACCAAGACACACTTTGTTGCGAAAAGAACCCTGTACTTGCTTGAGTAGAAATCTTCAATTCTATTAACAGTTTGGATTATTTGTTTATAAATATAATTGATTGTAATTTATTTTGTAAAATACATTTTGTTCTTGTTTCCTCTGCATGTTTTTTTACTTGGGATTTTTTCAAAGATATATAAAGAAAAATTCATCTTAATTCGATTTCTTTTTTGATTCTTCTGCAAAAAGATATTAGTGTTTGACAAAGGATTTTTTCCCCGTTTAGGAGACACCCTTACTAACTCCTCAGGTGAAGACAGAGAAGAAAGATGGAAGCACTGCACATGACCCTTATGTTGCTTTTAGACGACGTGTTGAGAAAATGCAGACGCGGAAGGTGAAGTTTTGTTCTTATCCTCTTTTCCTTATATCCAAGAAGCTCTCCAATAACTAAAATGTGTATTATTTATTGGCTTATTTCAAACCTGGCATTTTCTGCACGCTTTCTATAAACCAGTTTAATTATTTTTTTTCCAGAAAATAGTTTATGTTATATTAATTTTGGTACATTGACTATATTTCAAAGTTTATCTTTTGTCAAATTTTGAATCATGTCAACTTTCACTGAAGCCATTCCCAAGCATATGATTTACCCTATTTGGGTGTCTTCTGATGATAAAATATGTTTTTAAACCATTTAATTGAGTTCTTATTTTCCAAGGCAAATAATTCTTTTGACATCCACTTCCCTTCACAATTAACAAAAAATTATTATGGCGCCCTAGAACCACACCACTAATATTTTTATTTCTTTCTCAGCTTGCCTGTTTATTGTATAATTCATGTAGTCTATTCTCTAGCCTAGGCTAGACAATTGAAAACGTTATATGTAAATATAAGTGAGGTTTCTGCTTGTAGTTTAATGTAATTAACACAACTAAAAATCTTTATATCCATGTTTATTAGAATCGCAAAAACGATGAAGCCTCATACGAGAGGATGCTAAAACTAAGACGAGACTTGCATCGTGCCTGGTAAGCATTGTTGCACGTGTTTGATCAACCTCGTATTGATACAGGCGTTTGATGTTATTTATGAGGCTACATTTTGCTGTAGTTAAAGGTATTCTTTTACTTATCGTTTCAAACTGTATTTTGTTCTTGTATACTTTTTATTTTTTCCAACCGATGGTCATATTTCTTTTGTTCGATTAGTTACTGTCAGTCTGATTGATTGGTGCTGAAATCAGTATCAGGAGTAGTAGCATTTGGAGAGAAAAATGGACTCAAGTTTTGCAGGCATTGTATCTGTTGCCCACTTTTAAGCGTTCAGTGTTTTAGTTTATTACATTTTAACCAGTCTATCTTTCTTTTAGCAAAATTCTCGAGTTAGTGAAACAAAGAGAGAAGATGAAGAAAAGCATACTGAAGTCTGTTGTCAATGTATTTGAGCACAGGTAAAAATAGCCCGTTTAAAATTTCTGTTTTTTCCCAAAACATTGTTGAATTACTTCTAAAAACGCAGTTAACTGAATGCTGTGTAGAATTGATGAACTGAACTTCAATAGGACAATAGTAGTTTATAGTTTATGATCAGTCCAAGTTGTAAAAGAAAGTTACAAGGGAACTATTCTTTTTGCTGATCTAGGTATAAGAACGAAGACTTCACAGGGGAATTGCTGAAGCAATGTTATCATATACTACGAGATCGACAAGCGTACATGGACCGACAAGTTGCAGAAAGAAGGCAAATCGAGGATCGGCTGCAAGGCCGTCATCCGGTATGTTGTATTTTGTGGTCCTGTTCAGCTTTTGTGATGTCAGTTCCTGTGGAAAAGGCGCTTAGGGTGCTAATGACGTCTGTCCTGTCCTATTTTTGTCTGTATCTGTCTCACAAAAACTGTCTTGTCGGTTCTTAGCCAATCTTCAAGCATATGCTACTTCCAAAAACCCAAGATTTTGTTCTATTTGCTAGCTTAGTTCCCTTTTCTTAATGGCTAATTGCCTTCTTTCATGTCTATTTGAATAACGATCAACTCGACGTCAAACTATATGCTGTCTGAAATGCTGTGCTGTAAATTCACGAATCAACCCCCTAGGATTTTTTAGGCTTATTTTTTATTATTATTATTATTAACATTTTTTAGGCTTATTTGAGGTGGGCTTGAACGAGGGTAGGGGCTTAAATAACGATCTGAAAGTTGCCATTAAAATAGATCTTTTTTGAAGCTTTTCATTTTGGGAAACAAAATATTTTGCAAGTCCATATTGGCAGCAAATACATCACGAGAATGCTTTTCTTATTTTATTTTTTAATTTTCGTTTAATATGTCATGTGTCATGGGCTAAAGTAATGTGTGGTAGAATTAACATGATCAAGATGAGGGCTTATCCATATGTCATTTCGAAGGTGGCCCTTTTTCCAGAGAGGGGGGAACTGGCCCTTTCTCGAGGATTAAGGTATTGACGTAATTTCATATTTACAACAAACCCTACCCCAGAGAACCCCCATCGAGTTTTATTTGTCTCAAACGTACGTGTTGAAGATTGGGCTGCATATAAAATCAACTGAAATTGGAACTCTTTGCTCTAGGATGATGCTCTACGCCCTGGCGAAACCAGTGAAGAACTGAGGTAAGTCTGTGAACGAGTCTCCCATTTTCCAAATCATGTAGAAACACATCTTTGTTCCTAGAACGTAAATTTAAGCCGAAGGGTCTTTTACTTATGTTTAGTGAAAGCGGGACTCATTTAGTTGAGACCGCTCGTACTTCAACCTTAACAAGCTTTGGTGTAATATTTTGGAGTCAATTTGAACTGAGAAAGGTGCTACTAATGATACAGATTATTGATTTACAAAATATCTAGGTGCTTAAGCCTAATGTCTTGTTCACATTTCCCGTTTCCCATGTCATGGCCATGTTTTTTGCTTTTGTATAATGCATACGCGTTCTTAAAGGCATTTGACATGCATAAGTACAACGAATCCAAAAATAACTTAGGCCAAATTGATCAGAGCACGCGCACAAGAAAGGTATTGAAAACCGCTCACGTGAATCCACTGCGCGCTGCTCTAGGACTTCACCGATTTGCAGAAAGACGGAAACTGTTCACGTGTTTTTCTCTGTGTGCAATTTGATTGGTCAACCGCTCGTGGTCGAGTGGCTGTAAGCTACTTTTACCTGTGTCAAATGCCTTTAAGATTTTTGAATGCACAGAAAGATTTTTGAATGCACAGAAAAGATTTACTTGCCATCTCCTAGGTACTCCTTTTATCTCTTTCCGGATATTTTTCGTTTTGGTCTTTAGTTTTTTAGGTTTCTTTCTTAAATGCTTTCAGTCTTTGTTTGTTTTTTATTTCTCTTGCTCTTGCTGTGGGGCAACCACAAATGAACTTAGATCTTTTTCCAACTCATAAATTATCGATTCCTTTCAAGCATCTCTGAGCTCAAATTAGTTGAGTATGAAAATTTAAATAGCCAACCCTTGCTTTCTTCATTTTCCTGCCACTCTATAATTCAAAGCAGACATTAAACTGGGTAGATTTTAAAATGTTAATATTTGTTTGCCAGGAAAAGAGTGAGGGCACAGAAAAGGCTGCCTGGCCAGGTAAAATTTGTTTGCCTTTGTCCCCGAAGATCGATTCTACAAGCTCTGTTGTGCCGTAAATTACTGACAAAAAAGCTAGTTTGTAAATAGTACAGAACGTTTGTAGCCTTTTTCAAAGTAGCATTCAACCTTCGTACAAATTAGCATTAAAAGAGAAGAATTATATTAACAGGAGAGTTAGGACTATGAGCTAAGCTTCCTTTTGTGACAAGGCTCCAAGAGTATTTCTGCTGGTTTTCTACGTGCTCAACATGCTCTTGATTGCAGTTCACTTGCATGGCAGTTCCTCAACTAATTCTCCATACGTTTCCCGCAAAAGATAAACATGTATTCTATGCAATACAGTAGAAACTTTTTTACTGCCTTGAACTAATGTCTTTCTCTTGCAATAGCTTGGTGAGTTGCCATTCGAACCAGACGGCATACAATCAGTAAGTTTCTATTATGTCTCCTCCATTCATTCCAGACGTTGTTTAAAAAATTGTTATCAGAGGTAAAAAATTGTTTTCAGAAATATAAGAAATTATGACTGGAACATATACACACCTAAATTTGCGGGTTTTCTTTTAAATTTGTATGCAAATGTTTATTCATTCATAGCTTTCAGGTGATAGAATTTTGCGAGTGATCTGTCTACAATGTGACCTATTTTTCTTTGATTTATTGCTTGAAAGCACGATAACAGTATTCTGTGGTCTACAAGTTTCCCATTACAACACTTTCTTTCTCTATGTTTTCATTCGTTCTTTTATCAATCGTTTCTTTCCATCAACAGCCTGAACTGCCCACCGAACCTGATGACGACCCCCTGGGCTTGGATGGTAAATTCACTTTTAAAAGAAAACGTGGTGTCCTTTACCGCGCGGTAGGCAGCTCAACTCTTTCCATCTTTCTTTGTTTCACATGCACATTTCATCAATGTCAAAGTCAGGAGTTTTGTAAATATGTAAATATTTTTGTAAAGATTGTTTTGTATCTGTGACCGTTAAAGTGTGTGTGGTCTTTGTTCATTTCCACGAAAAAAAAATTATTGAAGAATTTAAATTTTTGTGTTGCTTAGGTAAATATCCCTCATTCAAATGCTTATAATGCCTATCTGAAAATGAAAAACGAAAATTAATACACAACTCAAATTTTGATTTTCATCTATTCGCTCAAATATGAAAATTCAGCACTGGAAACTGTTTTTTCTCATTAACTCAACGTTTTGCCATTTTAGCCACGCTATGATTCTGTTGGGAACTGGCCATGGGTCCATCCAGTCGAAGGTGGCTCAGGCGATGTTCGTTACCGCTATTGTTGCACTTCGATTCGAAAGCCTCGACGGTGTATCGGCTTTGCAAGAAGAAGGACTGGTCGCGGCGGAAGGTAATTGCACCACATGTTAATGTATATATCATTATTACTCAGAATTATGTGCTGCAATTTCGCTTTGCCGAGTGCTGACCTGGTCTAATTAAACACGACCAAATAAAGGCACATTGCCTCGCAGTAAAATCAAACTTTTTTTTCCCGCAGTCTCCTCTCGGCAAATTACTTTTTCCTTTGTTTTATTTTTTTATTAAAGTTGGTACAATTTATAGCTACACCAAGTCGAATTAAAACCAACAAATTTAAATTGCTATTGCGTAAATTAAATCATACATAACCGATATTGTATATGTACTCCTTGGAAAAGTCACATTATCTTCTTAAATATATGTAAAATTGGTAACTCTTTTGTCTGTGCAGCTGTGGTTAATAATCGTCAGTAAGTAAAACCAGTGCTTGTTTCATTATCAACCAAAAAGATATGCCGTAGCATTGGAATGCATTGGTAGATGTTTCTGCCTGTTGTTAAACAGCCAGGTATAAATGACCATGCCCCATTCCACGTTACCGCTATGTTCCCCAGCCAGTTTTTCAAAATCCTCCGTGTTTCAGTTGCAGTAAAGATTGACAAGGCTTGTCTCTGTTTTTCGACAGATTTCTGAAGAGAAAATGTCATCTATTGGTTTTCATTATATAAGTTGTTTTTGCTGATCTGTACGGAAACCTTTTCTTCTTGCTGTGAATTTAAAAGGCTTGCTGCGAATTTTTACAGCCGCTTGAAAATCTAGGGAATTCACTGATCATCTCACGGTGCTTTCTATCTAGCGTAAAATTGTTATTCCCTTTGTATGCAGTTCCACGACATGACAGTCCTTATCACAACAGCGGGGAACCTGCAAATCATCATTGCCAAAGACGTTAGTCTGTTACTCAGCTTCTGTTCATCTTTGAATAATGTTTATGAAAAACATAATGCTATTGTAGCTAATCAATTTGAACCTTGCCTTATGTATCATATTTAATTTGTTTTTTCTTTCTAAAGGGTGATCTTCGACAGGGCGTGGACGCCTTTCGACGACTGTTCTTCGCTGAATTCCAAAAAGGAACCATCGAAATCGACTCCTCCCAATGGCATGATACCAGCTACGCAGGATCTTCGTGTCCCCCCTTGGTAAGCAGGCCTTTTGTGATTTAAGCCTCAATGTGACATCGATAAATTTCCAGCAATTCAAACGAGATATTTTATGAAAATTGCTTAATACGAGATTGTCCCAAAACGTCTTACATTGTCCTGGACACGCCCCTTTCGTTGTTGTTACTAAAATGCATATAGATGATATGTCTATCTTAAAGGTACATTGAGATGACATTGAAAAGTTTTGTTTTTATATGATCAACCAAAGTCATAACTATATTTTCCCTATCATTAATTCTTAATCAAATTTAGGTTTTCTTTAATTATATATTTTTTCTTCCTAGGCCGCATTTCAAGCCGTTTTCAGATTTCTTGGACGACAATGATTCAAGCCCCAATACCCCCGTGAAGAAATTAATAAACGCTCGATTTCGCAATGATCCTTCAGATACCTCCACTTTGCAATCTAGCCCCAAGCTTTATCGTTCTTTTTCCACTCAACCAACTTCGAAGTTTAGAGTGAACCCTTATCCAACTAACGGAGTTTGCATAAACAGTCAAACATTTCTTTCTTCGCTAACCTCAAGCCTTACGAAAGTTCCTGAACCCCATTCGCGAAAGCTAGGCTCGAACAGTGATGCAACGAGTGCTGCCTGGCCAAACAATCATGTTGGTACAGTCTCATTATCGCAAAATCAATCAATACAACGGACTCAGAATATATCTAACGGGCAGGTTGTAAGTAGCTCGCAAAAACTCTCTTCTGGTGACCAGTATCCCCATTTACATGGCAATAACAGCTCAGTGTCATTCCATGGACAAACACAAACCAATGGCCACGTAACTGGATACAGCAACAACACAGGCCATCCTATGTCGTTTATTCATTCGAACACGCCAGCCAATAATCGTCTACCACCAACTGGGCCTTCATCGGCTGTCTTCCAATTGAACTTTCCATTGCTTAAAACGAAATCACAGAATACGCCCCCAAAGGGTCACTTGAGCAGGAGGCTTGCGAACAGCGGCGAGAACGGCAAAGATCACAGGAACAGCCATAAGCGAAGCAGCCAGATAAACAGCATCGTCTCGACCGTGTCCAGTACTCAGTACCGCCAGTCGGTATCGACGCTCTCAGGGACAAACTCAGCAATTAACATCGCCAGGTTAGTTTCTTAAGTTTCTTAGAAAACCATTAAGTTTTTTAAGACCCTATTAACACTGCAGATACAAGTTTAACAGAGTCAAGGGAAGCGTCAATCCTTCTTGCAAATAACATCCTAGAGCTTTGGAAACCCTCCTCAGACAAGCAATCAAAAAAGGGCTGGGTTTGGGCGTGTCACCTCTATTTCTTTTTTTTCATTTGACTTCCTTCAGGTTTGACGACAGTGGGTTAGCAATGCAAGAAAACGTGGGCTCCAATGCAGGTTGGAAAGTGGGGGAGGGGGGGCTTTAACAATCATAACAAAATAATTTTTAAAAAGCTCTATTTTTTGCAAAAAGGTAGGAGGGTCATGCCCCGGCCCCCCTTCGTCGGAGGCCCTGGAAAAGATAACTAAAATTTAATCAACCACTTAATTTTTGCTTGCTTTTCAAGCGCGGATTTCACGTGAAAAGCTCTACAAATATTAGTACTGTGACGGCTTATGTGTATCCTAACTGAACCACTGCAGCGTACATATTTTGTGCATATTTCAAGTGTTTGTTTCTTTGTTTTATGGGGCTTGTAACCAGGTTAAAGATGCATTCTAAATTTTGTTCAAAATTGTCAGAACAAATATTTCCTGCGTTCATGAATCAAGAATGTAGACCCAAACTGACAATGCATCTTTCTTTGCAGGGCCCAAGAGACACTGCCAGCTTTCAACACGTTTCGAAGACCTTCGACCGAACTGCCAAGCGCGGCTCCTGCTGCCGAAGTGAAATGAGCATGCCTCACTCGCCCTTCGCACTTTCACGCCTTTGAATGTTTTAATAAATCTGGTACCAATTGTACATAGTTGTAAATCAATGCTAGGTAGGATATCTATGTATTGTTGTAAGTATCATCTGAGTGCATTTCGCGACTTGCATGGGGTTCTTCACGCTGTCCCCTGCTTTATGCTAGCAGTTACCTAGTCCTTTCTCGAGCAGTGCGTGGCAACGTAATTATGCGCACTGCGGGGCATAAAAGCTATCTTTCTTATTTTCTGAATTATTCTCTTTTTTCGTACAACTTCCATCTTTGAAATTCAACGTCCTTCCGTGTTTTTATAGGATATATTCTTATATTTTGAAATTTGTTTTATCGTTTACCTAAATGAAATCATGTTTATCATAGTTTAAGACTGGGGTTGTGCTTAAACTAGCTTAAACAAAACGCTTTGCTTATTCGAAAAATTATTTTTGCTTGGAGTGTACTTGTTTCTATGAAACTAATCCACAACCAACCATTTTATTTTTTATGAAATTTTTTCTTTCATCTAGGATGGATATAAACTCCTTTTAAGTATTATTACATCTAAAGTTTGGTCATTTTTTGTTCCCGATCCTATCTCTTTATGACCAGCTCTTCAATTGGCAAGCAACATTTTGCTTATTCTCAAATAACACAACCTTACCAGCAAAACATTATTCGTAATTTGTAGATCACACTGCTGTTTGCATTTGTATCTGTCCACGCTTATCTTCAATTCACGGTCAACTCTACAATGTTGAAATTGCACAAGTTTTTACCAAAGTCACATGTTTGTAAAATGTTCGTAACTTAACATTTTATCTTCAGCTTAGTAACTTAAAGTCCTTATTCAGCTTAGTAACGTAACTGTTTTATTTCCCACTTTGTCCTCTAAAAACTTACATTTTACTGCCATAGGCCTAAAAACTTACATTTTACTGACATGTGCCATAAAAAGTGTCCCTGCAGTCTTTTTATTTCTTATGCTGTCAAGGTGTCTAGTCTAGTCTATATTTTTTAGCTAGTTTGTTAGTTGTGGAATTTAACTTTTATGGCTACTTGCATTCTAAAAAGCAACTCCAAATAATTTTCTTTTAAAAAACGCTTTTCTTAGAACATCAGACTTCGTGGTTTTAGCTTAAACACTTTGTCGCGGGCTTTTATTTCAAAATTTCTTTTCTATGTGCTTGAAACGATCGTAATTGTTTCTGTTACCCGTGAAACCTTTTTTTAACTTGAGGCCTACGAGCTTTATGGGGGTATAGTTGTTTTATACGGGGAAATTTCTAGGGTAGACAGAACTGTTAGGGGTTTTAACGACGTTTCAAAGTAGTGTTTGAAAATTACTGCCTGTGTTGTAATGTTTTCAGTTTTGTGCAGTTTGGTCTTGCAAGTCAGTTGAAAATGCACTCATTTGATTGTTCTTTTGAATACCCTCATTCGTATTGAATGATTTAGAGTTTGTCAAATGCACTTTTACTAGTCAAATATAACCCAATGTCTTCGTCTCATTTCCATACGTCTCAATTTGAACATATCGATAAGAAATGTGGCTGGAAGATATCGCCGTGTCTGTCTTTCTTGTTAAAGTACTGGCCTGCCCGCGTTTGTGTTTCTAATTATTTATGGTACTACCTTTTCCAAAGAGGTTTTGACACTATCAGATAATAATGGGGAATACCCAGCAAATAATGTACCAAATATTGGTCCAAGCATTGCCTGAATATTGCAAAACATTTCTTTTCATACTTGAATTTTGGTCTAGTACAGAAGGTATATGTTAATGAATAGAAATATTAATGAATAGAAAGATGTGGTGGCTAGGCAAGTGGTATTTGGGCAGGGGCCAGCCTTGCTTCATCCACTAGGAATTTCCTAAGGACTGCAAGGCCTGGGGGGTAAACACAGGAGGTTTTTTTAAGGTTTTCGCATCAATTCTTGAAAATACTGACATCTGTCCTTGGAAATATTTGCAGCCATTCCAGATAATTGGCGGTTTATCTCCCATCAATTTTTTAATTAAGTTATGATTTGAGATCGACAGTGGCGTATGTTAAGATGTGAAGGGGATAGAACAACGCATGGGTTGCAGTGGCGGATCCAGACTACCGCCATTACCGCTCGAGCGGTAGTCAGATTATTCAAAAAATTATAGAAACAAGGATCATTTTCATGTTTATCCTACTACTTTAATTAAACCATATTTAATTATTGAAAATATTTGATCGCGCTGCAAACCAAGCCTTTCTTCCTAGGAACATGCCTGAAATTTCCACAAAGACAGAGATATTTTTTAATGCTTATCGCTATGGAAATTGCGTGCCAATTGCCGAGCCACATGTTTGCAAATAGAAGGCTAGCATGGGGGGATGGTGAAATCATGGCTTGCTAGCTAGGGGGGTTGAGTCGGTGTAGAGCGGATTCGAACTGCACTGAGCGGCAGTCAGCCTGCCTAAACCAATCAAATCGTCAGAAATCACTGCCAACCTGGGGGGATGCATACAAATTTTGTTGATAACCAATGAACAACCGAGTTGACTACCGCTCAGATACCGTTGAGTAGTACTGCCGCTCAACACGGCTCAAACGTTACAGAAAGATGGGGGGATGCCTACATATTCTGCAAGTGGGCAAACTGTAACTTCAAAGCCGATGTGACCCATTATTTTGTACAATACACAACTATTCGTAGGAATACATTTCAAAAGAATATTAAGACTCAAATATTTCAAAATTTAAGAAGGCATCAGGATTAAAAGTCAGGCCCACAATATTCGCCAAAAGTATGATTCTTTGTTTAACAAAAGTTGATCTCAATAATTGCAAATTTTATCTAGCTTTTTAAACTTGTAATTTCCAACATGTCTGATTTCCAAAAGTAATTGTCCGACTAAATGCGAGTTTTAGGCGACACTTCAAAATTCTGCCAAATGTATCTTTTTTTCTAATTCTATGGTGTATCTCGTCTAAATGCCGTAATTTTTTTTAGAATATCCATTCTCAGAAAATTGAATAAGATTATTTATTTCTTCTCAAGCTTGTTGTAAGGATAATACATGAAATTTCAGTAAAGCACCGCTTGTCACTTGAAAATGGTCTACATAAGAAATTATAGAAAGCAATAATCATTTTAGAAAACCGGGTGAGACCAAGAAATGGATGTGGTCTAAAGGGTGTGATCAACCCTCTATCTCATTTCGGCGGTAGTCAGATTTTTGGCTGGATCCGCCACTGGGTTGAACAGAACAGAACAGAACGATAACTTTATATTAACTTCAAACGGCCTACACACATAACTGTAATACTGTCAACTGTAATCTGAAACTATATAAACATGGGTCACATAAAGTAATGCTCCTGCGCATAGTCAATTAGGTTACTACAGCGTAGATAGAAAAATTGATAGGAGGGGGAAGAAATTTAAATTTTCCGACAAAAGAATCGTAAGCATTGTATTTTTCATCAGTTTGAGCAAAACGTAATGTAAGTACTGGAATGAAACAGGAGATTTATAAACTCTAACATTTTTTAAAGACTGGTGTCATAATTATACTACTGGAAGATTTTGTCTGGTCTTCTCTAAAAAAGGCATTTTCAAGTATCATACCTTATTGAAAAGTATTGCCAGTCTCGTACAATAATTCGATTTACGGCCTCGTTTTGAAAAAATTTTCTAACCTAATTATGCGACTTTTTAAAGCTCAAATTTGGTTTTATCACCATAATTTTAGGCCGGATACAATTGTTCATATTGTTTGTGCTTGTATTTTAGGTTTTACGGAGAAATGAAGTTTGAAAACTTGTAAGGGATTTGACCGCAAAAATCATTCGGGGGGAAACTTTACCCCCCCCCCTAGTCGCCAATCACGGTCAAATCCCTTATAGAATTTTTTATCTTTTTGTCGTGATAAAATCAATATCATGAGCCATACCATAATGAAAACTTCCAAGTATACTAAGATCATTGCTCGCAATCCGAATCTGAGGTAAAATTTTTTGAAGAATTTGAAGATTTTTCAAAATGAGGCCGTAAGTCGAATTTGTCTATTCAGAACAACGATAGAAATCGTTATATTCACCTTCAAAACCTTTCCCCTCAAAGTGCAACACTATAAAAAACAACTATGTTATATTTCTGACAAAATCAGAAATCTTTATCCGATAAAATAGCAGCTTAGCTTTACAGGGGGGTTTTCGCCCCTTCTGGCCCCCATCTATCTACGCCACTGGGGATAGGAAAAGGACCATTCATCAGCCACTGCTCGAGGAGTTTCACGCTGAATGTGATTGTTCATAGAATTATGGATAAAATATGTTGTCAGTTTGCTTGGTGATCTAGAGTTGAAAAGAGAATCAAACAATTTATTTCATGCCAATTATGATACCTTTTCAGTAAGAAAGCAGTTTTTCCATTATTAATATTTCAGCCGAGCCTTGGTAAAGGGGATAAAATTGGAATAGAATACCTTCGGGGAAAAATGTACCTTTAATTTTTGGCTTTCAGAGAAGTTGAAAAAACTTCAATTTTTACTAATTTGCAGTTATTTTGAATAATCGATAGAATAACAAAACATGCTTTCTGTCATATTCTGTCATATGGAAATCTGTTATACGATTTTCACTTGTCATATAAACATTAATTATATTGTCAAAAATAAAGTAAAAATATTTCAATGCCTCAAATGGATACGTGGCTGATGTCTTATTTTGTGCCTGATATAGCACTGATTTCTTTTTATCTATATTCATCGAAATATCAGAGGCAATGTCTCCAAACACTAGGTTGTTCTTGGTTCTAGAAATTACCAAATAATATGTTAAAACATAAGTTCATAATATCAATACTACTTGATGCCCATTCTTCTTGTGGAAATACCAGGTTTAAATGTTATTTTGTCAAGAGCTTCAGGGAGATCAAACACAAAGTTTCAGAATTTTCACTAAAGTAAAGGTATTTTGAAAAAATGTGGATTTGAAGACGTTCTAAGTGGATGGAATGTGGATGAAAAACACAAATTGTCATTTACAAAATAGTTTTTAATATCTAAATTGTTGTACCCTATTGAGGCTGCCCAACCAGTGCCGCTTGCCTTTTCAATTGTAAAGCAGCACTGACTGTACAACCGCAAAAGTCACATAGTTGCGTTCTGATTGGTCTAGTTCGATCCACAACTGGGTATATATATTTCTTAGCGTAGAGTTTTCAATCTATGTTCTGACGTTTTATACTCTGAAGAGTGTCAGACGAAAAGCTTTAGTATGATTCAAAATGTTTCCTTTTTCAAATCCATTTTTAAGTTTTGTTTTGCAAATTTGTCAATTCCTGTCTGAAATCTTATTGATTAACATAAAGCAATGTCAATGGCAAAGGTTTCAAAGGACAAATATTTACAAGGCAAAACATTACACAAACTGTCCATGTTTTCCTTTTCCAGACACAAACTCCCCTGCACCAGGAACAGCTTCATTCTTGATCACATCCATACCATTCTCATATTCAAATTTCAATGCACTATCTATTGAATTAGCATCATATGTTGCGTGGTAAGCAGATTCTCTGTCGGCTAGCATACATGCTTGAGGAAACTTCAAAAGCTGCTTTGCTAATTTCTTGGCTTCTTCTAAACTCTTTCCTTTTGGAACAACCCTATTTGCCAGGCCCATTTGGTGGGCTTCTGCAGCATTAACTGCTCTCCCAGTGAGAATAAGATCAAGTGCACGAGATAAGCCAATGAGTTTTGGTAACCGTACTGTGCCACCATCAATCAGAGGAACACCTTGTATCAAAAAATAAAAACTTGAAGAAATTTTAAGGAATTGACAAACTACCATAGGTATTACAAGTAAAATTTTTAGTTTTAAAATTTTCGGGTATGCATATTATCATGAATTTGCTCCATGATGAAAACAAACAAATTTCAGCAAATTTTTAAAATTTAAATATTATATACTATATAGATTGTGATATCTAGGATGTATTAAATTTTAAGGCAAAAATGTTACCAAATCGTCGACAAAATACACCAAGTACAGCATCTTCTTCCACAATTCTCATATCACACAAAAGGGCCAACTCAAGTCCTCCTGCAACTGCATGGCCAGCTATGGCTGCAATAACAGGCTTTTTTAGGTGTAGTCTTGAAGGTCCCTTCAAGAAAGAAATTCCATTTATAAATGATTGATAATAAATATTTTGTAAAACATAAGCAACAATCATTTATTGTCATCAGCCAGCCAGAAACTCTGTTGGGGGCTTCAATACAATATATTGCCCTCATACACAGAATGGCTGTTCAAAATACTTAGATCAGCCATTCATAAACTCCGGCCCGTGGGCCAACTCCAGCATGCAGCAAAATTTTATCTGGCCCGCCGAATGCTTTTCACCTCGAAAATATTGATCCTTTTATAGCATTTAATTAACGGTATTTTAATTTATTTCTTTTCTCCATCTTACACGCTGTTATGCAAAGATCATTCTAAAATCTTGCGAGACTTTCCTTTTCCATGTCAACAGATAAATCTATGGAATCTAGTTATGAAAACCATAAGAATATTGCTTTTAATTTTCTCCCGTTAAAATCTATTTGAGGTGCTGTTTCTGGCCATCCCTAGATTAATATAACCTAAAAAAGTTTTTGCTGCCAACCATGGTGGCGGCCTTTATTAAATTCATCCACAAACGTAAGATTTTGGCATTTCTTTAAAATATGATGTGCAGCCCTTGACCTGACTTCAACCCCTTAAGCGCTTCAAACCGACCCAACAAGAGACTAACAAACGATTAACCTTCTGGCCTAAAAATAGCATAGCACGATTTTCTGACTCAGCCTGGTGCAAGAACCATAAAGTTACAAAACCTTTGTGAAAACTTACTGGCCCCCAAAGAAAATCTATATGTTTTTCTGGCCAAGCACTTAAAATAATTAAGAACCCCTGCCCTAGATAATACATTTAACATCGTTAACACTACAAAAGTCTATGTTTGCTCACATTACTTCAGGTGAGCAGCCTGAAGAAAACTTGCTGGCGTAAGAAACAGAATTTCCAGTCTGGGTACCTAATTTGGTTTTTACCAAAGCAGGACATCCATTACTATAGTCACACCAAATTCATTGGGAAACACCCATTTTAAACTTCGTATTTGCCCTCAGTACAATAATAGGTTTTCCAAGAGCATTGTTGGCATTCAAATAAGTGTGCAGATTGTCTATCAATTCAAAAAAGGTAGCAAAATATTCAGTCTCTAACAGAGTGGCGCTTTAGTAGAGATAGGGAGGAGGGTGCTTTAGTAGAGATAGGGAGGAGGTTACAGCCCCACCTGCCCACCCATCCATTACATCTCTTCTTTCAAGATTGAATCACATCCAGGAACCATGATGCATGTTATGAATTGGAGAGCTAAAAAGTTTTTTTTGGAGGGGGGGGGGGGGGAGGGGGAAGGCGCGCGCCGGGGGGGGTGGGGTTGGGGGGTGCATAAACATTCAAAAAGCCATAACAAAGATAATGTTTAAATTGTTTAAAGCACAGATTTGAAAACTATTAGAGGCTTAAGCTCCTCTGCCTCCCATGCTTATGCGGCCCCTAATCATACCATCGGTCCACGCTTATGTAGTAAGTCTTTGATTTCATCGTCTCCTCGACTACCAAAAGTACTGAGCTCTTTTAGGTCGAAACCAGCGCAAAAATCACCACCAGAACTATGGAAAATACCAACTCTTGCGTCTTCGGATTCATTAAATTTCATGAAAGCGCTGTACAGATCATTTCCAGTCTCGACATTAACTGCATTTCGTCTTTCAGGACGATTGATTGAAATGAAAAATAAACCATCTTCGTCTGTCGTCGTAGTAACAATCCTTCTGACCCAGTTCACAACCTGGAAAGACTGTTTCTCTGCAGAGAATTTTCTCAGTTGCCTAGCTGTCGATAACATGGTTGAAACAGAAAATCATCGAGCAACTTTCAACCGATTGGAGAGATTTGAAATCCCATTCGTCGCGAGGTAACCTATTTGCAGCTTTCTTGATTTGGGAGACAAGGCAAAACTTGAGAGACCACCAGGATGCGTTTTGGAGGATAATATTTGCTTTACATTTAAATTGAAAAAATCCACCAATAATCGTGAATACCAGAGCTTCTCCAGCAAATTTAATATTCAATGTCGATCAATCTAAGAAAAATACAAAGTGCACGTGCACATCAAGAAAACAAAAATTGAATTGGATGATGCAGCAGCAACCACAACCACATGTTCTTACATTCACTGGAAGAGAACATCGATTTCTAGCTTCATTTTTGATGATTTTTTATATTTGAAGACGAAAATGCCATCTTTAGACGTACAAGAAAGAATCAAGCATTCAGAGCCGAGTTTAGAGTATGTAAGCATCGGCTGTAACAGAACCTTGCATGCACTTTCATGGGGTAGAAATGATGTGATTGCGTTTGGCGCCGGGAATTCTGTTGCTATTTACGAAACAAAGGTAGTTATTGATGCACCTTATAGCCATAATTTAGATTATACTATAGTTTCAGATTCACATTTAGTTGTGTTTTTGTGCTTAATCTTTGTAATAAATATTTCTTTGTTGTTCAATATATATAAAAACATCCAACCATAGCATTCAAGAAAGCCTCGATTTCATTAATTCATTTATTAATCCAGACTTCAGGCTCCAGCTTTCAAAAATTGCCTATTTCATAATGTTCAACCCTTTAAGCTGAGACTTGATTGCAGGTGTCATAAGCCTAGGAACAACAGGTCTGGGGTAAACAGTGGCATGAGGGGAAATGCTCCTCTTTTTAGAATTTACCTCTTTATTAAGGACATAAAGAACTCAAACACAAAATCTTTATCAGCAAAAACAAATGCTAATTGCAATATACCAAGAATTTAAAGTTAGAATACAAAAGTTAGCAACTTCAAAAATTTAGTTAATTAAGTACATCAGATAAATTGGTTTGTTATGCTGAAGGACACATGAGAAAAACTAGCAAGGAGCTATCAAGTCATATGTCCTAGTGACGTATTTAAACTCAAGATTATAATTTCCACTTCAGTTTGAAGTAGTGTATAACTGCTGTGTTTAGTAGCCAGAGAAGAGAAAGTGTGTTTAGTAGCGAAATATATTTATAACATTCAAGCATTTACTCAAAAACTAACATAATTCAGCAGTAAGGTCGTTAAGAATGTCAAAGCGATTAATCAAGACAATAACGAATGTCATGTGATTGTCATGTGACACTACTTGACATACTGTGAGCCTGGCAAAAAGCTAATCTAGTGAATTGTCTATTAGCTGCATGTGAATAGCATCTCTTACTACAAAGGCTACCTTGCATTGTGGACCATATTTTCGTTTGGATGTTCTTCATTATTCTCTGTGCTTTCTTTTGAAGTTGAATGGTTAACCGCTTGTACTTGTAATGGATAAAGCTTGAAAGCTTTCATGGCAGCAAATAATGAAAACAAAAGATAGACTGCAGATCCTGGTCACAGCACCATTTTGTTGAGTAGCCAGAGAAGAGTGTGTTTAGTAGCGAAATATATACATAACATTTTAGCATTTACACGAAAACTAACATAACTCAGCAGTAAGGTCGTTAAAAATGTCAAAGCGATTAATCAAGGTGATAACAAATGTCATGTGATTGTCATGTGACACTACTTGACAAGCAGGAAGATAAGATTATTTGGTCATAAAATGAGGTATAATGATCTGGAAAGCATGATTATTGCTTGCAAAGTAAATGGGAAGAGAAGGCAAGGGCGGCTGTAAGCGCCTTGGCTGAAAGACATAAAGGTATGGACTGGCTTAAGTCTTAGTGAGTCTTTTCGATCAACAAATGACAGAGAGTCTTGGTGTAGGAGAGTGTTCCTACAGCATCATGTTAAGCAACTTCTGACCCAGATGATAATGTCAAAGGATATGTAGAAAAGTGTGCTCCTGTTCAGGGACACAATACCATTTCCTGTCTGTACCTTTCTAAATTTGAAATACCTTTGGCATCTCTGCATTTTATCTGAACTTACAGCTACGATTCATGAAAATTCTGATAGTTATCATTTTTAATATAATCCTATTAAAAATCAAGCCTAAAGGAAGAGTCCATTCTCAAAATCAAATGGCTGATAAAATGATAAGCCCAAGGACTGGACTATGCCCTGGCTGCCTAGCTCCTTTTTGTGAATGTCCAGGGTGAAATCCATATAAAGCTCATGCCAGATATACGCAAATAAACAACTATTGAACTATTATAGATTCTCCAGATTCACCTGCATAAGCTACACAGATTCCAAACTGGGTGAATGTGATACAGCCATGTGACTGTGATCAGATTTCCACTTAGTAGACCAAAAACTTTTCCAAAAAAAATGAAAAGCACATTCACTGGACAAGTTTTTTGCATTCACATCCACACAAATCCATGAAGAAATGGTACAGATTATGGTGGCAGCAAACATTTACCAAATAATTAAGTCTTTTCCCCTCTACATTTGCAACACAGCATAGAAACTTCCCAGAGAATTCAAAAATTAAAAATTCCAGCAGGAGCACTTTTTCTTCCATTGATTTTTTGAAAGTGGAGGTCCTGTCTGCAGTTGGGATTTTTTCTAATGTGTCAAAAATGCTATGTATTGATGATATATTGTGGAATTTTGTAGCATTTTTTAATTATTTATTGCTGTTCTAAAAAGCATGTCTGGTTGATTTTTAGCCTATAGAGTCTGCTGGAAAAATCAGTTATTTGTTAAACAGGCATACAGACAAAGTCAGTTGTGTCTCCTGGCTTTATAGAACTGATGGTATGTATGCTTGAATTTTGAATGTGGAATCAAGATGTTGTATATGAATGTTTTAGTTTAATATTATGTCAATCTTCTCTAAAATCGCACAACAGTTGCATACAAGAAGATTAAATTAAGATACAAAAAAATCTATAATTTACTTTAATATATATAATATATTATATTTTTAAATAGATAGAGGTATTGCCTAGGACCCTGAGATAAACCAGGCGTTTTTTGGTAAAACTGACAAGTTTGCAGTTTCAAAATTTAATGATTGAGACAACTTCTCCTGTTCCACACTTATTCCCAGCCATAATTGGTGCTCCTCGGAGCTCATTGATGCAATCAACTGAGGGAGGCTGATGTTTATTTTTCCTTGTACTTGTTGAAGATTAATTATGTACAAACTATTCCAAGTATCAATAAACTGAACATGAGTTGAAAACAGTTTTTGTATGGACACTTTAGTTTTGTGGTGTAATTTCTTTTATGGAGTCTTATAGAATAAGTAAAGTTTGTTAATTTTGTTAGTGAGATCTATTTTATGTGACTTTTAAGTTGGATTTCAAAGAAAACCTGTTTATCGGGCAACATTTTGTTTAATGATAAAAAGGCATAGTATTCTCTGGTCTCCTGTCAATAGCAGCTCTTCAAAAGAAGCAAGCATGTATCTTTTGATTCATTTGACATAATTCGATTAGGATGATAGAAGCCAATTTATCACTTCTATGATGCCCAAAGACCACAGCTAGCAAGACATTTTTTTATTTGTGACTATCATTCACTGCAAGCTAACAGCTGTTCTTTTCCAATATCTGTTCTTACAAATGAAATTTCCATTATTTGCAGGAGCCATTGCAGGCCTTGTATCAGGGTCTGTTGATAAATCAATTAGCGTTTGGGAGCAAACAGATAACCATGTAAGTTTCATTGTACAGTTAGTTTTTTGATAATTCAAAATTTTGTGACCATTGGAATAAAAAGTGGATAATAATTGGTTGTATGGCATCAATAATTGGTTATTATTTGTTGCTCCTGTATCTTGGTGGTTATTTTTTGGTCATTTTTATTTTAATGTTCTAAACGTTTTTTGTTTTACTTTTCAATAAGATTGCATATGACAACCCTCCCAACCCTTGCTAGAGGCTTAAGAAGGGTCCTAGTTTTGTTTCTGATGAGATTCCATGTAAAGTTAAAACATTAAAGTATCTTCTTTAATATTCTTAAATTTTTTTGTCTTTATATTCCATCAATTTTTAAATGAATTTATTTATTTCATTTTTATCCACTCTGTTTACATTTTTGTGCACTTAATACTTCAAACCGAATAAAATTTAGTGTTAACTAGAGAAATTGGGCTGTTCACACAGTGTGAAAATATTTTTTTGACTGCTATTTCTGTTCTCACCATTATGTTTTTCTTTCACTTTTTCTTTGTCAGTTGGAGTTTTCACAGCAGCTAGAAGGGCACAAGAGTTCTGTTCATGCGTTAGCTTCAGTTTCGTTTACAACAGATGAGAATGGGAAGGACATAAGCATAATTGCCTCTGCTGCTGCTGATTCTAATGTTATTATCTGGAGAAAATTTGAAAATAATGGTAATTTTTTGTTGTCCTTCACCTTTGTTTTGTTGATAAGTATCTATTTTATGTTTAAGTGCAGCAATACATTTAATTGGCTCGTGTATTTAAATACCTTAAGAGTATATCAGAAGTTTCTTCTCATATTTGTTGCAGTTTTTAAGAATCACTGGAGCATGGTTTATTGCAAGACTTTGTTTTTCATCTAAAGGTACTCAAATTGTCAGTTTGTTTTTCAGATTATGAGAAGATGCAAGAATTAATGTTTGGTAATGGCTTCGCATTATCATTGGCAATGACTCTGCTGCCCAAGAGTAACAGTAAGTTTCAATACCTATTGGTTGTTGAAGTTGAACAAAGATTGCACCCTAAAACCCTCAAACCAGTCTAAATTTTTCTTGATACAAATGAATGTACCACATTTCATTGACCGCAAGTGGCAGAAATTGTGCTTTTTATGTGATGGGTACAAAAAGTGAATTTTTAAAGCTCTCTGTCTGAGCTCTCTTTTCTCTCCTACATGCACTATATAAATTTTTAAATACTTTTTTAGGTGTAATTGGTTCAGGTTTGGTTGAGTTAGGGGGCTCCTTCACCTAGCCCCTTCATAACCCCCCACACTTTCTTTAAATATAAGTTAATGTATTATTGGAAAAATGAAACTTTAAACTTCAAAATGCTGCAATAGTGTACCAGCACAGATCTGTTGGCACCTCAGTAAAGGGCCATCCAATCCACTAAGCATGCCAAGTATCTATAACAGTTTCAACTTGCCAAAACAGTCATGCATCTGTACATATTCTATATCTCCAAATTTAAATATTTTTTGATAGCAGTAACTTTATATTAATACATATCTCCGTAGAATTAAATTGAATCAAATGCAAGAAACAAGACTTTTATCCTGAATTCAGGGGCAAGTAAAGAAAAAAAGTAGGGGTTTCAGACCAGGTTTAGTTCATCAAGTGGGCACCTGTCACCAATAACGTCCTCCTTAATCCCCCCTTTATCCCCTAAACTCTGAAGTTAAAAAAAATCCTATTTCAGCCCATGTATAGGGATTTTGCCAAATATGAAAATTATTAGCCTCTTGACCTGATAGGCTGGATCAAAAAGGATTTTTGTATCGGTTGGATCTTTTAAAGGTTTCCGAACTAGTTAAAGTTTCATCTTTTGATAAATATAATTACTTGCTACTTGAGTGACAAAATCGTCAAAAATGGATCTTTGGGAACAAGAAATATACCTCACTATTGTGTCTGGTATGGTATCTGGTAATTCCTTTTTTTATTTGGTATCTTCAATTTTTAGCACCGCTTTTAGCTTGTGGCTGTGTTGATTCAAAAATCCATCTACACTCTTGGCACATTGAGAAGGTATTTAGTTTTTCTTAAATATCATTTGAATGTTGCAAGAAAAGTTAGGATATCTCAAACTGCTCGATTCATATCGTTTAAGTGTAATAAGTCATCTTGCTGTAAACTGTTCTAATAAGGAACAGTAGAACATCCCCGGTGGAATTAAAAAACTGGAAACATTTCTTGACTTTCAAAGTTGGTAAGGGAAAGGCATAAAGCAGAAGGAATTTATAGATTATTTTATAATTATATTGATAAAACGTGTGTGTTGATAACACCACATTGCTTTAAGGATAAAACAAATTATTATTAATTGTCCTACTACTGTGCTAACTTGAGCCATTTTCACACTTGATTCTTTTAAGAGAGTTCGCTCTTCAATACGAGGTAATTCTCAAGTGGTCCTCCGATAAAAACAATGGTGTTAATTAAATCATGTCACTGCTTTCATTTTATAGTTCAATGAAGTGGAGACCTTGCACGGCCACGAAGACTGGATACAAACAATCGATTTTTCATCACCTGGTAACATAGATAAAATATCGCTATCTGAATACTCTGTGCATCTAAAGTCATTTTTAGGCGTGCTATGTCTGTTATGCGACTGGGGCTAACCCCCCATCTCCTGTTAATGCCGAAAGTTGTCGATTTTAAAGTTCTTGCTTGTTAAAGATATATTTTGCAATAGTCTCTCTCTGTTTCAATAGCATTACATCCTTTACCACAAGCCAATTATTCCAGCACGCAGACAATTTTAAAATAGATACAATTTATTCCAATATTAATACCGCTCAACCTTTTTTCTAATTATTTATTCAAAACAATGAAGTTGCTTTCATTGCAAATGTTTTCGATACTTGCTAATTTGATAGTTAAGAAATTTTGATGTTGTTATTCTGACAAATCATTTTCAAATTCCCAGGTAATTGTTAAAATGGCATGTTACATAAAAATGCGCCAGGCAGAGCTAATTTTTTGAGAATCGAACTTTTTAGAAAGTAATGTCTGAAAGTATATATAGGTTGAAGAATTTTTCATAGGATTATGAAATGTTGTTATTCTGAAGTTTTGATTCTAAAGTCATGGCTTTAATTTTTATAGCAAAACCGTGTTGTAGAAGCTTTTGTTAAAATATGCCTTCCTCCCTTATCTAAGTTAGTATAGCAGTGCCATGTTAGTCCTGCTAAAATTTTTCTCGCTTTTGTTATAACAAAACTTGAATGGTTACTTCTTTTCTCTGTCTAGTTGGGAATGACGTCTTCATTGCATCCGGCTCTAAAGATGCATTTATACGAATATGGAAGATCTCGTTAAAGGAGGGCCTTGTGGAAAAGACTGATGAACTAAAACTTGAGGAGCAGAAGTTCTCATGCGGAAAACAAGGTATTTCCATGAAGTAAATAATAGATTAATTAGAGTTGATAGTTATTTTCATTTATTGGGATGTTCTACAAGAAAAGGTTTACGAGAAAATGTGCTACCAATGAAGGCAATAGCTATTTACATCCTGCAACCACCAGGTAATAAATTGTCGCATTGTGGCAAATTGATGGCTTAGGTTTTTGCTGATTGTTTCATTGCTTGCATATTTTCATTGCTGATTGTATTAAAATGCTTACAACTTGCACATTTGCTTTCCTAATTTGTCTATTCATAAGAACGGTGGTATCTTTGAACGTAAACCTACCCCTGATGTAAATGTGCCCTCTCTGTTATTCAAAAAGGTTTTGTGTACAAATCAAGATCAGGAATAATTTGTGTACAATTACTTTGTATTTATGCATTTTTGATGAGGAATTCACCTTTCAGTCTATTTTGTCCTTCGAATTTTAGAATATACCATAGTGCTTGAGTCAGTAGTTTCTGGACATGATGGCTGGGTGAACGGTGTTCGATGGAAAAAGGCTTTCGTCGAAGGTAAAATATTGATGGAATACTTGATCTGTTGTAAGTTTTCACAGGGTACTGCAAACATTTCACTGAGTATTGCCACTTAGAAATATTGGGAACGTCTCGACCAAACTTTATGGTAGTTCAGTTTCAGTTTCATAAAATTTTAAAATTCCACTACCTACAATCCAAAAAGACAAAATTTAAATACAATAAAATATATGGTAACTCTCACAAGGTACTAGAAAAATTTGTTTGATTTTCTTTGATCCAAAAGTAAAATATTCCTTTTTAAAAAAAAGAGCCTTAGGTACCGCAAACTTTGAAAAAATACAAAGCCATCGATTGTTCAAAAACACGGAACCAATCAAACGTGCCATTCTTTCTCCAACGTTACTTTCGATCCGAATCTGGATATTTATTTCTGCTTACCTAAAATACTCGAGGAATGTCGGATGAAAAGTGTTGTAGTATGATTTGTTTTCGCTTTCCCTTGTTTCTTTTGTATTTACTGAACATGCAAAGAAAGATTTGCTGTCATCACGGAACATCATTGCAGTGCATTTTCCACTCGCCCGATGTGGTCACAACAAACTTTCTTCTTTCTGCAAACTCTTCTTCATGGCAAAATCAATTCTGAAAATCGCTACTTTCTGGAAAATCAAATTAAAAGATTCCAATATCGGAAACATTTTAAAAAGAAAACTAGTTTTCTAAATTATGTAGAACTTATTCTGTAAGTTTTGATCATATTTAGTTTTGATATTTATTGTAAATTCAGACATGATTAAATTGTATGTATTTTTTGATAATTCTTTTTATGTCTGTTTTGATATTAGAAAATTTGGAGATGATGATGCTGATGAATTTTTTCTTGTTTTTTAGATGGAAAATTGTCCCAGCCAATGGTGGTTCTTTCTGCAAGCATGGATAAGACCATGATGCTTTGGGAGCTTGACAATGAATCTGGAGTATGGCTTGATACGGTGAGTTTCTTCTTTGCAACGTAAACTGCTACTTTTGGCTTTGTTATGGTTTTCGATTTATGTTCTGATGTTTTATACTCTGTAGACTGTCAGACGAAAAGCTTCTGTATGTTCTAAAATGTTTGCTTTTTCAAAGCCATTTTTGAATTTTGTACCACAAAAATATTTTATTTTCTCCTATTTTTGAACGAATATAACCTTGAATTTAGCTTTTTAAATTTTATAATTTATATCAAACTACGTCTTAAATATGAATGATTGATGTCAAATGTTATATTGGTTTTTATTTTATGCTCCTTCAACACATTTACGATAAAATGTAGGCAAATGTAACTCAATTTTTGCATTTTTCTGGTATAAATTGACTTTTTGGAGATTCAATTTTTGATGGAGAGGCTTCACTCTTAGGCCAATATGCTTCTTGTGTCAATTTGCAGTGCTTTGTTTCTGTCTTTCGCTAACAGCTCTTTGCTAAACATTTTACAATACTGAATCAAATTCAGCGTCAAAATTGTAGTCAAGATGCAAATTCTTATATGTATTTTCATTATATTGTGCCCGATGTTTTGGAAATTTTGTAACTGTCAATGGCCTGTTATTTCAAGTAGTTTTGCTGGATATTTTGAGACGAAATTTTCAACCTCCTTGTTCACAAGAAAACACTGAAAAGGTTTGTGTATAAAGTATTTTGGCTAAAATTCTGTGTTGTGTCTCTAGAGTTTTTTACAAAGGATTTTTGTGAAAGTAGTTTCCCAAAAGTAACGGCAAGTTTTTTTCATCTAGAAACATTTTTGCTTTTAGGCCCGAATGGGTGAAGTTGGTGGAAACACCTTGGGATTCTATGGCTGCGATTTTGGTCCAGACGGGGAACATGTCATCTCCCACGGATTTCAAGGGGCCTTTCATTTATGGAAAAATTCTGGAAGTCAAGTAAGCAGTTTTTAAACTGAATTTTTCCAAGGAAGGTATTAGCACTAGACAATGAGTCTGTAACGCCGCTTATCCCCTGTTTTTACTTCTTTATACTTCCAAATGTTGAACTTTGTGACTTACATTCTAGCAATGGAGGCCCGAGGTAACTGTGAGCGGCCATTTTGGACCAGCACAGGTAAACTGAATCACTTTTTTCACAAATCAATCACTAAAAATTTTCTGATTCGTTTATTATCATGTCCTTTTATCTTGATCAAGCAAGGCGAATTTGAACTTGCTTTAAATCCTTTAGGCGACAGTTTCTAATTATAGTTTACACTCATTTTTTTTATAAGAAACTGGCTATAAGAAACGAGTACTGGACAGTCAGAAAAAATTAAGAAACTTCAGTACCCGAAGGAAAAAAATTAGGAGACTATTAAATCGTGGTAAAACTGAGAACAACGAAATTTTGTAAAATCCAAGAACAAGATTGCCCTGTTGGTCTAGAACTTAAGACACAAGAGATAAAAATATACTCCCCACAGCTAAATACAGCATCGGAACTGAAGCGAATGTCTTGGCGTGATAAAAAAGGTCACGAACATTTCATAACATCATTCATGACATCATAATTAAGAAACTCCTAAGAAACAATAAGTATTGAAATTTCCAGAACATTAAGAAACTGGAATACTCAACATCGACCTTTGTTTCTTATAAAAGAAATGAGTGTAATATTCAAAACAGTTGCTCTTAAATGATAACATCAGACATTTTTCTATTGTAAGGATTTTGAGTGGGATCCAGTAAACAGTGAGTTTCTGATCAGCGTCGGCTTGGATCAAACCGCACGTCTTCATGCTCCCTGGAGACAAAAAGACAAACAGGTAGATTTCCCAACGGAATTGTTGTAATTTTCTGTCTTCTATACAACATGATCATCATAAGTGTTTCATGTGCAATTTCATGCCGTTTTACTTTACCATCTTTTTACATTCTCGAGGCAAGAGATAATTTTTGAACCAATTTGGTTTTAGTTGACTTGGCATGAAGTAGCAAGACCCCAAGTGCATGGGTATGACATGCAGTGCATCGCATGCATTGATAGAAGCACATACGTTTCAGGGTCTGAGGAAAAGGTAGGCCTTACCAATTTGTTCTTTTCACAAAGAAGGGCAACCTTTGTTTAGCCAATCAAATGATTTGTTTGTCTTTTGAAAGTTCAGCCAATCAGAGACCGCCATTTGAGTGCAGATTCAACTTGTTGGTCATGTGACCTGGCCTAGCTGTTTGAGTTGCAATAAAAAGTTCCAACCTATCAGTTTCCCAACAACGAAAAGATGCATTCTCGGAAGTTCAATAATTTGAGCACATAAACATTTCCGAAAACCACCAAGTTCGAAGGCCAACTTTACCTGGCTTAGTGAACCGGCAATTATTTACATTAAGGAACCATAAGTTTAGCCTTGCTAACGGGGAATTCGCTTTAATCATCAATGTTCACTCATCTTTCGTTGTTTATTTATTATTTTTAGAGCAGGAGCTACTGGCAAATGTAAAAATTGATTTTGAAATTCAACACAGACAGTTATTTCTGCTCTTCGTAATACCCGATCCCCTTGGTCTGAAATTCTTTCACCTTTGGTCAACTTAAAGAGGTGATAAAGGCTTTTCCACCGGTATGCTAATGCCGTGTGTGTATGTAAACTGGTGACCGAACAGCCAAGTGTACAGATTATAGTACACATTTACACACGAGGGCCACAAAATAAACACCTATCTACATGACTGGCAAGATCATATGTTAGGAAATCATTGGCGGCATTTGCCCTTGTCTCCTCCCATGCGCTACCCCCTCCCCCCCAATAAAAGTTTCAGGTGCCATCTGACACAAGTCACGATTCAGTTCATTTGACTGTATTTTTTCTTCTTTTTATTTGTCTCATCTTCTTGTTTTTTCCCAAGGTAATTCGTGCATTCCGAGCGCCGAAGAGTTTTTTTGATAGCCTCTCAGCGATATCGAGAGTCAGTTATGACAGTGAGGTATGCTTTATATCCCTTGAAAATTAAACACATCGATATTGTTTCGTTCATTTTTTGAATTGGTATCTGATCTGTAACGTTCTGGGTTCTTTGCTAGCGTGGAGAGCTTCGGTTAGATGGTCTTTTAAACTTCTTTGCAAATCCGGTTGATTTCGCCAATACGTCTTCTTCCAACGCTATCCTTCTTCTGTCACCAAAATGTAACGATATGCGCTAGGTTCGGCAGAGAGATGCGAGAGAGATAGGCAACGTGTTTTTTCGAGTGCTTCTCTTAATCAACTGAACTTTAATCAACTACAAAACAACTTAAAACAAAGCCTTAATTACCGATCAACACAATAGGACGCCGATACAGATTAACACATATCACAACAATTATACTTGAACAAACATCACTATATTTGTACGACATTACTCATCACTGTAAAGTCACGAACATGTTACGATCAAATTCAAGTTCATATCTTTACAGATCGAAACATTTTTTGCAAAATCGCTGCGCATTTTTTGTCTCTTGACAACGAGTATAAGGTAGAGACGTTTTGAGACTAATTTCTAGCAAATTTTTGACTTGATTTTTTTATTATGGCTACTGACGGATTGCAGTATGTTCAATAATAAAGTGTGTACAGTTCTGCCTTTACGGCATTGAGGACTTTATGACAAACCGGTGAAGCAGTTGTTTTCATGAGTATGCTCGGGGGGTAAACTAAGATTTTTGACGGGGACGTGCCATTTTGGTTAAACATTTGGACCCATAATTCTGCAAATGTCTCAAGAAATGTGACCCAGCGTTCTGATCAAGAATTATCAAGGAATAAATCAACATTTTCGGCTAATCATCAAATTTCATCGTTGAGTTTCCTATGTACTTTCAATTGATGACTCCAACCTCTTTCCTTGTCTGCCAATCCTCTGAAACCCCTCTTTATTATAGGACACAAAAGCGTTGCCAGTTGGAGCCAGTATACCTGCACTCGGGTTATCAAACAAAGCTGTGTTTAAAAGTAAGCTTCAACATACATAGTTTGGCTATCTTATTAAATAAAATTGGAAATTTGTGTTATAACAATCTTTCCAATACGGTACTTTTAAATCCATAAACTTTAAGAAATTCAAACTAGTGAACTCAGGAATGTTGAAATTATAAGCGTTCCTAAGAAACTTTTGAAAACATTCAAAAATTTTAAAAAGACTCAAAACAGTTGTCTACAGGTATATTATGTCATTGCAAATAAACACTTTGATAAAATTTCCGTTTACATATTCAATCAAGTTCAATGTGATAGGATTAAACAAGGAATGCTTATTGCCAAATGTCGTATCTATCGGCGCAGTATCGACATTAAGTTATGTTATCATGAAATCTGGCTTTTTAGATTCGCAACAAACCTGGTTAATGTGCGTCGCTGCTATTTCAACAGTCTTTCTAGCCAAGTGTTTATTTTAACTGGATAAGAATTTACCGTTTGTGCAGTGACGTCATTTTGCACCTGCGCATGCGCTGTGCGTTTGGGTGCTCTGTTGTTTTTGTTGTTGTTACCAAAATGATCTAAGTTACTTGTTGGCTTGAATTATAGCGAAAGATGCTTAAAGATTTTTGCTAGCAAAATTGAAGAAAATGAGTGCTTTAGTTTTCTTTGAAAAACCAAACGCACGCACAGTGGTAGCAATGTTTGATGTTCAGAATTATGACCTGATGTTGGTCTGAAGTCTTACCTACACATAAAACGTAGCCGTTCCCACACGGTAAACCACGATTGACCGGCTCTTATTCTTGTTGCTGTTGTTGCAGTATTTTATTTGCTTAAAAGCTGAAGCAAAGGCGCACAGCTATAATAACCACAATGCCTTGCGAACGAGCGTCAAATAACGATACAACGTCTATTGCTTTTTTATAAAATTTTCTTAGCATAACATTATTTTCATTGATTTGTTTGGGTTCAGGTGATTTTTCATTCCCAATCCCAGGTGATTTGGAAAACTGGAAAGATGAAAGTGGGGGCAAAAGTCAGCCAATGAAAGCCTCGACATTTGCCTCTGAAGATCCCGCTCCGTATACTCCTATTACGATTTCAGGTTAGTCTGGAAGTCTCAGGAGAATTATATACCTCCCTTGCCAAAGTTAAATGTTTGTTTTTTGATAATATTTCTAACTTTTGCAAATGTTGTTTGGTTTGTTGCCATTTAGTTTTGAAAGGAGGAGATGTGATATACATTTAGTCGACTTATTCTTAATCGTTATGGTGACATGGTGACAAGCAATTTTGATGTCAATTCAACATATTGATTCAAATAGTTTCTTAATGTTGTTATCAAACAATTTTAGTTAATCTTTCTGCTTAGTTTCGAGCTAAGCTTAGGTTTCACTTCATCTTTTCATCGGATTCTAACTCATACCTAACTTTTCATGCAATCCTGTCTAGCTCCACCTCCAGAAGACATATTGCTGCAAAATACCCTTTGGCCAGAGGTTCACAAACTGTAAGTAAATTGAAGTTTTGTTGCTTAGAGAACTTACTACTGTATGTTTTCAATATTTTGAGTGTACAAGCCCGTCGGAACCGGAGGGGAGGGGGGAGGGGTTGGGAGGCTGGAGTCGCCCCCCCCCCAAGATAGAAATACAATGGGCAGCCCTGAATGAGAAGAAATACAAGGGGACCCCCCCCCAATATGAATTTGGTTCCGATTGCACTGGTATATATATTTCTTGTTAAACATGAAGACAAAAGAATTCAAATGTCAAATTTCCAGGATAATTAAGTTTGTTGATTGGCATTTCATTCTTCACGTTTTGACACATCTACGTATCTTAAGATAAGCTTGAATTTCAATGTACTTAATTTCAATGAACAAAGAGATAGGAACAGAGAAACTGTATGTTATCGCTATAATTCATCTTGAACTGTCACGAGCATGAAATAATCTTCCTTGGTAAAAATAAGAATCAGGCTCCTGTTTATCAGATGAATTTTCAAATGTTATATATATCAAATAGACAATATTTTCCTAAAAGCTCTTGCGCAACGGGCATGGTTAGCAGCAGCGGTCTTGCAGTACGATATTAGGCCAGTTCTTAGAATAAAGTCACAAGGCATGCCGGTTGCGCTATCAATCTACCTTTAGCGTGCTTCGTAGTAGTTGTTCCCTAGAGACGGTTCTCGGTCCCCTCCCCCCTCTAGCACTGGTTCAGATAAAATTATCGTTTTTCCTGTCAGTTGTCGTGTTTTTTTTACATCCGCATGCACACATGCATGCTAAATTTCCCTAAGTATTGTATTTCACACCTAAGTAGCAACTGTTTATTAACGATATCCTAGTCCCCCATTTTCCAGAGGCTATTTGCTTTGATTTAAAATTATATTTCTTTTTGTATATTGGCTTTGTAAATGCTGACTGCGAAACATGTTTTAGAGTATTTCCTATCGTTATTTCCGATTTTATTGAAAATTATAAGTTTGTATGTAGCTTAATAATACATTGGTATTTTCGTTGGTTTTTTATGTTGTTCACAATTTTTCAATAGGTATGGTCATGGATTTGAAATATTCTGCTTAGCATGCAATCGTCAAGGGACTGTGCTGGCATCTGCTTGTAAGGTAACAAAATAAGTTTATTATCAAGCATAATCTAAGTTCTTGTGCATGTTCTTGAGAACTTTATTTTTAATATTTGGTCTTGCAAAAGTTGTGTATTTTCAGAAAAGTATCAAAATTTACCCCAAAATGATAGTTTTTGTCTATCTAGTTTCTTGAGATATATTCAGTTTGCTAAACGGTGATGCTGATCAGCGAAATAGGCAAGTAACTAGAACGCATGCTTGTTGGATGCGTTACTCTTGTTTAACCAGTAGCAAATAATTACCTGGTTTCCACACTCAAAGAACTAAAACCACGAGAAAAGCAAGTGGCCACGCCACTCAATTATGCTGTTGGCTCAGGCAATGTCCTATCTAACAGGCTCTTCACTACGCGCGTATGGTATGCAGCCCTCGTTCTTGGCTTACCTTGGCACTGGAAGATTTAATGACTGAATGACGGCACCAATTGCTTTGCTATTGCAACGGTAGCTAGGAATTGCAATTAGGCAAATCTTAGCCAATTAGAGAAATCCTAGCAACTTGAAAATCAACTGACTTTTACGTAACCCTTTACTAGTGATATTAAAAGCCACCAATAATCAAATCCTACCCGGTTTTTTATAGTTTTATTGTTGCTACGAAATACGAAAAGTTGTATTTTGACGTATTTTTTGGATTGGGTTTTTTTTGCGAAATCGTCATTTACTTGTCTCAAAAAGTGGTATTTGTGTAGCCACTTATCTTCCATTGCATGTAAATTTTTCTGTCACATATAACACCTGCAAATTGTGTTTTTATATTCAGTAGGAGGACAAATTATTGCTCATGAACCAATATTAACATAAACTTGTTTTGTTATTCTGTCATATGTATAGCATTAGGAAAATGAGCCAAAGACGATTATGCCAAAGTGATAGGATATAAACAAACTTCTTTCGTAATTCATCTTATCCACATTGTGTTAAAACCTGGATATTCTGCTAAATTATCTTTCCCAACAAGTCCTTTTTTTGTAATCTTGTAAGCTTGTAAATCAATTAATCTTTAAACGATAAACATATTCTGTTATTGCAGGCATCGAAAGCTGAATATGCAAACATATTATTATGGGATACAAAAACCTGGAAGCAAATTGGAAGTCTGGACGCCCATTCACTAACGGTTACTCAGCTGTCATTTTCAAATAACGGTGATTGGTTGCTATCTGTGTCACGTGATAGGACATGGGCACTATTTCGGAAGAACAACGATGAGAGTGGTAGGTCATGTTTTAATGCGTGGTTTTACGCAAGCTAAGAAAATGTGGTAATAAAAATCTCATGTTTTGAAGTAAATTAAGAATTGCATGTATCGGGTTGATTAATTTTTCATAAATTTTAGTATCACAAGATTGAATTCCTGCTTTTTTCAGAATTTAGTTGGTTTTCCTGAAGCTTTGCTTTATAGTTTTTGAATATATATACCGCATTTTATGTTTAATTTGTTTTGCATTAAAAATTTAGCTTTTTCTCCATTTTTTTCATTTTAACAAATTTGAACTGATTTTAGCTCCCAGGACAATCACATAACTGTTATTGTAGTTGATTAAACTGCCGGCATCTATTAACGGGATTTTTGTACTGCAGCCGTCAATTTTCTACGTTAGTCCGCCTACATATCATTCTTGCATAGTTAAGGGAAGGGGACAGTATCAAATTGAAAAACAGAGCTTTTAATACTCCTTTCTCACCTATTAGTTACAATACGCATATTAAAACACCAAATTTATAGTTGTACATGCCTAGAACATACTATTTATAAGAACCAGAAAATTTCTTGATGTTTGTTATAAAAAAATCTTTTTGTGGTACAAAACTTGAAAATTGCTTTGAAAAATACAAACATTTGAGTTAGCTAGAGCTTTTCGTCTGACACTCTTTAGAGTATAAAACGTCAGAACATAGATCGAACACTCTACGCTAGGAAACATATATATATATATCCAGTTGTGGATCGAAATTGACCAATCAGAAACGCGAGCATATTGACTGTTGAGGTTGCCTAATCAGTGAGGCTTGCCTAAGGCGGAAACGAACTCCTCTTGTCTACACAATAGCGATTATGTAGATAGATTCCAACACTACTAGACTGAACAACGATCGGGCTTTGCCAATTTTTTGGCAAGGGTCTTAAGGCTGTAATTGCCTTTTCAATAAAGATTCTTGTGGGACTTATTCTAGAACAAAATGTAACAGGCATATCATAAAAATATGCAAAAGCTGTCACACAAATGGCCTAATTTTTCTGCAGCAACGCAAATGTATTGCTTTGTACAAAACAAAGATTTTGATAAAAAGGTCAGAGTGTTCTAGAAATGTTTTTGTGCAATCTGCAACGCTTTTTCGATGTTCTTAAAATAGCTTCAGCTTTGCTCAAGGCGTTTTAAAGCGGTTTTGTGCAGTTTTCCGAAGCCTTTGGTGTTATTGTAACGCGCAGTATTGATCTCCTGGGGCTTTGAGCCGTCACAAAATAGGTCAAAATACTACAAAAGGAGAAGACAGCTGAATTTGTCTATTCAGTTTTGTGTTTTGTGGCTTTTTGACATATCCATTGGGAAATCAGTGTCTTGTTTTGGCTGTTTTGACATCCCCATGGATTTAACAATCAGCCAAAGGAGTTAGGTGGATTTCGTGAATGGCGCAGTTCGGCGTACGATAGCACGTGTCGATTTTCACCGTTGGTTTGTAAAGAATGAAAGGATTTTGAATCGATCTTGAAGACAGAGTCATTCAATGAAACGCTGCACCATCTGCCGTAAATCTGAAATGTTGTCAAAGGCGTTTTCAACAACCTAGAGACGAAAATCGTCTTACTTTTTCTTCTTTTCCGCTTCTTTTTCCGCTTCTTCTTCCTCTTCTTCATCCTCTTCTTCCTCCTCCTTCTTCTTCTTCTTCTTCTTCTTCATCTTTTACTTCTTCTTCTTCTCAGCTTTTCCCCTTTTGGGGATTCTTAATTCATATTCATATACATGGCCTCTTTTGGGGTATCTCGGAATTTCTTTGATTTTCTCTCTGTTTTATAAAAGTTCTTCTTGCTTTGCGACTGTTGGAATTTTTACCAGCTTTTATCATCATCACAATCAATCGGGCGCACCCAGACCTATGATTACAGTACGCCAATTGTCTTCATGGCCTATCAGATTTCACAATTCTTCAATGCTGACTCAAATGTCTTCCACAAGAAGGGCGGCGTAGTCAATGTTAGGCTTCCAGGGTTTTTATCACCATGAACTAGTTTTCAGAGAACATTTTGATGCTGCCTCATTGCTTCGCCAGCAGTGACCAACAACTCTTAGCTTGTTTTTCTGTATTGTGCCGGATATTTTGGAAAGATCGTTGTAGAGCTCTTTATTTGCGATCTGTTGTCTCCATTTGATGTTAAGAATATGCCGTACCAGGCATGTATGTTCCAGTATTAGTTTTACTTAAAAAGCAGAAAGAGAGACTCGTCTGCTAATGAAAGACAGTCAAATGAAATATATTTTGAACTTATAAAAAGGCTTCCGTATAGACCAATTCGACTCACGGCGTTGTTTTTAAAAAATCTTCAACTTCTTTTGTACAAAATTTTTAACCTCAGATTCGGATTAAGAGCAATTATTTTAGTCTACTTGGAAATTTTCATTATGGTATTGCTCACGATATTGATTTTATGGCGACATAAAGATAAAAACTTTATAGGAGATTTGACCGTGATTGGCGACTAGGTTGGTAAAGTTTCACCCGGAATGATTTTTGCGGTCAAATCCCTTGCAAGTTTTCAAACTTCATTTCTCCATAAAATATTACAAGCACAAACAAAATGAAAAATTGTATCCAGCCTAAATCTATTGTGACAAAACCAAATCTGGGCTTAAAAAAGTCGTATAATTAAATTTGGAGAAATTTCCAAAACGAGGCCGTAAATCGAATTGGTCTATTGTCCGATGAAAAACAGTTGCTCGAGTCATGACTTTTTTTTACAAGAACAGCAACGCTGTAAGCATGAGTCTCACAACGTTACATTTTTTTTTCATTTTTGCGTGGGAGGCCAGCATTTTGAAGCATTCGCAAGTTACAAAATAGCATGCATTGGATATTTCAAAATTTTAGAGACGTATGCGCGAGCAAACCTGTGACCGTTTTCCCTTCATTCTGCCATTTCCAATTCTGTGTTCTTGCTGCAACCGACCTTAAAAGCAATAGATGCAATTTATAAAGGTTTTTTTAACCATCAGTATCTCAGTTGCTTCTATAATCTTTAGCAAATTGAATTTTTCATGAGAACTGATTCAACATGGTAAGCGCTATGTAATACCTCTCCAAAACACCATCTTTGAAGTATCTTTGTCAAAAAGCATCGCCTCTTCTTACCTGCCAAGGATTCCTTTTATCAACCATATTTGTTTGCAGTCATGAGAGATAATGGGCTGGAAATATTTTTATAAGCAATCAAAGGTATATCGATTTCTAATCACAACATCAATTGCCACACCTAAATTAGCGCCTGCGAAAGTGTTTGTAAAACAGGTTGACGTTATTTCCAATACGATTAATGTTTTCCCTGCCTTCACACCTAAATATTACTTAATTGGTTTAATCTTATGCAAAATATCGCGTTTAGAGGTTGGCTAATTCGATTTGAAACTACGTTGGCCTAATGCTCTGTCACGCGATGCACACGATTTTAGCATTGTGTTTCCCAGATAAGTTTGTTTCTTCTTAAAGAATAGCATTAATTTTGAGGATAATTTCTTTAACTTTGAATTTTTTCTGACAGTTTGCACTGTTATATCTTAAGAAATCAATTACATCACATTCAAATGCATCTAAATTTTCTAACAGGACACGGAGCCTTCGAAATACATGTAAAATATAAATGCCAGTTGTTTAATTAGAACATTTTTTTGCGTTAAGCTTAATGGAACGATAGGAGAAGTTGTCACGAGAAAATGTAGCTAATTATGGATTTAAAACGTCATTAAAGTCTATTTCATTCTGAGTTGCTTTTTGGAAAAGTGAAATTGGATAACCTTCATATAAATGATAATGTCATTTTGGACCTTCCCTGTCAAACTTTTGGTTCTCTTACTACTATAAATTTCCTTATATATGTTTTTATTGGCTAGGCCCACCATACTCACTTGTGCAGAAGACAGACAAGAATACCTGTCTGCACACAAGAATAATTTGGTCTTGCTGCTGGATGCATGATGATAAGTACTTTGTCACTGCTTCACGGGACAAAAAGGTATGTTTGCAATATCTGAGTTTTTAATGACGTCATATTTTATGCGAGTAAATCAATGAAAAGAGTTTATTCTGTTACAGTCGACTCCGGTTATATTCAGTCAGTCCAGTTAAAGTCACACTAGCCTTTCAGTCACAAAAAAATTTGGACCCAAATATGCAAAACTATTTACTTTAGCTCCGTTCACAGGCAAACTTCTTTTACAGTCACAAATTTTGAAGCAGCATTTGGTGCGACTATAAGCGGAGTCTACTGTAATAAAATTTTGTATTGTTCACAGGGAAGGTTAAATTGTTTTTAGAAATAGCGGTACGGCAGACAAAGGGGTGTTTTAGTCCAACTCCACCCAAATATACAATCAATTTTTTTATAGTATAGTTCGGTAGGATATCAACGAAATAATCTTGAACTTTTATCAGTTCCTGCTTTTGTTTTCAGCGGATCTTTATTAGGCCAATTAGGCTGGGTTTACACGGACCCGGCAAATCTGGCCGGCCATGTTTCAAGAAGAACACTTTCGTAGGTGGCCGAATATTTGCACGCCTAAACGACCTAATTTGAGACCGTTTAGCCGGCCCCGTGTGAACTCGGTCGGCTCCGTGTAAACGCAGCCTTGATCAGCATGGTGACTGTCTCTGCCGTTAACTGTTCATTGGAACCTATTGAGGTCATTTTGCAAGCAAGAAATGTGAACCCTTAGCAACTATGTCGATAAAATAAAGTAGAACGTATTTTTTTGTCTTTGATTTGTACTTTCTCCTTTCCTTGACTTTAATAGCATTGTAGGCCCTGTAAAGCTACGAGAATTCACTGGCAAATTCGTTCACAGAACTCACCTCTGCATTTTAGGCGGTTGTGGACAATTATTTTAACCAATAGGAAATGTTTAATTTGTTAGTGTGATTTATTGGTTTTTTCATCTTTTGCAGGTCATTGCCTGGGGGGAGGGAACAGAAAATCAAGGTGCCTGGGAGGCTGCCTCGAAGCCGCTTGACGTTGAAGAGCCTGCCACTGCTGTGAGTGTATCACCCTATCGACCAAAAGATACAAGGTAAACAATGGTTATATATAATTATTAGGTATTATGGTAATAGTACTGTGAGTTACATCTAGTGTTTACAGGCAATCGACAGGGCCATCTGCCAATCAAGTATTGGCCAATCAAAAAGCTCCTGGGTCGTATCATGCGTATCTATTGGCCAAGGTTGATTGACAGGTCGCTTAAGTATCTGTCAATTTCCTTAAATGAATAGGAGTTCATGACAACCCACCTGTAAAGTGTCAAACAAGATGGCGACTGATAGGTTGAACAGGGCTTGTTGAGAATGAATAATCATACTTTATGTTGTCATAGAAGTCCTTTGATGTCATTGACTACATAGTCTAGCAATTTTGAAGTTGTTGTTTCAAAATTGAGTACCACAGAGACCAGATTTAGACCAAGTTTCCTCGCTTAGAGTTCTGGTACCTGTCCTTCCACGTGCTAAGGGTTAAGCAGCTCAAAAGCAAATTTGTGAGCTGAAACCTCAAATATTTTCGACAGTTCGAGGGCTTGTCCCGAGTTACATAATGAACGCCATTGTGCAAGTTGTGTGAGTTTTAAGTCAATTGTTTAAAAGAACGAAGAACCTTTTTGTGTCTCAGTGGCAAAATTTGAACAGGCTGGTTTATCAACGGCAGTAGTTAGAAGATAGCAGACTTATGATAACATGGTATTTATTTAACATCATGAAAGTATGCTAAACAAACATTCGTTGTAAATCACGTGGCAGCGTAACTTCACCCGGTCAATTCTAGTAAGAGACCCCCAGGAATTGGCACTATTCTCTAGTGAGAATTATTTGCGTGTCGGGTTTTTATATAAATCAATTCCATGGTTCCTTTGAGAATTTGTTTTTCCTTAAACAGCTATGTGATTGCAGTTGGAAAAGAGAGCGGCTTAATTAGCCTGCTGACGTGGAGTGCTTCCAGCGGTCAATGGAACCACATTTCAAATCTTAGTAAATCGTATCCTTTGATTTTTTTAAGCTTCCGAATACAGCATTGACTTAAATTCTAAATAATGCACCAGTCTTTACTTAAAGACTAAGTTGCTTCTGTGTGCACTTTTTTTCTGTTGTTTTTTTAACATTTTGTGACTTTATTTTTGGAAGAATAACTTGTACTCTGGTCTCTAACAGCATGATTTGTTTTCGTGTTGTCATGAAGAATAGATAAGCCGGTATTTCCAGTGAAATTATTTGTCATTTGTGCATGCATATTGCAACAACCATCTCCCGCCATGAACTACAGTTGCTTTGTTGATTAGGAAGAAGTTATCTATAGCGATAAAATATTAGGAAATTGTTGTACTTGCCGCAACAATCTAATAGCCAGTCTGGAAATATTTGCAAAATATGGCTAGCTTGTCGCTCCAGCCCATTCTGGCTCATTTTTAAAGCGATAAAACAATGATTGGCCTAATTGAAAAGTTGGCCTATCTATTTTATCAAAGAGTTACCATTATTGCTTTCAATATATTTTAAATTTTCCATTATTCATGTATCTGTGTTCATGTGCATTCTTAACTGGCTATGTTTTTTATTTTTTCCCCTTTTTTCTTTTTGTGTGTTTTATTGCATTGCCTGTGTTTTTTAATTGCATTAAGCATATATGTTCGATTCATTATTTCATGTAGCTTATTTTCGAGGCAGCAGAGTATCTTGGGTAAAATTGTCACGTACAATTTTTCTCAATTTATTATTTATTGCATGAAGTTCTTTGCTAACCCCACCAGGAAAAGACTGTTTGTTATTAAGCCAGCAGCTTTCTTTGTTCCACTGATTATCATAGCTAGGCCCTTTTATTTTCCATCTTGCTCTTTATGATGTGCCAGAAATACTCTGACAATTACTTTACCTCTGTGATAAATAGCATTGCAATACAATTGTGATAAATAGCAATACAATACAATAGCATTGATAATTACCTCTGTGTTTCTTTACACATTTTTTGCTGTTGTCCTATTTTGTTGTTTACATATGTTTCCTTAGCCTAACTTTTCAGCTTGTGTCCCACAATGGCTGTTCGAAGGCTGCGATGGAACCGACATTTATTGCCACCTGCCGAAGAAAACAACGAGAACTTTCATCTTCAGCTAGCTGCATGCAGTAATGACTCAAGTCTGCGAATTTTGAATATTCCTGTTTCAATGTTGGGTCAATTGTCAAAATTTATGTAAATATATATTTAGTTATTGGAAGTATTCGTCAGAATTTTTACCATTCAGTAGCAGCAAAATGATATTATAAGGAGGAATAAGATTTTCCTCCTGTTCGCAATTGTGAAAAGAAACCTGGACATGTCAAAGTAAAATGTGTATCTTTTCTTTGAAAATATTTCGCTATACTTCATTGACGACCCAATCAAAGTTCCTTTTTACGAAAAGTATATTGTTAAAAAAGATACGACAACTAGTTCAAAGTTTTGTTTTCGGGCTTGACTATGGTAAACTGTGACGACGCACAGTAGGCGATGCACAGTCAATGTAGTCCCGTAATTCCTTGTTTTAGTTTGGTGTCCAAAAAAGATTCTTAAATCGCCATTTGACAACTGTGGTCATGTGATCCGCTTGAAACAATGAATGAATCTCAGTCACAGACTGTTGCTGTCAAGTAGGACGACGTAGTAGCCGAGAAAGCTGAATCGTGTCAATTCCTCCAGCAAACCAGATCTACCTACACAGTAGGCCAATTTTTGTCAACGTCCTTGAAAAATTAATGTAGTAGTTGATAGTTTTCTCCTTGCATTTTCATTTTACCTAGGCAGTGCACTGCCTTTTTGTTATATAAAATAAGTCGTTCTTTTTAAGAAAGTGTATATGTCCTCTTATTGTCTAGTAATAAGAGAAGACGACTCGATGTCCTTTTAAAACCACGGTCAAACGTTAGGTTCTCTTGATGCTATTTTGAAACAAGCGGAATAATCGAAAATGTTCGTAATTGAAACACACGAGGATAAAATTTTATAGGAATTTCAACAAGGAATTGCAACTAAGGCGATACCTTGCAGAGGTGTGAAGACAAGCATTCATAATTTATAGTGAAAATTCAGACCATTTAAGACATACCAGTTATTCGAACGTTAATAGCAGATAATGAACGCAAAAACAAAATGTGAACAATGCGATTTTGATATCTGAAGACAGTTTAGAGATATGTCTGAAGTTTTACAATTGCAAGTTGAAACATCAATGAAAGCTGAAAATGTTTTTGTCGCACCTTTGCCTGAAACCAAAACAAGGTTTGCTGAACACTCTTAAAGTTACTAATGAAAACATATCGTAGCAGAAACAGAATGCTTCTGTGACAGGAATTTTTTGCCGATGAAAGTAATATTAAATAGCTGTTCCTAAAACGAAGTACTGTTAGTTGACTATCTTTTGGAAAAATTTTATGAAATGCGATGCCTGAAAGAAGCTGAACTCGTTTCAGTTGTAAACAATGATCGGAACAAAGATGAAGCCAAAGTTTTGTTCAGGTGGGTACATTCGATTTTGATTAAACGATGAACCCTTTTGATTAAACGGTTAATAAAATTTTCTGCCTCTATTTTCTGCCTCAATTTCAAGCCCCAAAACATATTTTTAAGTATAAATTAATCGCAATAAAGAATGATTAATAACGCTCTTTTATCATATCCTCAAAGTGCAACTCTGATAATTTCAACTTTGTACACCATCTTTGCATTATCGGTCAAGCAGATGGTATATTTACTAAAAAAATTTTAATCCAGTGATTCGCCGAAAGAAATATGCAATTTTTGATACTTAGACAGTTCATACCTTATGTCGTGGCATTGTCTATTTGAAGCTGTAATAACAAGGATGGCTTTCATGAAATAAGACTCGTTTCCTGAAATGAAAACATTAAAGCTGAAGAGGTGAGTGCAGCTCTTTGCCAGAAAATCACTTGCCACGTTTAAAAGAAAATCACTTTCCAGGAGGCCTATGCACGTTTTGAAACTTTTAGAAGACGGCATGGTTCAGAAAAGATCTGCGCAAATTTCATTGAAATTTGAACCTACAAGGGTTTAAAACCTTATCAAGATATGCAGCTTTTGATAACATCATTTTTATGCATTTAAATGCAAATTTTTTATATTGTTCCACTGGGCAAGATATCATCTGGTAGGTGATATGTCTGCCATAGTTGTGATTAATTTTTTGCTTCGCGGGTTTGTGAGCCAAGGAAACACTGTTCTCTGGAACTTTCCTGCATTAAAATAACAAAAAGTAAGGTGTAAGTTATTGATACTGCAAAACATCGATAATATTTCTTTTTAATGAAAGCATAGAGAGATTAAAGCGTTGGCTCTGAGTTGACTAATTCTAGGTACGTTACATCATCTTCAATTGTGATGCTCAATTTTGCTGTGGTGTTGGCTGTTGTGGCCGGTTTCTTTCATGTTACGTTGGCGTTGTGCTATACGCCGATTTTTAAGCAGAAATGGTGAAATGAAAGATGCGTGTAAGACCCCGTAGAGAAAGGTAAAAGAAAGATGACAGTGTAAGAAGATTATGCTTCTGTAGTGAATACATTCACGTAGCAACAAGCTAGAAGTAAGTTGGGATAAAACTTTCCTTATCTTTTTCGAAAGAAGGATCTAGAATATGCACCATTTTTGAAATAGAAGTCTCCATGCAGATTGTTTGGGGCTTTCAATCGTAGTATTCTTGGCTTTGTTAGCTCAAATATTTTGGTGTTTCCATAGAAAAAACCTCGTGTTAGGCTACAAACTGGTAGCAAAAAGATATCTGAAAATCGTATTCGCTCGTTCACTCCGCCTCTAACAGCGTCAAAGCAAAATCAAAACAGTTTCTACCGGCAGGCTGATCCCATAGAAAAATTACCAGCAGCTGCTGTGTCCTGGTTTAACAAGCGATTCATTTCTGGAAGCCAAAAAGAGGTGTTTCTAAAATACTTCTTGATCCTTTGTGGAATGTATTTACCAAGCTGACAATCGTTTCATCTAAGTTCATTTTAAAAAGTAATCTTGTGTTACCAAGTAATCATTTCGACAACTGCAAAAGTTTATTTGATATTAAGTGGTGTTAGCAGTTATGGAAGAAGGGATTCCGCGCTAGTTTTGTTTGGGGAGTTATCCGAAAGCACCATTAAAAGATGTTTGTTTGGTTACTTAAGTGTCGTCATAGAATTAGTCAACCTTAAAATTGCCAGTATCTGAGAAGTTTTTTGCCGCTTATAATTGTAAACTCTGAAGAATCTTGTATTAATCTTCAGTGAAACCAACGTAATGAACCAGAATAACGGACATCTGTTTGAAATATGTTACCGTCCACTAAAAGGAGGTTTCCATTCGTTAATCACCTCAAGGCTTTGAGAGCATTAAACGAAATTGTGGACACATGATATGTTTTTAGGGGTCAGCTGTTCAAAGTGTCCTTTGTTTGCAAGTGTCCGTTGTTTGGAGGTGTCCGTTGTTTTGGAATGTCTCTTGTTTCAAGATGTCCATTTTTAGAGCTGTCTCTTCATTCGGGGATGTTTGCTATTTTTATGTGATCAGTTTTGAGAGTTAGAAGTTGTATATAGGTGTTCGTTGTTCAAAATGTCTGTTGTTAATAGGTGTCCGTTGTTTAAATTCTCCGTTGTTTGTAGGTGTTCGTTGTTTGGAGACGTCTGTTGTTTGAAAGTTTTCTTTGTTTAGGAGGCTCTGTTTAATTGGGGCGTCTGTTTTTCAGAGGTATCAATTTTTGAGGTCAATTGGAATAAAGTTGAGTTCAGAATCACAAAGCCATTTATCAACCATATCAGCTTCCAAACATCAATTCCTTTTAGGTGTTCATCATTAAGATATATTTCTCACAGCATGTAAAAAATGTTGTATAATCTGAAAAAATCGTGTTAATGTTTTGTCCATAATGTTTCGGCTACTCGTTTCTCCTGAGTAGGCTTCCCATGTTTCTAGCCCTGGTCTAAGACCAATGCACTTTTCCTTAAATTCCTTAAAACTGACTCATCACACATTTCAGGGGAAAGACAGCAATTCATTAATGTTTTGATTCTATTTTTCACGATACGTTGAATTGCAAGATCTATATACGAGGTAGTTTGTATACAACTGATTTAGCAGGAGGTGATGTCCATCAAGTTGAAATTTGCTTTTAAAGCTATATACGGTTTAATTGCATAGGAAAGCTAATCTTCTTTTGAAAAAACTGAAATGAATTTAACACTAATATCAAGTATTTTAAAAAAGCTGAAGTTTCTTAAGTCTTGCGATGAAGGTGTCAATATCATTGTTAAGCCTATCAAAAACCTTCGCCAAACGGATAAAGATGTAGATGACAACAGAATTTTGCATAAGACGATCTTAGCATGTTTACTTCAGTCCTGAGCTGAGAATGTTGAAACGCATTCTTTAGGGGCTGGGGATTGCTAATTGGTATGGTAAAAGGGGGCTAATATTTGCATTGTTATCGAATGATTCGACCAGAAATGTGCCATGTCTAGTGTCGCAAGAAGGGATTTCATTAGTACTGGAAAAACTGCACTGCCATTGGGAAAAGTGGAACAAATTTGATTGAAAAAGTATCAAAATTTGTATCAAAAGGTTTTGAAAACTCACTTGCAGGGGCGTTGAAGAAGGAGACAAAGGTGTCATTTTCGAAAGTCTGCAATTATATTCATTGGAGGGCAAAGAACTGATTATGGTTCTTGTAATTTATTCAGTCAAACAAAATTGTGCGATAATTGAACACCATTTGATCCTAGTTTGGTAGGCAGCATATTTCCAACAAACCCTAAATCATGTCACCCCTGCTCTAATTGATATGCATTCCTGGAGAAATTGAAATATTGATTTTGTAACGTTGCATTTTTTTCTTATAAGAATACAATAAATTTTATCACACTTAGATATTCTTAAAGAATTTTCGTTTTGAGCCTAAATAAATTTTCACGGAATTCTTATTTTTTCACATCCGATTTGGTAAGAGGGACATCGCCTAGCCTAAGATTGTAAAGCTGTTTATCACAGAAATGTAGTAAGAAAATTAAGATTTCTATTTGTCAGGACAGATGAATTTTAACATTATGTCTTTCCAGTTGATCAAATAAATGTCAATCCCTTTCTGGCTCGTCGAAATATATTTTTTTTTCACTTCCGAAACAACTTCTGACCGCTCCTCGTCGCAGTGGCTGTGGCAAGCAACCAACCTTTTTTTATCAGGGCTAAAGTGACGAGGTAGCGAGAAGCTCGGTTGCCAACAAAAACCGCCTCTGCGATGGAGAGTGTCTTCTGACAATATCTGGTGAACATCCATATTATTTGAATATTGTCTTTGAATTTATCGTGGGAATTGTATTGTCCAACATAAGAAGTGTTGTTGAGCGGTTTTAACTAACAAAGTTACAAAAACCCAACGCATCCACAAGGAAATTTCCATGTTTTTTTAATTCAAAAGCTTTTTGTAACCTAGACAATAGACTATGTTAGTGCTATACTATGGTATCAAAAACTCGTCCTCTTTGTTTCTAAAACTGCATAGATTCTTGTACTACATAATGTTTTCTAAAATGTAGTTCAGCAATCTAATAACAAGTTAGTCCTTGTATTCGCTTGTATCAACTCAGTTTTCGTTGACTTTCATTGACGAAGAAAACCTTGCATGATAGGAGATAAAATGCATAAAAGTTTATTACTATTCTAGATAGTTTTTCCAGAACCTCGTAATTTGTCAAAAAATCAACCAATGAACTCTTTTCACTTCTCTTTTTTTACTTGATTTAGCTTGATTTAGTTTGCAGTAAAACTTATTTCCGGGAACAGCTTTGACAATCTAGAATCAATTAAAATTACTTGACTTTGTCATCTAACTACTTAAAATATTTTTAAATAAATTGATCTAGAAGCTATGTTGCCGAGTTTCTGGACACTCTTAGCAACGACAGGCTCGTAGCCAAGAGATGGCATGGGGTGGGGGGGAAGGCAATGCCACCCCTGGGATATACGAATGCCAGCTGTTTGCCACCCCGAGAAATTTGCGTTAAAAACTTTTTAATGGGGTTTTTGTCGTTTTCATTGGATTGCTATGGTAAGCCAAGACTCACAGATAGAAATTTTTTGTATCGGATTCTTTTGTTTACAATGAAGGGCTTAAGATAGTGCTTGGTGCTCAAAATATTCTTCCGATGCTAAACAAAAACTTCCCGGGAAAAATTTGAAAATTGTCTCAAAATCATGATCCTAAAGTTTAAGAAGCGATTACCGTGACTTGGCTAAAATATTACTGTACCGGCTAGAAGAGAATCAGGACAGTTGTTATTCATTTTTGTAAAATGCATGCTGATGAACATTCAAAAGCCAATAAACATAATTGTGAAGCTGCCTCAATCACCCAGTGAAAATTGTATCATAGGACTGTATGTAATTAAAGCAATGAGACAAGACTTTCATTAACGATGCAAAAACTTGACTGAGGACCAATGCTTGAAGATGGCTGCAGATTGTTCAAAGAATAGCCGCAACTGATTGAGACGGAGTCAGCACGTGCATCATTAAGGGTTGATTCCCCTCTGCGACATTCTATAAAGACAGAGAAGGAATGCAATCCTGCATCCCTGACAGTCGGAAGAAAGATCTTGACGGAAAACATAACATTTGAAAGTTATTCAGTGGATCTGAAGTGAAGTTATTTAATTGCCAAGGAACTGTTACAACCTTCTTTGCTTGTTTGTTTCCTTTACACACCCCCCCTACCCTACCAACACTTCACTTTAAACCTTTCCTGCACTGGACATTAGGAGTTTGCCACCCCTACTCCACAGACCTGACTACGGGCTTGAGCAACGATTTTATGAAAATTACTGTTTTTTTTCAAAAGCCATAAACTCCATTCATAAAACAATTTCACGTGTGTCTTCTATGTGAATTTTTCATTGAACATTTCGCAGTACTGTTTCACGTGTTAATTGTTGTTGTTTACCATGTAACCGAAGACGGGGGTCGCCAATCTTTGACCATTCATTGTCTTTTTGTGTAACCTCTATTAATCCTTAGTATTTATACATAGGTGCTTCATACTTAATCCTGGTTCTATTCTAGCAAGACCTGTCGACATTTTGGTAGAGGCAGCCAGTTGGAGATATAGATAGCTGATGCTGTATGAGAAAATTTCAATTGCTCCTAAGTTGCATATGTGCTGGTAACTCTTCATAGCTAGTCGTCTAACAAGAAGGTTAGTACGCTTTTGGAGATAATTCTCGATAAGTCTTATTATATTTCCGTTTTAAATGAAACAGCCGATTTTTTCATTACAACTTCTGCGATTGCATTGTCAAGTTGTTGTCTTACTTCCGGTGCTAACTAGGCGGACAATAGCTGGAAATAATCCGGTAAAATAGGAATCAAACATGCGACTTCTGACAAGGTCTTTTCTTATTTGCTGACAAAGATCTAGTTTTTCGCGATAATATTGAAGTTTTATCAACCCTAACTTACAATCTACCTCTCGAGGCATTTTTCACCGTTTACGTTTCTTACAAACAAACAAATGAGGATCAGATTTGTTTATCTATTAGAAAACTGTTTTGTTTTGTGAAAACAGTTGAAATCTCCTATGTACAGAGCAAGATACACGATTTAAGCATGCGATGAAAGGAAAGAGCTATTATTTCGACAAATTAATCTTCTCTGTCAATATTTGAATCTTTGTGCAAAGATTTAAAACCATGAAATGATCGAACTGAAAGCCGAAATAGTTGACTAAATGAAAAAAGGTCGAAAGCATATAAAGTATCTGCTTTAGATTCATAAATTGAAAATGTTTACGCTTTGAGAATTGATGTGAAGTAAACAGTAAACACCCGTTTTACTGTCTCGCTACGTAGTCTTTTAAAGACAAATTTTTCTGCATTTGAAGGCTTTCTCGAAGTAACGTGATCTTTTGTAACTTCCTATCTATTGTGATTTGTGAAAATCTTTAAAGATGTAATAACGAAATATTATAGTGTTTTAGTCCTCAAAGAGGTATCTAAAAGCTTGTAGCGTGTAGTTTTGAACAATTCAAAGTTATTCTGGCTTTTCAAAGCAATAAAATAACAATCTGTTACCTCAAACATAAAAATTTTAACGTTTTTTGCAAAACAACAATCGTTATATTTGTAAATATGAAGTGCGTATGTTGATTTTCAAAGCCTTTATTATCTTACCTTCATAGCCATATGCTAAAAATTGAGTTTCAATTAAATCTATTTCATTTTTAGTCTATTTTAAACGCAGTATCATAAATGGGCATAAATGGTTTGTTTGAATTTTAGAGAAACGTTTTGAGCTATAGGCCTGGCAAGGCTCCGAAAAGCAATAATTTAGATTCGAACTATGTTCAAGTGCCAAAGAGGATATACATTTTTTTCGCAACGCTGATAAGGTATATGCGTGCATGGAATTTTGCAGCGAATTTCTATGCTTGTAATGCATCAGTGAGGCATTTTGTGAATTTTATAACGTTGTTTCTAAGAGATTGGCGTTTTTGGGTGACGTAATATGTAAAGGACCCTGTAATGCACATTTTCAGTGTGTGCGAAATGTTTTGTTAGTGAAACCACGGAGAACGTTGCATTGTTTAATCTTATGACATCTTCCAATATGCAATATTTTTCGATAAGGAGAAGAATATGTTAGGAATTTATGTTCTATCGTGAACTTCTTTTGGCTGTAGTTTTGTTCTTTCTTTGTGTCTGCTTACAAACACTGCTATTTTTCATGTTGCACATCGTTGACTGGGTAATGAAATAATTTTATCTAAAGGTGAATTTTTACATGACGTAAGTGTTTAGACGAGGTTCAATCAACAATAAAATTCGAATCATCGTTCTGATTATGATGGTAATCAGCGTCCTGGCTACATATATGCGGAATCGCGTGTTCGTGTGCACTTATCTATGCCGCGTGCTTGTATCCACTTGTATGTTACGGGGACGTATCATTGCTCTACTCCCAATGGGTCATAGCAATTAGCCTTGTTATTTGCGAGTTGCTGATCAGTGGAACCAAATAGATGGACGCCTGTTTACTTCGCAGAGTTACAAACGCATAGGCAGAGTTCTACACGCCTTAGTAAAATTTACAGACGAAGATATAGATAAAGAGAAAATTAGGTACTATTTCACTTACCGATACACGATTTTGCCAAAAATCCAGGGAATCTTTGCACCAACTAAAAACGAAAAAATTATTTTTGCTCCAACTAAAGAATTGGGGGGGGGGATATCATGAAGAATTGGGGTGGGGGTATCATGAAGAATTGGGGTGGGGGTGGGGGGTATCATGAAGAATTGGGATGGGGGATGTATCACACTTTCTACACTCCCCCCTAGCTACGCCCTTGTTGATAGGATATTGCTGCTTCCGATGCAAGTGGAATCACCCTGCTTAGTGTAGTATAGTCAGATAAACAGGATGTTAAGATTAGCAGCTGCAACGTAGATATTAAGAAAAATGTTTTGGTAGGAAATTTTGTTGCTACGATATTTTTATGACTATCAAGATATAAGAAAGAAATGCAACGACAACAATTTCCATTAATCCTCAATCATCATAATAGAGTTTATGTATCCACACTTATTACCTCGTTTCTCTTCATCAAGAGATATTTTTATTAAAGGAACAATTACAAAAGCACACAGAGGATGTCTTTCCAAAATTTCCCCCTAATCAAAAAGCCTTGTAGATGAAATCTCGGACAGACACCTCTACATATCGGACAACTCAAATATCGGGCGCACAATATCGTCCCGTACTTCTTTTTCTTTATGATAGAAGCGATATTGAAGAAAATACGGGCAGACATTTCATGCTATGTTTTGGACAAACAATATCGTCCCACAGTTTCTTTCTTTTTCAACGGACAGTCATTTAGTGCCACAGGTGTCCATTCAATTGCTACATGAACGCAATTCCATCTTCTCTTCCAAAAAATTTCGTTTCAGAACTGAACTTGTGGATGGAATTTGTTGGGAATAATTTTAGTTTCTCTTTTTTGATTTTCATGAACCTCGGATTCATCATTTTGAAAAATGTTACAAGTGTTTCTTCCATTTGCAAAATTTGCAAGTCAAGTAATTGCAATCGTGGATGTCTTATTCTTACTTCGTTCTTTAGCATTCTCTTTTAAAGAATTTAGTTCTTCGCTATATTTAACTTCAACATAAAGTCTTCGACATGTCAACATTTGAGGCAGCAAAAACTCTTCATAAAGCAAAACCAGAAGAAAAATTTGACATGATAGCAACTTTTGCTATATTTTGAAATAAGGCTTTTGAAGACGAGAACTGTTTAACTTTTGCTTTGCTTGTGGAAATTAACAGCGTGGAAACCACAAAACTAAATATTGAAAACCTGAAGTTCGATGGAGCTGTTAACTTCAAGAATTGCATAATCTGTCGGTTCTGAAAAACAGCAAACATTCATGGCATTGCGATATTTAGCAATTCATCTTTGCAACTTTACGAAATTGTCTGGTTGCAAAGTATTTGAGCGTAGCAATTCGACGAGTTGTTTATGTTTCGCTTTTACCACAACTGCCTTCAAACTGGGACAGTATACTAAATCTTGTGTTTATTGGTGGCTATTGATTTGAATTATCTCTATAGTCTGGCTTTATTTGCTGAAAAGAATTCTCAATCTTGCACCTGCTGGATTCAATTACTCAATAGCTCCTTAACATTGGCAGAACCTGTTCAACATTGCCGGCCAATACTCGATATTTTCATTGGTAGCAAGGTTAACAAAATGGCGTGATTCACACAAAGCAACACACCTTGCCTAAAGAACATCGTTCTACAGTCTTGAATTGAAAGAGGTTCTAGATACCGCTTTCGCATTTCAGTTCGACTGGGTGAAGTCAGATGCCATTTGCTTCACAAGAGCATCACGATATTGCACCTTTGAGGTTTGTTGCAACTCTGTGTATTCTAGTGGTTTTAAAAGAGTAGCGCGTAAATCCGAGCACTTTTTAATAAAGCATTGATGAATCTTCTATTATCAGGATTCAGACATTTGCTAAGGAATGTGGCTGTCTTCCACGTGATGATGTATGTTAAGAATTGAAAAAGAAATCATCACAAAACGACAAACAGCTATCTTTCCTGACAAATAATTGCTCACCAGAACACAGATACTTCTTGATACTTGCCTGTTTTTTAACTTTATTTGCATACACCTTTGAAAATGCTTTCTTGGCTAGAAAGTAAAGTGCTCTCCTCAACATATTTCTGGTGTCATGGATAAAAGTTCTCTTACCTAAATTTCATTTTTCTTGATAAAGATTATGACAAAAGCAAAGGTTGAATTTTTCTTCATCAGAAGGCAAAATAACTTGCTAACTAGGTATCACATAGGAAAACGATGCCTACTGCAAATTTCTTGTCAGCTTGGTTTAGGAGCAATTCAATCTTATGTAAATGGTATTGGAGATTTCTACAACAGGATTTCCATCAAAAGTCTACGAGATTCTAATCGAGTGTGCTGGGATTCAGTTGAGATAAGGAAGCACTGAATGTTTAGCTGCTAAAAAGGTTTTAAAAGAAGATTACAATAAACAGGATAATAATATAGGATTTTGCAATATTTCCCGCTAAAGTTGATAGTTTCGATCATGTTTTGACGAGCATTGAATTAGTTTTACTAGCTTATAACGAGAAGATGTGATCGTGAACTCAAAAAGAAAAGATGTGATAAATATAGTTATAATAGAATAAAGCATACGACAATTGAAAATAGCACTGATAACCTTTCTTTATAAAATCTTTATTTGTTTTTGCAACTGTTAATTCTGAATGCAAAGCCTATAATTCGCTTCTTAAGGCCGCCGATGTTTATTTTGTCTTTAAACTAGCCAACACATTTGCTATCACCACGTGAAATTCAAGTCATTTTCCATTAAAGAGTAGCTTTCAACCTTCAGTGATGATCTCACTGTTTATGACAACCAAAGAACTTTTGTAAATAACAATTGAATCCGTTCGAAGATCACCAACGCACATATGATAATTCTCTGTTCTTGACTAGACAGCTTATCAATCCGATCATGCAAAAATGTTCTTTTTTCAAAATATGCTTAGTTAAAACTGTTTTTTGCTGATTTTTTGTGGCAGCTTGAAAGTAGAGTCAGGCATAACTAGACTGTATCAAAATATGTTTTCATCAAGCACTAAATACATTATCAAATATTTTGAACAACTGCCGTCGAGAGTTTGTTTATATTTTTGTTTTATATCCTCAGTTTTATTCAGATACTTCTCAGTATAAACATATATTTACTGAATTTTATTTTGTTAACTCTCAAAGCCGCTCAATGATTTTCACGTGATTTTCAGCGGGCCTAAATTTGTCCTGAAGGTATTAAATGATGCCAATTTGCTGCCCCAGTGCCGCATTAATTCGAGAATGCGTCCTTAGATTGTAGTCACCTGTAAAATCTGGTGGCAGTTTGTGAATCAAAATAATTTGATGCAAGCGTGACTTCTTACGTATCAAAGCAAGAACAGCAAATACTGTTGTATGGTTTTTTGTTTTTGAAAGAAAGGGCTAAATAAAGCGTTGATATTCAAGAAATGACACCAGAATTGGCAATTAGGGAGTTAACGGTCGATACAGCCATTTAGAACAATGCTACCTTTTGCAAGTGTATACTAGCATCACGTTAGACCCAAGTGCATCGTGATTTTGCTGTGCTGTTGCCGAATACAAATTGTCCAACTTTTCATTAAAGAGTACGTTCTTCTGTGCGAAGCATTTGTTAACAAAAGCAATGAAGCAAGACCACATTCCTGAGCAATATCAATTCTAAAGTGCTGCAACGATTCTTCCAAGCTAGGTCCGTTTTAGTCTTCAATGTTTTGATTTAGCTCAATTTCTTTTCAAATGTAAAGTTTAATTCTTTAAATCAACTTAAACTGTGGTTTTTGTTTGATATAATAAGGGCTATAGTTGCTTTTCTCTTTAAAGCTACAGTCGTAATTGTAGGTTTTGTAGGTATCGAAAACACGTGTTTCATCAGAGGAACTCCGCTTCTTGCTAGTTTCAGTTGTCGAAGTTTAAATATATCAGAATCAAAATTGTCTTTCTCATATCTTTTTCAGAAGCTAGACAGGAACATACCTACTCTGCTCTAACCGTTATTTTTCACCTGGATTCGAACGAACTACTGATAAAATCAATGCACGCCGCTGTTTTTCATTCTAAAATTCTTAACAAGATCTAAGCTGTCAATCTTGTTTAGTGAAGCAGTCGTAAAATATCGTGTGTAGCGACAGTTTTTGCAAACTGATTTGAAATAGAAACAAACTTATAATGGCGGCGACTCTTTTTTGAAACAAAAGTACGATCGCAGAGAAGAATAATTCGATGCAAGTATTATGTTCTTACAAAGGAGAAAGTTTAGTAATAAAGCATGTTTGGGAAATCTCTTTTATTTCACTTTTCTTTGAATAGTTCTTTTCTATAACAAAATTGTTGAAACGAAAAATTTTCATCGAAGAGAGACTTTTCAAGAGTCAATCAGCAAAGCATTTAGATGGGCGACCATTTTAATGAATCTCTTAGCGTATTTTCAAGTTAATCTTGGTTTAAAGTATTTTGATTTGCTTATTTTAAGCCGAGCATATGGATAAACAAACTAATTCTTGCACGAAAAGCAAATAATATTGTTGAATAGCTAATTTTGGTGTTGCATTGCTGTAGTAGCGAATCGGGTCAGTGCAGCATCAGAAAATAGATCTGCCTTGAGCAGAATTCAATTTCATATTTCGTTCTCGTGTCCTGGGATGTGTAAATTAGCCTTTATTGTTAATATCATACTCATCCCATGCAGTATAAAGATTCATCGCCGGCTTTTGAATATTAAGCGGATCGAGAATCACTAATCACGCTGGCTTGAATGAGCCCTCTGTTTCTTATGAAGATAATTAACTGGAGAAACACGGTTTCGCAATTTGTCGGCCACAGTAAGCAGAATTTCTAATCTTTGTTACTATATTTGTGGCAAGGCTCAAACGGTAAGACTCACGTTTTGTCTTGAACAAACCCCACCAATGAGTGTTAAAGGTTCTTTAGAAATCAAATGTATGAGTCACTGAAGAAGTTGTTCGAGCTAAAATCAGAATAGATTTTCACAAGGTTGATAGAAATGTTTAATTAAGGAACATTCCAAAAGAAACGTTTTTGGTGTCGGTCCGTAACAAGAGTTTCTAAAGGGCTTGCATTTGTATGGAGCACTGCCCCTGTTTGGTCTGGTACACCCGAATGACATTTTCATACACCTGATTTTCAGCGTTGTAGATTCACGTTGTAGATTCACGTTGTAGATGCCATTGTCATAGGTTTTCATACACCCGATTTTCAGCGTTGTAGATTCACGTTGTAGATAGCCATTGTCATAGGTTTTCATACACCCGATTTTCAGCGTTGTAGATTTACTTTGTAGATAGCCATTGTCATAGGTTTTCATACACCCGATTTTCAGCGTTGTAGATTCACGTTGTAGATAGCCATTGTCATAGGTTTTCATACACACGATTTTCAGCGTTGTAGATTCACGTTGTAGATAGCCGTTGTCATAGGTTTTCACACACCCGATTTTCAGCGTTGTAGCTAGCCGTACTTTAGGATTTCACCGAGTGATCTCATCATTGTGTAGGGAGCTTAGCATATTATCTATTCAGGTCACGAAGAATTGCTCAGAACGTCCATATTTCGATGGTTGTGTGTAAACTTCCTCCAAAGTCATTTGCATCGATACAGCAAAGATAATCGTGGGTGTCCCTCAAGAGTCCCATCTCACGTCATAACTGTTTTGTTGTTTATCTTCCTTTTAGTTTTATGTTGGCAGTTGCGCTGTTTTTGTAGTGGAAAACAAATTACAGTGAATTTACTTGCATTATTCTGCTTTTTCAAAAAGTCAGTTGAATTAAAGTTTAGTTGCTAACGTTCAGTGTGAAAAACTGTAATTTGTCAGACAACATTTGCAAAACAGGATACCATATAGGCACTTTAAATAACAAAATAATACAGCATTCTGCCTGATTCTCCTGTGTTTGACGTATTTATTAGATTTCATTTACCTTCAAACTTTGAATTATTTTTTCAAAATTTTAATCGTGCAAAATTGCAGGTGATCATGCGAAACTATTGTGAGACATGAGTATTTTGCAACTAGAGGAATAAAAAATCTCGATAGATTGTTATCATGGCACAGCATATGTTTAACCACCTCTAACTATACTAACAAACGTTTGTGAATTTAGATTTGATTTGTTTTGTTATGGAAATAAATCTACGAAGAATTGTCGGAATCAGGCAAAGAACCTCATTCAGTTTTGCTATTATCAATTTTTAACCTAATCAGCTACAAGACAACTTTGCTTGTATTCACGTTTTTAATTGCAATGAATTGTGAAAGCTAATTTATTACCACCCTCTGCAGCTTTTGAAAATGCACAAAATAGAAAATTAGCAAAATATTCAAATTGAAATTGGCAATTGTTGTGTGCAAAATTTTTCCACCTTGCAAAAATATCGTTCGTTTCTCCCTTGGAGGCAACGTGTGCATCAACTTAGGATCAAACTTGACGAACAGTATTTCCGAAAGTTGAACCTTTCCCAGTTTTCTTTCTTTCCTTGCTGTGTTTCTTTTCGCTTCATTGAAAGGCCTATATGCTAGCGTAAAATTTTAGCTAAATTTGTTTTCAGATATCTAATAGAATATATTTTGGTTCCTTTAAAGTCACTCCTCTTCGTGTTTCCATTGACTCGTCAAATTTGCGTTGCCTAACATAATCTGCAAACTTACATAAGCGTGATATACGACAAACGACATACCTCATTTTTTTATTTGGCAAATTAATCATTTCATATTTAATTTCATTTCAGCGTCTTTGCTAGAATGGATGTCATTGCAATTATTTGCTGCATGGTACTGTCAACTCAAAGCTATTTTGTATCTGCTGCGAGGTGAGTTCTCTTTAAACTCTCACCATTTGACTGTAGGCTGTCTTCGTTGCATTGAATAACGCTGTAGGTAATACTTGCTCGATGTATACAATGTTGCGTATAAAAATTAATCTTTCTACCGGTCTGTCACGAAGCGCTCGATGTTGTGTAGTCATAGCTAACTTTAGCCCGAAATTAAGCATGCAACTTGTGTTTCCAACTAAGAACGGTATTGTTCCATTCAAGTAAGTACAACGAGCGTAAAATGTTTAAGTTACGATATAACGGTACGCAAGGAAATATAAAAAAGACAATGACAAGGAATATACAATGAAAGGAAAAAAGAATAAGAGTTTAGGTGTTTTAGGCTAACCAAATATAGCAGCAATGAACGTTTAGAAGTCTTATGCAATTCAAAATAATTGTTTTCGATCTTCTAGTAACCAAACTAAGATGGGTGACGACGAAGTTACGAAGATGATCAAAGTTATGTTGACAAATTACGAAAGAAAAATTAGGCCAAATTACACAGGTATTAGATTTAATATTTCTTCAGTAATTTCCAAATATTTGGCGCATCTACTGTGTAATTGTCGATTGTGAATAAGCACCCTAACCCACCCTCTATGAGAAATTTTACAAGCAGAACCAAGTCTGTGAACAGAACGCTTGTTATTTTGGAGTTTGCCATGAAAAGATCAAACATTTCGCCAGTGTTTTAAAAAAGTTATCCAACAACCATCACAGCGTTGAAGAAGAACAGATACTGATTGATGTTTCTGTAGGGACAAGAAAATAGACAACTATAGAGATACAAGCGTATTGGGATCTTCAATCCTAAGGCACTAAGAGGCCGCTCATTGGATAAAGCAAAACCAATCAAACGTCTTCTCTTTTTTTGCACTCCAAATTTGGTGATCACGACCTTTGCGCGCAGACCAGACTTTTCGCTTGCTGATAAGCCTTGTAGAGGTGGTTCTGGGGGACCATCCCTACTATTAGCCCCTTAGTTTTATCTATGACCATGACAACAAACCAAAACTCAGATTTTGGGATAGTTGGAGGGTCATGGTAGCCAACCTTCTGATGGTAACTGATGATGATAATAAGCCTTAGATTGAAATACCTATTTAGACGCAAGAAAATGTTCTAGCCTGTGTATTATGCCAGATATCATTAAAAAATGATGAATCTAATTTGAAAATTTTTCAAGGAATCGCCATTTTACATTTTCGGCACATTTTGCAAGTCGTATTCTTCTTAAAAAAAGATTTACATAAAATAATTTTTTATGAAAATTTTATAATTACCAGACAAGCCCTTGGTAACGTTAAACCTGACAATAATAAATGCAAAAAATACCATACTAAAGTTTTCGTCCGACACTCATAGCTTAAACGTCGGATAGTGTCCAAAAGTTAAGCAGAAAATATTTCCAGATGCGGAGCTCAATTAACGTATTAGGGAGATTAACGAGTCGCTTTAATCGTACAAAGAGTGCAGTGAAATGATAGGTCTCAGATTTTCAAAGCTATTTTCAAATTTCACTATCAATTTTTAATTGCTAGGCAAATTAAAGATTTTTAATTTAAACCGAACAATCCGTGCAAAGCCCATTCTTTTCCAGTTGCAAAGAATTTTTATGGCACCATGCTGCTCGTAAGCCGATTCACAATTTTTTGCATCATCAATTTTGATTTAGATAAAGAAGAAATAACGAAAACAACTCAATTTTCTTTACATATACTAGTTTTTCAAGTGCAACTGTTTTCGTTTCAATAAAAGCGGTAAAACTCTCATACTTCCAAAATGAATGCAGATGTTATCAAGATTTCTAAGGCGAGACAAAAAATATTGGGTGAATCACGCCAGCCATTCAACTAGGCCAGTTTGGATTAATAATCCCTTTTGAAGTATTTCTGGCTTGAATTAATTTCGAAATGACATGCCTTGCCGATGTAAAAGTTATTCATCAGGCATCAATCATATTTAACAATATTGAAAAAATAAACAATTTACATTAGGCGTTGCCCTGTTTATTTTGCTGATAGTTCAACTAATCTTTGAATTTATTAACGAAAATTTCAACTCACGTTCAACTGAAGATATTGCGATGCGAGTAAAGTCAATCAAGAAGTTATTGAAGGATTCCGAGGAGCCGAAGATCTTTCTGTTGGGAAAATAAATATTTGGAAGGAACGCTTGTCTCATTTTCCTTAGAATGAAATCATTACACTGAACCTTTAAAATTGAAAAAAATATGCTACGTGTGTGAAGTATATATATAAAATAGTATGAATAAGTAATATTAGATTCTGGATTTTTTTAAAGTTTCTAAAAAACATGCAATAAATTCTTTAAACCAAAAGTGCTTGTCCAGAAAGTCACCTAGTTGTCCTTTCTTAAACATAAGACTACATAAATGGACAGGCCCGTTTTTGATACTATTTTAATACTAAAATCTCGATAAAACTTTATTTGAGGATTGATATCTAACAAGAGGTATGCAATGCAAATTGCCTGCAAATTAATACCTTTTTCTTTTTGTTGAAGGTGATCCAGTTAAAGTTCAGGTTGATGCCAGCGTCATGTCGTTTGGAAAGCTGGATACACTAAACATGGTGAGGCATCAAAACTCGTTGAAAATGGTTATGTTTAACTTTCGCTGAGACTAGAGAATTCTTGACAGCAAAGGTGTAAAATGTAGACACAAGAATAAATGGAGAATTATTTCAAGTTTTTTTGACCTGATGTGACAGTAAATTAATTTACTTGAAGTTTCATTTGCATGCATCGCTGTAATCCATGCTTTTCTCACCTCAAAACCCACGGCCAACCATGCTTTCATTTCCTCAAAACTCTGTCGCTTACAATGCCTTTCCCCTATGTAGGGCAAAATTTTGTAGCTTATTCTCTTTTGAATTCTACAGTTGCCAATGTTGGCCCATTCTTTCGCATCATTCGCAAATGCTCTATGCCTACCACAATATCATGTTCCTGGAACTAACCCTTCCAAAATGTTGCAGAAAAATGGACCACCATTTCACATCGCAAAAAGCCAAAATAAATGAGAAATAAATGAATCGTATTTTGTTACAGTAGCTATCTGTGGTGTTGATTGAACCCATTAGGTTCGTACTGTTCTCACAAAAAGTGAAAATAGAAAAAGGGACAGACAATATTTCACCATGTTATACCTTGTTCTGCTAATGGTATTCAAGAAACTAGAAGATACTTCTCTTTTCAAGGCTTTTACTCTGGATATGTTTTTCCGACAAACATGGAAAGACCATCGCCTTAGGCATAACTTGACAAGAATTCTGACCCTTACATGCGGAACCAAGCATCCTGCAGACATCATTTGGGTTCCAGACACGGTGTTCATTAACTCGATGAAATCAACTATGCACAGTGTAACAGTCAATAACCACAAATTGGATATTTATCCAAATGGACAGGTATTTTGGGGCACAAGGTTAGATACAAATGTTGATCCATATCTTCAGCATCATTTCTAAGCCAATTTTTTATCTCTTAAACCGTAAGAAATGGCTTCTTTTTGCTTTTCTACTTTGATATTTTTCAAGAGGCCTTCTTCTTTTCCGCTCTATTTGAATAGCTTTCTTTATAACCATTTCGAAATAGCTGTTTCAATTATTGACTTGAATGTTTAAGCTCAGTAGAAGATACGGAAAATTCAATTCAGTGCATAATTTTGTGCTTAAAGTTATCCTTGATTCTCTTGCACTGTATTGAATAGTGATATAAAAATTACTGACGAAAATATTTTAGATATTATATAAAGGATTTAGAAAAAAATTCAAATAATGTAGAACAAAATTCAATATGAATATGTAGTTTTGTAATTACTCAACATGCTCTTCTATTGTATTGAATATTTAAAAATCGTTTATCAACATATTATTTATCAACTATTTAATTATCAACATTTTGGATGTCCTCATTGAGAATCTCAACCCCCTAGCTTTATCTGTACGCTAATGTTTGACACTCGATTAAGATGGAGAATGGCACCAATAATCAAGATATTCCCGCGATACTCTATTAGATTTCCAGGTCATTTAATACAGCATTTCGTAAAAATAAGGTGATTAAAAACTTAGGCCTAGCCTAACAGCAACAACGGTTTCAAAACGAGGTCAGTAAATGACGTAATCAATTAATGTCTCTTCTGGAGGGGTAAAACTCTATAAATAAAAGCTACATATGGTAAACCATAGAACTGTCTATACATTTCACACTAAACCCTTTTCTTCTTCCTGAAAATTGACCGAATGTTCTATCCTTGCAGTAGTTGTAATGGCACTTTTCCAGGTGTCTTTTTGGATTTGGTTTTTTAAGAAAAATAACTTCATGCAGATTTTCTAGCTTTGCATTTTCCTTTCAATAAATAGAAAATAAGAGATTGATTCTTTCGATCATTTTTTTAATAGAGTAACAGTTTCACCATCATGCAAGCTTAACCTGAGAAGTTATCCTATGGACACTCAACATTGCAAGTTCGAGATAGTGAGCTGTGAGTGTCTTGGACTTTTCTTATCTTGATCGTTAGTATTTTAATTTAGCTGTTGTGCGATTGATCGAGTTATCATTTTCTAGCATGTAAAAAGAACAGAGAAGGGTAATCGTTGAAGGGATAATATATTAAGGAAATGTTTCAAAAGTCCATGTTGGCTAGAACCAGTTGTGTAGTGCTATCAAAATAACAAGGGGGCTCTTGCACAAAATGTTGCAAGTAGCAATAGCAAAAGTAGAGTTCTGCCAATTTTTGGCATCAACAAGGGAAGCTCAGCCCCCCTGTACCTTCTAGCTCTACGCCCCTGGCTAGCACTCTAAATAATTTTCCCTGCAACTTTCACAATGTCTATAACGTCATTACCCCTTCCCAGGATTAAATTATGCATACTAAAGCCCTGTAAAGTATGGTCTTAGCATGCAGAGACTTTATTGGAAATGATAGATAGTCTAAATGTATAATAGATTAAGAAACTCAGAGTGCAGAATGAAGTGTACTTGTCGCCCAAAAACATCCAACCATCACCTCTCCCCAATCTAGCCAGCATTGGCAAAGAAAACGTAGACAATTCTGAGAAAAGCTGACAAATTTTTGCAACATGAACCTTGGAAGAAGACAGATGTAGGAGAAAAACTGCACAAAGACACATCCCTTATTTATAAAGAGTGTTGGAACACCTGTCCTTTTTGCCTCCCCCTTTTGTTCCTACGTCTATGTTTTGCGTGCTTGCTTCATCCGAAAACCATTTTGAGGTATCTGGGTTGTCTTTTGTGATTCGGAGACTCTCAACCATGCAATATTCTAACAACTTAAAGTGAATAGCAAAAGCAATCATCAGATAGTGCCCTGAATGTGTACCAGTCACAGCTGAAAAGAGTTGCTCACTGCAAGCTATATTAAACCATAAGCAATAATCCGAAACCCTATAGAACTTGTAAGTTATAGCCACAAACTTATAAGTTATAGCCTAAGATTGGCATACTCTTGAAAGTAGAATCAGATTTGAATTTGAATTCCTACATATCTATAATACATTCAATGCCAATTTATAGATGCACACGTTGCTCGAGACTTGATTTACTCTTGGAAAATAAATCCAGGCATCAAAATCCTCGATAAGACGATGTCCCAGTTTGAACTCACTGCTTATCAGTCAAAAGAAGAAATGGTTGGCTACGTAGCAGGTAAAGCATTTCATATTTTCAAAAAATTTCATTTGTGAGTTTAGCTTTTCTTTCCAGAAAGAATATGCTAGCATTATAACTAACTAGTTAGTTGGTGAGGAAGTTAGTCAGTCAATCGGTCAGTAAGTAAATTAGTTAGTTAGTTAGTTAGTTATTCAGTTAGTTAGAGATTGAATAAGTAAGTAAATGAGAAATGAAGGAGTTAGGTAGGTAGATAGTCGTTTGTTGTGAAAGGAAGCTTTGGGTTTGGTAGAATGGGTTCAATGTATGAAAAGGACTAGGCAGAGAAGACGGAGAACGAGGGTGGTTGTCCTCTCGGCCTTGCAAAATTTAGCAATTTTGCTATGCCCTCTTTATTTGCACTTTGCTCCCTCCTAGTTTCTGCAGATTTTTCTAAAATTCTGCGATTTCCTTAAGTTAATTTTCCTCATTAACATCTGCCTTTTCTTCTTGCAGCACTGTGAATCCATTTTATTTTTTCTATTCTTTCTTTTTGCTGGCAAAATATACTGCTTTTCTATTCATGAATAAAATTAGTAACAGAGAGAAGTGTTTGGTCTGGCGATGAAATTAAAAGCAACACAAAAGGCAAAAGTCACCGGTTGTAGCAAATAATTGAAAATCTTAAATCCAATCCCATTTCCTTAAAGATGGATTTGTGCTTTGGAATATTTGAAGATGGTGTTAAGTCGTTGCTTCAATACAACTATCCCGAAAAAATGTTAAAGTATAAAAGTATATTCTGGCAATATAGAGTTTTATTAATGCTAAGAAAAAATTCGAGAGCAATCTAAAAAATTTAATTGATGAAATTGAATCTGCCAAATCAGTTCATCACATGATGAAAGTTACGAATTCAAAGTAGGGAATCTAGATTCGCAACAAAAAATCCTTTGAACAAATATTCCAAAATGCAATATGTTTTTTCTATTGAAAGGTTTTGTATATTTTCAAATTAAATTCTTCAAATCTTTTCCAATCAAAAGAAATAGGATTATGTTTTAAATTATAGTATCGTAATTCATGACCTGGAAGATTTTACCATCTGTCTTGCTTTAGAGATAATAATTGCATCCTGTATGGCACCATTCTTCAATTGAGGTTTGAAACCAAATCATATCAGTTATTAATATTAATGTCAGTTACTTATACAGCTCCAAAATGATGACATCACAAAAATATATTCTAAAATTTTTCAGTTTTGCCCACAGAACCTGAAAGAGCATCATGAAATACCTCTAAATTGGCAAAATCAGTTTAATAAAGTCACAATCTGAAACTTTATCATTCAAAAACTGAATAAATAAAGCTGTTTAAAAACTGAATGAATTTTCTGTGTCTTTAATCAAAATACCCATTGTAATTGTAATACAAGCATGATTGTCGCGAGTTTGCAAATTTGTGACATTCAGCGAAAGGAGAATCAAGCCAAATCGGCTTGCTCGGAGACTCTACAACAGGGGCAAGGGCATAGTCTGGTGCATTCTAGAATTTTTATTGTAATCAATAGCTAAATCACGTTCACTGTTAGAGGGGTGTTTCACATAATCTTATCCAAAAGGCATTTCTGATACATTCTAGGTACGTAATGTAAATTGCAGTCATAGACCTTGTACAGAGAAATGATTATTTGCTTGGATTAAGTTCATAGGTGCATAATTCTTTTATAAGGTTCAGCTTTGTAAGCTTCTCACAAACTTTTGACAGAACAAGTATATTTGACTTTTTACAGAAGCCCTCTAACTTATGACTAAAGCACAATTTATTCTACTTTAACGATCCAAAAGAATTCTGAAGTCATTTAGAGCGTTGCTCAAATATATTTGAACATATAGGTGCTAATTTTGAATACCCTTGGCCAAAGGTTCACTTGTAGGAAGAGGGTTGGGCCCCAAAGTCTCTGTAAGCCGAAGTAAACCAAGGGGAATGCAATAAAGTTAATGGCTCGCTTTCTTCACTTTTTCTCGATTATATTGTTAATGATGATAGCTCCGTTCTTAAAACTTATTCTATTGCTGCTACCTGGCAGTTTTATTCAATTTCATCCGTCAAATTAATTTTCCGGTCAAAAATAAATCGTGATTAGAATGTTGAATAAATTTCATCCTCAATTCTGGCAAGAATATTGTGTTGCTTTAGTTCAAGCGGCCATGCATATCCACACATTTTGTGTGTTTAGTACAGCGACTGTACAGACCTAACGATACAGACAATTAAAACTGACTGCATATTCAAGCAAGATTCTATGTTTTCTCTTCTTCATGCAGGTAGATACTCCATGTTAACTGTTGCTTTTACGTTCAAACGGTTAATGGGTCACTCGATACTTCAAATCTACATTCCATGTGTTGCTGTTGTGTGTGTTTCCTGGATTTCGCTTTGGATAGACAGGAAATCAACACCCGCAAGAGTCGGTAAGGCTTCCAAGAATTTCCAGTCTTTTCTCAGAAAAAGTTGACAGTAGCCCACAGCATGGCTACATCTAACTTAACCACTGATGCCCCTTGCTCGAAAACTTCTTTTCACACTCCTAATAACAGTGAAAAAGCGAATACTCTCTGCTTCTCTAAAAGAGACATCTCTAATCAATAGACCATGAGCAATTTCTTTGATGTGACTACCTTTCTATAACTTTAACGGTCAGTAATTTTGGTCAATAAGATGTCCTCTAAATAACCTGGTTTTACAATACAATGGGAGAGCGAAGTATTGAAATTACTACACAATTCTTCTCAAAGTGCTTTGTGACCACTTAACGTCGCCAATGAGTTGCGACTTTAATCTAAATTTGTCCATTATAACTTGCTTGGGCACTTAGTGAGAGGATTTTTCCATTATAAATGGCTTCTGTACTGTCAATCTTAAAGATTATATCTACATTTGTTGCTTAAATCTACTTGGGGATATTTTGTTGAATCTGTCGTTAACTTAAATAAAAAGATTTTCATAAACATTGCCTTTTTCTCTTACGGAATCCTTTTGCTGCCCGTGCTATTCAATAAAATGTTTTTAACGCATGTTGGTGAAATAAGTAGGCCTAAATTCGATCGATTTTCTGATCTTCAAAATTGAGATGTCACTTTCTGCAGTGATCAGGGAATGCTCAATTTTTTTGTCGATGTTTCTGTTTGCTATTTTTTTCCTTTGAATTTTTTCCTTTTCATAATAAGTGGGCCAAATTTGGATCGATTTTTTGATCTTCAAAATTGAAACTTCACTTTCTGCATTGATCAGGGAATGCTCAATGATTTTGTCAATGTATCTGTTTGTAATTTTTCCGTTGAATCAACTCATTTGCATAACTAATTAATTTGCATAACTAATTAATTTGCATAACTAATTAATTTGCATAACTAATTAATTTGCATAACTAATTCATTTGCGTAACTAGATCAACTTTTATCCACCTCAAAGCTCTGTGTATCACAACACTTTTGACGGTTGCAACTCTTTGGGGCAGCGCCAATTCAACATTGCCAAGAGTTAACTACATCAAGGCTGTTGACGTGTACTTGCTGACGTCATTTGTGTTCGTGCTTTGCACACTGATTGAGTACGTGTTAGTCCTGAACTGTGAGAATATCATAATTAATAGACGCAAGAAGAAAAAACATGCAAAGAAAGAGGTTAGAAACTTACATATTTATTTAGATATATCTGCAATAATTCCTTTTCAAATGCTTCTTCTAATGGAGAGAAACAAAACTTTGTATATAGGCAGCTAAACAATTTTTAAAACTTTACTGCAAGAGAAAATTTTGTTACATGAATGAATTCCAAAACAGCTTGAGCTTCTGCATGGATCAATTTTCTTACAAAATTAACGAGTTAACGAATAAAATCATTAGTAAGTAAGTAGACTAATTATTCACTGGAAAAAGCACAGAGATAGAGCAAAGACTTGATTCTAAATGTCATCGAAAAGGCATCTGAGATGTTAGTGAAACTTAATTGTCGAGTTGTCTTTGTAGTTATATAAATATCTAGTATAAATTTTGATAAAGCAAATGAATTCTGCTTGGTATTAGCAGGCTTCTAGCAAAAAGCATTTGAACATGTAAACCCTAAAGCCATTGGTGGGCAGTTCGCAGTTCTACAATTATGCTTTTGTTTTGCTTAGCATTATCTCAAATTTTTTTACGTAAACATAAAATCTGAGAGGCAGGTTGACATAACTACCATATCTGAGAGACAGATTGAAATAACCACTAATTCTGAGAGATGAATTGACATAAATACTAAATCCGAGGAATTGATTGACATAAATACAAAATCCGAGAAATTGATTGACATAACTACTTAATTTGAGAGATTGATTGACAACACTACTAAATATGAGAGATTGATTGACATAACTACTTAATATGAGAGATTGATTGACATTACTAATAAATCTAAAAGATTGATTGACATAACTACTAAATATGAGAGATTGATTGACATAACTAATAAATCTAAAAGATTGATTGACATAAATACAAAATCCGAGAAATTGATTGACATAAATACTAAATCCGAGAAATTGATTGACATAACTACTTAATTTGAGAAATTGATTGACATTACTAATAAATCTAAAAGATTGATTGACATAACTACTTAATTTGAGAAATTGATTGACATAACTACTAAATATGAGAGATTGATTGACATAACTACTTAATTTGAGAGATTGATTGACATAACTACTAAATATGAGAGATTGATTGACATAACTAATAAATCTAAAAGATTGATTGACATAAATACAAAATCCGAGAAATTGATTGACATAAATACTAAATCCGAGAAATTGATTGACATAACTACTTAATTTGAGAAATTGATTGACATTACTAATAAATCTAAAAGATTGATTGACATAACTACTTAATTTGAGAAATTGATTGACATAACTACTAAATATGAGAGATTGATTGACATAACTACTTAATTTGAGAGATTGATTGACATAACTACTAAATCTAAAAGATTGATTGACATAAATACAAAATCCGAGAAATTGATTGACATAACTTCTGATTCAACTATTTATATATTTACAAACGTATTCTTTCGAACCAATTATTCTGAAGTTATATACTCTTAGGAGTTTCAGACGAAAAAGCTTTAGTATTTTGTGAAATTTTTGCTTTTTTCCAAGCCCTTTGCAAGTTTTGTACCACCTTAAATAATTCAACTATTTCTATCTTTCTCAAGGTGGAGGAAACTCTAATAAAAGTTGGTTTGGAGCTGAAAGATCCTTACGAGAGGCACAGCCACAAGAGGCTATCAACTGACCCGCCTCCCTCTAGCATGAGCGCCATCATCAATCGGAAATTCACCGTGAATGGAAATATCAACAAACAGACAGAAAAAACAAAGACTGAAGCAAAAGACTCCGTGCTTGCTGATTATGTTGAGAATGTAGCGAGGGCCTTGTTTTTAATAGTGTATATGGTATTTAACTGTGTGTATTGGGCAAAGTACAGGAATTCAAAATAGGCCGGCAATTTCAAATCTAATTATCAACATTTCAAATTTAGTTTCGAAAGATCGTTATGAATCTGCAAGCCCCGAGAGGCATATCAAGGGTTGGAATAAAGAGCGTCTTTAAACTCAATTTTCCTGTTGGCGTTTTATGCAATACGTAGAATCTACGAAAAAGAAATGTGTCAGAAAGATAAAATAAAATGTCCTCTTAAACGTAAAAGTTAAACAGTTGCTTCTTTTGATTGGGTCCTTAAGTGGAATCACTAGAGCAGTTAAAATTGCAAACATTCAAAAAAATTTTGATGGTTTCTTAAGCGCCATACTGGAACCAATGCCCTTTAGGACATCATCAAGCCATTTAAAGTGTGACAAAATTTGAACTATTTGCACACCCTGGAATATTTTTCCCGCTGTGCTCCTGTAGCTCCCTAATTATTTTACTTACTGAATTTTATCGAATTTTAGTGTAGTGACAATTCCAATGTCAATTTCACCTGAGCTGCCTAAAGC